CAGAGGCGTCTGTTCAACGTTGGCAGCAACCACCAGGACATAAACCAGCAAGGCGGTCAATCCGGACCCAAGGAGAGCGGCAGCAAGTCGGGCAGCAGCGGCGATGCGTTCTGGCAATCAAATGCTATCGGCAACCAGGCGAACGCTGCTCCTCAGAGACGTCTCTTTGGCGTCACATCTACCCACATTGATACCAACGACCAGGAGTGGTACAGCGGCGCCAAGACCTCTGGAGCTTCTAGCCGCCGCAGCGTCGATGCTGACTTGCTCGGCAAGCGTCTTTTCGGTGGTTTCGGCGTCACCTCCAACCACATCGACACCAACCAGCAGGAGTGGGTCTCTGGCGGCAAATCCTCCGGCGCTAGTAGCCGCCGTGACCTTGGCAAGCGTCTTTTCGGCGTCACCTCCAACCACGTCGACACCAACCTACAGCAGTGGACCTCTGGCCCCAAGTCCTCGTTCGCTTCGTCGTAGACACGCTCACTTGACCTCGAAGATGTAATTGGTATTTGATTTGACACATACACGCAAAGGATTTTTTGAAATGCTACATTTTGTTTGTCGTCTATCCACCTCTGCACATTGGATCTGAACCATGAAGAGTGCGATAGAGTGTGATTGACAATCGTGAATGCTCCTCTTTACTACTAGACGGCAAGCTTTGGCGCGTGTTCACACTGCGGCTGGCCGACGAGTCGCGGTGCCTACTGCTTCCACGAGCTACATGAACGATCTTCCGCGCGAAGGATCTACCTGATGTGTCTTCGTCTAACGACTCGGGCCCCGAAGAAAGCCCGATCAAGCTTGCTAGGATGTCAGACGGTTGGGTTGTACATGTTCACGGCGAGCAGCGGTGTGTGCGCATGAAGTCCAATGGGTACACAATGTGGCTGCGTTCCTTCCGCAGGCGTGGATCAGGGTCATTGGTCCACACGGGAAGAACAGCATGTCTGCGCGTCTGCTGACAGCTGCCTGCCTGCTCTGCCAACAGACGAGCTCCCATGCGCGCTCAGCGCAAGCATGCTCGGGGTCTTTTGGTTCTCCACCACGGCTAGACGCTGTAAGAGCTGCGTGGCTAGTGAAAGTGCATCACTCAAACTCCTCGAAGAGAGAGCACATGGACTCACGACTGTTGTGAGTACGCAATGGCGTGCTCGACTCGGCAGTGGAGCTCGATGGGCGTCGTCGGTTGTGCCCTTGCATCTTCACGTCTTTCACAGAGGCCTCTAGCTAGGTAAGAAATGCACTCTGAATAGCGCGTTCCTTTCAGCACGTTCTCAGCTTCGCTTAGGTTGCCGACACTCGTATCGGAGTACCCACATCTGAACGCCCAGGCACGCCTGCGTACAGTAGCGTTCATGCGAACGTCGCCTCGCTTCGCTCTAGGCGGCATCGTCAGTCGAGTCAAGAGTGATGGTTCTTGGTATCCTGCCCTACTGGCAGAGATTCAGTCAGCAAGACGAGCAAGGCTCGCGGCAGCTAGTTCTGTGCTCTGTACGCCCACAGCGGCGTGGGCTGAAAAGGTCCAAACCTCCGTGGCGACTCGTGCAGGTCGTCAGACAGAGCGGGTGGCTGAGGACTATACGAGTTGCAATACTGAGTGAAGCAGCTGTGGGAGCTAGCTAGCTTTTGTGAAAGTCTCGGCGATGTGCACTCACTCTGAGGCTAAGGCGGCGTTCGAGACGGCTGCAGGCTGGAACCCAAGATATCATGCGACAAGACGAACCTGAAAAGCGCGGGCCCGTTGCTGCAGCCAAGCGTGAAAGGCCGGCGAAAGGAAACGAAATTGCGAACTCAGGAAGGAGCCAGCATCATGCATGCATGCAGTCTAACGCTAAAGAATTATAATTGAAAGAAACGCGTGACAGCACGCGCGGCCGCCTGGGAGATGGGAGCGTAGCCGCGGTGCCGATCTGCTTGCTTGCGATCGTCGGAAGCTTATATACAAGCGAGCAACGGTAAACCGAAAATTGGCATTCAAAAATCGCGTGTGGGTGATGATATGGCAAGCTCGCGCTGCATGCATGCGCATGTAGTCGGCGTCGAAAGCGCGCACCAAAAACGCCATTCTGCATGCGCGCGATTGCTTGGGTGAAGCGAATGGATCAATCGAATTCCTGGGCGGACGCGCCTGTTGAAGTTCACTCTTGGGATCTTCACGGTTGTGCGGACTTTGGATGGCAACGCCAACAAATCATGCAGCGTGCACGCATGAATGCACCAGCACCTTCGCTCGCTTGACTGAGTCACAGCGAGGCACGGGGAAGAGCAGCAGAAGAATCATTACTCGCATGACGACGCCGGGGCGCAGCATCGCAGCAGACTCAGGGGCGAGCTACAGCAGTCCGAACTGGAGGAAGTGGCAGGCGCTTCCTTATCGCAGCGCTATGGCAGCGCACCCCGTCAATACAAAGCGCCAGATTGCTGGCCCTTCCCGAAAGGTATAAGAAGAGCCCCCTCGACCTCGTTTTCCTTCCCTCTTCTTTCCTCAGACTCGTACAAGTTCCAATCAGCTCTCTAACTCTCTCGCACATCTCGACAATCTCACAAGCAAATCAATAGTCATCTGCTGGCCAGATTTCAAGATTGCAAAGCACTACATACACAACCAGCACTACTCTCTACAAGCAACCTTCGCAAGCTTTTCACGCTCCTCGTAGCATATCTTTACGCTCTTCACGCACATTTCAAAGCAACCCTCTTCCCAAACAACCCAACTCACTTTTCAAGATGCAGTTCCGCAACGTTGTCCTTGCCGCCGCTCTCGTCGCTGCCGCTTACGCTCAAAACTCGCCCCGCAGCGCTGATGTCGCTTGCGCTCGTGGTCTTGACCACCAGACCCGCTCCGTGGGCGCTTGCTCCCACTTCGAGCGCTCCGAGAAGGAGCTCGCCGCCCGCGACTTCGAGGAGGGCCTCCGCACTCTGGATGTTCTCCAAGCTCGTAACGACAAGCAAATGACTGTTGACAGCCACGACCAAACGAACAACGAGTCCCAGACCAAGCAGACCACCTCTGGTGCTTTCCACTGCCGCCGCAGCGACTTCACCCTTGGCAACTTCTCTCGCCGAGACACCACCATCAGCATGGGCGGCGGTTCCGGCAACGACTGGAAGAACGAGGGAGGCAACGTTGGTAACTGCAACATGAACCGCAGAGACGCTCTGGCCATCGCCGACCTTGGCGCTATGACCCGCCGCTTCGCGGCCCGTGACCTCACCGACGAGCACAAGGACGTCGCCGTCGAGTACCTCAAGCGCCACGCCGCGGAACTCGACCTGCTCATGTAAGCGAGCTTCGGCTCGTTGGCAAGGGCAGAGTGAGAAACGACCACGAGGAATGAGAAGAGGAACAATGTGTTGAAGAATGGATGGACTTGCTCAAGGGAAAAGTCAATCGCGAAGTCACAACTCCTTGCTCAACCGCAAACCAATCACTTTTTTTTGGCCCATCTGGAATGGTAGAACATGCTTGTAGCAGTTCGAATTGGATCAGCTCACACAATCACTGGGTGGTTGGTGTGTGTATTTAACGGTGGGATGATCGGAGCAAGAGGCGAAGGATCATCACTCGACTTCCTCCTCCTTTCTCCTGCTGTATTTTGCCTCCCTTCTCAACGACAACCCCCCACATTGCTTCTTTGTAGCCCACACACATCTAAGCAATCATAGAGACCGGAGGTCGAGAGGCGAGAGACCTCTTAGAGACAAAAACCTTGCTTGGTGTGACCTTTGTACGATTGATCTGATTTGGCCCTGCTTGTGACGCGCTCAGTGGTGGGACGCTTTCGGCTTGCTTCAGGGAAGCGTCGAGTTCGGATGCCTGGCGAGGTCTGGCGAGCACGGGCAGATAGGGACCAAAATATGCCCTGCTCTCTTCAGGGTCGCCATACGCAAGACGGATCCATCGCTATGATCGTCGCAGCGCTCTTCTCATCATTTCCTCTTGATTGATGTGCTTTCGCTGGTAGTATCAAGCCTGAACCACGGCTCTCGCCTGAGAGCCATGTACGGATCCACGCATCGACAAAGATCAAAGACTCGGGCTCGGGCTCGTGCGCAGACTCGGACTCGGACTCGGACTCGGACGATGCGGACTTTATCTCGGACAAGGGCCACAAGGACGTTTGCGAATGATGCACGCAATCGCGAATGGCATCGGCATGAGTGATCGACGGGAGTTCTGAGTTGCATGGTTGCGGTATGAATGGCAGCCAGAGTACCCAACTCGAGGGCTTCCTGTCAAGCGTAGACACGGCCAGCGCGGCGCAGCGGACAGATGCTGCTGCTGCTACCATGATGAGCGCGCGCATGCAGTGCCAAGTCACGCGCTTGCGCCCTAAGCGTGAAATCACGAATTAATGCCTCGCGGCACCGCTTACTTCGTGGCTCGTGCAGAAGACGAAATCAAGTTCGCAGATGAAGCCTACAAGGACTTTGGCCCAGGGCGCCCCTCGCACAGGCCGCTGACCTCGACTCTCGAGTTCACTAGTGACCCGACCTCGATATACCTTTGAACACTTCACTCGTACCCTTCTCGCGCCCTTCGTTGTAGAAACACAGCTTAGCCCTTCTAGACTCTAAAAGGTGGCTCCGACGCACGCACGCACCACCACCAACAAGAATTCATCGGTCAGCAAGCCACACCCCCGGACCGCCGAGGTCCGGATTCAGCCCGAGGCGGCCAAACAAGCATTTGTTGCACCCCTCGTCATCGCAAGCAGTCAGATGATCGATGTGATTCGCGCCGCGAGTAGTGTTCAATCGTGAATCGTTAAGCATCACAGTTGCGCACACCCCGGCAAAGGCAACCATCGCCCCTAGAGTAAGAGAGTCACGAGACCATGTCGCCTGCTGCTTTATCGATGCCAGAAAGGGATCCCGATTCAAGCAGGAATAGCGCCTCCCATAGCATTGCGGAGGAGGAGAGGGCTTGGCGAACAGTGACGGGTAGTGGAGGAGTCGGAAGCTCATCAGCTCTGAGTCCAAACGCTGCTACTGCCAGCTCATCTGCAGTCAGGACGGGCAGATCAGGGGGTGGAAGGAGCGATGTAGACGATGATGCGCTTGATGAGATCAGACGTTACGAGTCTGTGAGTAGCAGCCAATTCCACGCTTTGGATGCATACATTCATCTCTAAGCTCGCTGGTTTGCCAATATTCTCTTTCGCAGTTTTCAACGGTAGATTGGATCGCTGATTCTCGAAGAGAGCGAGCGCGTCTAGCGCGCCAGAGACTTGCAGAGGCCAAACTGCAATCCGACCTTCAGGGACTACAGAGCGGAGGAAGTACAGCTTGGGGACCTCAGAATCGCTTCAGAGGCAATGGGGGGTTCGCTGGCGGGAGGATACCCACGTGGTGGCCCGAAGGGCCTTGGGGGAGGATCGCCTGGAAGTGTTGGCTGCTCAGCAAACAAGCTGCTAGAGGAGCCACAGAGAGCGCGGTAGTCGTCGGCGTCGGTGAGTGCACCATGAGAGCTCCCTTTGCACCTGGAGATAATGCTAGCAAAATGCTTCCAGAGCAGTATGACCAATTGACCATCTTTCTCGCGACAGGCGTCTTGATTGGCGTCAACATGGCGGCCATTAGCATAGCTACAGAGTGGGCGTCGGACATCAAACAAGGTTACTGCAGGTCGGGCTGGTGGCTCAATCAGAAATTCTGTTGCTGGGAGATGATGGATCCGGCAGGACCTGGCGGATCGGCAATCCCTCCACCAGCTGTCAAGACTGCTGCTGCTGCCGCCGCTGCTGCGACGTCCTCACCTAGCTCCACTGCAGCGCATGCGGCTTTGGCGAGGATGGCAGAGCATGCTGGAAGAGCTGTCGGACTGGTAGCGAATGCTGGACTTGGGGAGCTGGAGAGAAGAGCTGCAAATCCGGAAGGAGGAGACTTGAGCGAAACTTGTACAGATTGGATTCCTTGGAGTACTTGGACTTTGCCGGCGTGGATCATCTACGTGGTGTTTGCTGTGAGTAATCGGAGCAGAGCAGGGCAGGCTGTGAGCACGTACTGAGCCGGTTCGCTGTGATTGTCATTTGGCCCAAATAGGCAGGTCTCTCAGCGCTTTGTGCACATCTGGTACGCTCCTTTGCCCCTTACGCCGCTGGACCAGGCATCGCGGAGATCAAGTGCATCTTGGCAGGCTTCATCATCAACGGCTTCCTTGGCTTTTGGACTTTCTTGATCAAGAGTATAACATTGGTGAGCAGCATCGCTCCAATGCTCGTAGCATCAGATATGGAACATGGTGAGCTAAGCGCTCGAGCTCGTCACCCCTCCAGCCTCTCGCCATTGCATCAGGTCTGAGCGTGGGCAAAGAAGGGCCTGCTGTCCATGTGGCTTGCTGCATCGGCAACATCGTCGCTCAATTTGTCCGGTCTTTTGATCGCAGCCAGGCGAGAATGCGTGAATTGCTTACCGCAGCTAGCGCAGCTGGTGTCGCCGTCGCTTTCGGCTCGCCTATTGGTGGGGTACTCTTCAGTCTAGAGGTGAGTGTAGAGCAGTGTATGCAGGCCAGTTGAGTTGCAAGCCATCCATGGCTGATCAAACTTCCGCACGTCCCTCTCTCGCTGGCCCAGGAAATGGCACACAACTTTCCGGCGTCGACAATGTGGAGATCGTTCCTCTGCGCTCTGGCTGCTACTGTCGCGCTCTCTTTCATGAACCCCTTCCGGACTGGCAAGCTGGTTCTTTTCCAAGTCTCATACGATCGAGATTGGCACTACTTTGAGATCCTCTTCTTCTCTCTCATTGGCATTTTTGGAGGGTTGTACGGCGCAGTGGTTATAAAATACAACCTTCAAGTCCAGCAATTCCGACGAACCAATCTTGCGGCACATGGTGTCGCCGAAGCCGTCGTGCTAGCGACGCTGACAGCATTCGTGGGCTACTGGAACAAATTTTTGCGCATAGACATGAGCGAAAGCTTGGAAATTCTGTTCAGAGAATGCGAAGGGGGAGGAGACTACGATGGTCTCTGCCAAGGCTCTGCACAGTGGAGGATGGTCAACTCTTTGCTTATCGCTACCTTCTTGAGACTTGGCTTGGTCATCTTATCCTACGGCTGCAAGGTCCCAGCCGGCATCTTTGTGCCTTCCATGGCTATCGGTGCCACTTTTGGAAGAATGATTGGCATCTTGGTCAAGGCGCTCTACACCGCTTTCCCAAACGCGGCCCTATTCAGCGCTTGCGAGCCGGATGTCCCGTGCATAACGCCTGGAACGTACGCTTTCCTAGGAGCTGCGGCTGCCCTTGCTGGTGTCACTCGAATCACTGTGGCGGTAGTGGTCATCATGTTCGAGCTCACCGGCGCTCTCACTTACATCTTGCCAACCATGTTGGTAGTGATGATCACCAAAGGAGTGGGAGATCTGTACGGCAAAGGGGGAATCTCGGAGCAGACCATCAAGTTTCAAGGATATCCTTTCCTGGACAAGGATGATCACGTCTTTGGGCTGCCAGTCGGTGACATCATGACGCGGTCTCCGGCCTGTCTGAACGGCAATGAGATGCGTCTCTCCAATGTAGAGGCGCGTCTGGCCGAGGGCGCGTACAAGGGTCTACCAGTCGTTCGCTCGACCACCGATCCCACGCTTCTAGGATATGCGGGCAAGACGGAGATGAGGTACGCGATTGCCAAAGCGAGACGCACCCGGCCCAACCTGTCCGACGACACCAAGTGCAACTTTACGAGCGACGCGGATCTCCTAGACGCGAAGGATGCTGCTGTCGATCAGCAGCACCTGCCCACTCCGCTTTTGGATCGATTTGAGGGCATACATGCCGAGGAGCAGGCTCGTGAAGAGCTGTTGGAAGGCGCGGAGAGATCTCTACTAGGCGCACATGGCGAAGATGATGATGAGCTTGATGAAGTGGACGAGTCCATGGACCATGATACGCTCGAGCTTGGCGGCTGGATGGAGCAGGTGAGTGTCGAATTTTCTAACCGACCTGGGTATGCCTTTTCGCATAGGCTGACTGTGTCGCCGACCGCACCCTAGACACCGCTGTGCGTGCAGCCCTCTATGCCCCTTGAAGTGGTCATGGATCTCTTCAAGAAGATGGGGCCGCGCGTCGTTCTGGTCACACGTCTGGGACGATTGGTCGGCCTAGTGACGGTCAAAGATGTCCTCAAGCATGTGGCAGCACAAGAGCATGAAGCGCGTCGAGGCGCGTCTTCTTCCTCCGCTTCCTCGCCGAATCCCGGTGGCGCTGGCGCGGAAGATCCCATCTTTGGGGGCGATTTGGAATTGGCTCTTTCGGACCTGTACGCGTGGACTAGACGCGTATTCAAACCCTTGATCGGTAGAGTCACTCGATTTGTGGATGAGCGATCTGGTAGGGGCACGCGCACTTATGCAAGCGTCAGAGGAAACGAGTTGCCGCTTTCTCGCGAGCTGCCGAACGAGCCCAATCACTGGGTTGTCGGGGACGAGTGAAGACATTTCAATGTCATGCAATATTTATTTAGTCCTCTTTCACTATCGAATCGAAGGCCGATGAGGCTCAATGACCACCTGGCTAGCTTTATCAAGTCTTCGTCTCTGTTGCTCTGCCTCACGACAGAGCGCACATCATGCACAAAGGTGGAAGTACAGTATTTCACGCAGCGTTGCATTGTGGGGTTCGAGAGCGGTATAGAAAGTAATGAGTGTCTTGAGCGATCGGATTCGGTTCTCGGGTCAATTCTTAGGGCGAGTCAATGAGCAAGGGAGGCACAGTAAGTGAATGTGCTAGGGAGCTTCAGAAAGCCAATCTGAGAGGTGCTGAGAGGGTGTGGACCGAGAAAGATAGAAGGAGCTGGTGCGCCAAGATTGCGAGCTGCCAAAGCACAGAGTGGATCCTCGCGCGGGGCAGCTTTACAGATACGAAATCTAAGAATTGCTCTTGCTGCTCTTGGTAGCGAGTCGGGCCTCCAGACCCTTCTTGAGAGCCGGACCTCGGTCTGAGGCGGCATGGCGAGATGAGCTCAGCACCTAAATACGCGAGGCAAGCACGGACTGGATCGCATCGAAGCGCATCGAGTCTTGCAGCATGCACGCGTGACAGTACAGCCCTGCGCCACTGTTGCGGACGTGATTGCTGGTCTAAACATCCACCTGCGCAAGGAGAGAAGGACGGTGCATTGGCTAGATCAGCAAAGATGGACGGCGGCTGGTGACGGCGTATTACCAAACCAACTGTCGAGATTCAAGCTCTGGCACTGATGTGTACTCACATATATCAGCAGGGGCTCTCCCACACCCTTAATTTCCGGGATCGTACATTTCAGATCGAAGGCCTGCGCGCGCACGAGGACAAAATTTGGTGAGCTGGCAGTCACAGCGTCGCACTGTGCTCGCGATGATGAAGAGCGATCTGACGCTCACCTTGGAGAGGATGATCTGTCCACCAAAACAAAACGTCGGAAGCGCGTCGCGTATTCATTAGCGAAACTTTCGGACCAGAAAGCGCAAAGCCACGTGCTGCTAGAGCTTACCTTGAAGATCTTTTGGACATTGATGCTATGTGATGTGGAGGAGAAGATGAGGGGTGCTTTCATAGCCCTCGCAAATCTCCTAGCCTATCGAAGCCGCGCAGCACAGAGCAGGGATTGTCTCAGAGTCACGAGCCCGTCGTAATGCTAAAGTGACCTCAGCAACGTCGCCCTCACCTGCCTAGTAATCTCCTCCTGTTCCTCCTTTGGGAACGCAGCAAACGCGTCGTACTTTGTGCCCACCAAGAAAGGTATGGCCGTCTTGTTGAAACCTCTCGCCTGCCTGTACCACTCTTTGACGGAGTTGAGTGTGGATTTGCGCGACAAGTCAAACATGAACAGGATGGCTACCGCATCATTGCAAACGAGCGGCAGCATGTTGACAAACTCTCGCTGGCCTGTACGGCAAATCAGAATCGCGGAGAGTCAATTTGCTGCGTTGTGACCTGTGACTTCAGGGCTCGAACCCGGTCTCCACACTTACCGCCTAGATCCCAGATACTGAATGTGATTTCTGTGTTCCGTATGCTGATCGTCTTCTCCATAAAGTTCACGCCTGACAATCAGATCGACCAGCGCACATATGAGACAGCAAAGTCGTTAGCATACGAGGTCTGCTGCCAAGCCGACTCTCCGCCGTTTGCTTTGCGACTCACCCAACGTCTGAATGTAATCTTCGTTGAAACTGCCTTCCACGTAGCGGACCATCAAGCTCGTCTTGCCAATCTGCGAGTCGCCCACCATTCCGACTTTGATGATGACGCTGAGTATGGCGGATCAGGCATTTCCACAGAAAGAGAGTCAGCTGAGTCGCAGAGACATGCGGAAGCATCTGCCTCGCTCATCGGGCATAGCTTTTGGCAAAGAAAAAGCGAACTCGGCGCAGAGCTGCAGGGTCAAGACGACTGTTGGACAGCTTGCCGGCTGGCTGTGTGCGAGTCGAGGAGGAGTGGCTGCGGCTGCTTCATGCGGCAACCACACCTCTGTGAGCAGGAGCGCAGGTCCTTGGCTGGTTCTGTGAGCCAGCCACCAAGCATTTGATAGTCAAATGGAGTTGGGCCCTTGCTCCCGATCCCCAAACGCCTGAGCTGCTGCCCCGATACCTGGAATCCTTTTCTGGTTGCTGAAGCACGTGCATTTACTCCCAAAGCAAAGGCTTGGCAACTCACCTATTCCTCTCTGGCTCTTTACTCTCCCCTTGTGCGCTCGATTGACCAAAGCTTGAGCTGCTTTCTCCTCCATCTGATTGATACTCTACAGCCGACATGATGTATGTGTGTATGCGGCAAGCAGTTGACGTAGTACCGATGAAAGTTGAGGTTCGACAGCCTTGTCGCGAAGATGTTGATACCTTGGCGCGCGCTGGGCAGGGTTGAGTATTGTCCCCTCGCACTTGCACGTGTCGTTTACAACCGCGCTGACAGTCAAGCAAGCTGCCGTGCGACCGGTAGTGCAGCGAGCGATACCTGTCCTAGCAGCGGTAACAGCTGTGTTGCTAAGGTTGTGTTATGCCTTGTCAAAAGCTTGACTGACGCAGTGGACGCATGAGCCCACAGTAATCAACGGCTGCTGCTGCTGATGACCACGCTTCCCAGCTTGAACACGTTCGGGTGATACAAAAGACTGAATTGAGACGCCACGGAACTCTGGACACCCGAATCAAGCTTCCGGCGAAAGATGCTCCCCTTCGTGCTGCGATGCGAAGGCACTCGATCAATTGTGATGTTTGCTGCGCTGCCGCCGTAAAGCTGTTCGCTCCGTGCCGTCTGCGCAAATCCTTGAGGCCGCAAACGACGGGCGTGCTCAGCAAGAGGTCGTTGCTCGGACTGGGTCCTGGCAGGTGACTTCGTCCCTCCTCCAAGGCCGAGTCAAGCTAGAGTTGTGGACTGATTGTGGAGTCCTCGGTAGCTTAAGCACCCTCGAGGGGTCTGCTTGAAGTCAAGGCGGGCACGTGCGCGTGGCAGCTCCGTCAGGGTCACAGCCGCGAGTAGAGGGACGTGACGTCGCGGTGCCGCCTGGTCCAGTGGACGATCTCTTTGGAAGTGATGAGCGTGATCGAAGCTTGTGGTTGTGGGCAAGTAGGCATCAACCAGCTGCTGTTGGTGCTCTCGGGTCGAGGTGTCAAGAGCGGATCAGAGTTATGCGCGTATGCATGACCATTTGAGCGTCCTAGGATGTGAATCGACTTGAAGAAAGACCTTCAAGCTTCTTTATTATAACGAGGACAAAAGTTCAGATGTCGCTGGTAATTGTCATTTAGAAATGCGGTCTAATATTTCATTTTGATTTTGGAACGAGCAGAGGATCGCGCCCGAGCCATGCTGCTGCTGCTGATGCACATGCTAGCTGGCCCACGCATGCAAGGACTCCCTGCTGCAGGCATGGCAACCCACGCGCCTTCCTACGGCCGGTGCACGGTACTAGAGCGCTTTCGGGACGTCCACTCGTGACTCCTGACTCAGACGTTGACTTTGATGCGTCTGGTTCAACGATTGATCGACTCATCTCAAGGCTAATGCTTGACATATCAAGCCGAGTCCTTCGCTATCGCTTGCGTCCTGGTGGCCCTCAAGACAGCGGGCTGGTCTCGTCAAGGGATGCAGCGTTCGCCTCATTTGTGAATCTGATTCTTGACATTCACTTGACTCACAGACGAGTACAGTCACTGAGAGTAGTGTTGGGTCGAGGTCCTCGGCAGACGCGGGGACGATGAGCCTTCGACAGCTGATGCGCCAGCTGCATGCTGCATCGCCTACACGCGTACACCGCCCGGGCCTATACCTTTACGCGCGGCAGCGCGCGCGAAACGCTCATAGCAGCAGCAGGCGTGCGAGGGCGAGAGCACACGCGTCAATTAACACGCGCGTCTCGCTTGCCGCGCAATGCATGCGCGTACTCTTCTTGTCCAACACTCACGCTTACGACTCGCAATTTTTCGGACTCGATTTCCGGCTGAGCTGTCGTTCTCAACACAAGAGCTCTCCTCTCTCATCCGAGCATCGATGGTTGCCATCCAATCTCTCCTGCTGCTACCGAGACACTTCGGTATGTTGGTCTGACATCCACCGCATCCATCGAATTGGCGCACTCCTGCACCCTCAGCCTCCGTCTCGACGCGGTATCCGGCAACTTTAATCCGCCATCCAGCTCTTTACATCCTTTCGACGCTTTGAGAACTGAATAGGCGCCTAGCAGTACATGCTGCGCTAGTGTAGTGATGTCCGAAGGTTAGTGTCGAGGCAGCGATGCGCGCATACATGCCTTCCTGAGCGCTCCCTTGCCCGCCATTCGCACCCCTTCTGCAGGCGATTTCTTAGCGACACCGCTGGGATCGGGCCCTTCCGCCTCTTACTTGCTGGTAGAAGCGGCGAGGCGTGACACATCGCCTGCAGACGAGTTTCCCGCTACGCCTCGACAGACAAGCCCGGCCATTGCGAGCCCTGCTCGTACCCCCATGTCACCAGCTCCCGTCGCCGCGACGGTACCTTCCACGGCAACCCCGTCCATATTGCAGTCTTCTGCTGTGTTCGAGACTCGGAGCCAGTCCGAGACGCAACGTGAACCTCGCGGTGGCACTCACTCGACTGTCGTGACAACGGCACCCACTACAGCCATCACTTCTGCGCCGCCGAGAAACGAGGAAGCCAGTCCCGCTCGGAGCGCAGCTTCGCTCAATACTCCCCCACCTCAGAAGCACGAAGCGATACGCAGCGCAGAACCATGCGAACCTTCTCAAGCTTCTCACAAGAGCTACAGTGCACGCTCGTCGTCCAGCAGAACAGACAAGGAGGCAGCTGATCGAGAGCTTGCGCTGCGACTCCAGAACGAAGCTGCTGCCTTGAGCAGGCCTAGACGCGCCGCATCGAGCAAGGCGGTGGACTACGCACCTCACAGCGATAAGCATGGCAATCCCATCAAAAAGGTCAAAGGCAAGTCGAATTCGACCAGCAGCAATATCAGAAACGGTGACACACGACAGCGCTCGCACGAGGAAAGGAAGAAGAGTGTGGATGCTGAATTGGGCGCGCCGAAAAATCGACCCCAAAGACCAGCGAAGAGAGTCATAACATTGGAGGACAGCGACAGCGAAGAGGAGGAGCTCGAGCTCAGCTCGAGCCCGAAGAGAGCTGCTGTGGATGCTGAATCAGCCAGCAGAATAGAAAAGGACAAGCGGCCGACTGTGGAAATTGTCCCACCTCCACGAAGCGAGAGTGGTAGGTCACCTTCTCGTCCGCATACATTAAGTCGTGATGGCGGGGCGAGCGACGCTCATCATGTGCGGAGCAGAGAAGACTCGAGAGACACCTGCAGTCCCACCAATGGCAGGCAGAACACTAAGCGCCGGCGATTGGCAGTCGAGTCGCAAGAGAGTGAAGAGGAAGAGCTGCCCAACAGCAGACCTGCTCGCCTGGTGTCATCCACGAAGGATGAGACCTCCGCAGGCGAGTCTGATGCGAGGACAGATTCAAATAAAGGTTCAGGCGCCGCAGAGCGGGCTGCCCAAAACGATGTTCAGATGCACACTGATCAGGAAGTGGAACTCGATCAGGCGGATCAAGCTGCGTCTTCGTTGCCCAAGGGCAGAGGGTTGCGGCGCAAAAGCAAAAAGAATCGGAATGGTTGGCAAGAGAGCATGTCGGAGAGGAGCAGAAGCACAAACACGTCGCCAACGAAGTCTGACGTGTCAGCTCGCAACACGCGACAAAGGGGCGAAGAGCGCCATGGCGCGGGAGACGGCAAAGATGCCCAGGATGCAGCTGCTGACAAGACCGAACAGGCTCCAGCAAAGTCTGGTCATGCTCTAGAACAGGGCGGCCCCGCTGATGCCGACGGTTACGAGGTAGAAGATGGGGATCCGCTGTCAAGCCCCGTCGTATCTCAGCGTGTTGAGCCAAAGACGAAAGGGTTAAAGAAACGGCAGGATCCTAAACCGAAGCAAAAGAAAGCAGGCAAGGAGAGCGCAAAGCAAAGCAAGGATGAAGCGGAAAGCAATCATCTTCGCTCTGCCACGAGCAAAGCTTCTAATTCTGTTAGCGCAGATCAGGCAGCAGAAGTGCGGCAGGGGTCCGCTGAAAATCGCAAAGACGACGACGGACCCAATCGCAAATTTCAAGAGCCAGAAGTCAGGAATGACGCTTCAGCACCTGCACGCAAAGAGCTTCCGGTTTCAAAAATCGATCTTCCCGGCAAGGGAAGTCCGCTGACGCCAGCAAACCGGAATGCAAAGGTCTCGGTAGGTACACCGACACCAGGCAGCGCTGATCTGCGAAGATCCTTCAGCGGCAAGCGTGAGTGTACGAGATGATTCTACACGCATCATGCACGTGTGCTGAGCCTCCGCCCATTGTCCACAGCGCTGAGCTCGCTCGTGAGCTCTTCAGGCGGACATCGGCGACCGGGTCTAGGGAGACGTTCTCACGTACCCTCACTGCACCCGAATCGCATCGAATCACCAAAGATTCGAGCGCCTATCCCGATCAAGCCTACCAAGGCGCAGCTGGAAAGAGAATTGGACTCGGACGAAGAGAGAGCTTTGGCCAATGAGACGCCCGAGCAACGTATGCGCAGAAAGATCAGGGAGGCAGAGGAGGATTACATGGAGCCACCTGCTGGATGGACTGAAGGAGCGGCGACTTCTGGCGGACCGGTCGGCGGCCCTCGTGATGACCAAGCTGTCGAGTACTCGGCCGATATGGACGAGTACGATTGATTCTGTAGCGCAATAGAAGGCGCAACAAGACGCCGTCGCTCGACCCAGCCTCCGCTTGCACCCGGCTGTACACATAGAGGCGCCACCGCGATGCCCACGACGGCGATTGCGCTGTACAACAGAAGTTGAAAGGCCTAATAGCAGCATAAATTCGTGAGACCTGAAAAGTCGAAGCCAGATCGCAAGGCAGACACCAATTCGAAAAGAGACAAGGAATCAGAGGGCTGAACTCGTGGGTATCTCCGATGTGACGCGTTCGACCTGGTCTTCATGACCGCTTCTTTTTGCCCGCGGAGCCTCCGAATGTGAGCAACGCCACGATGATACCGCCAATGATGGCGAGCGGCACCAAGTTCGCTGATTGAGAGGGGGCGCAGTCGACATACGTTTCGAGGAGGGGGAGAAGGATTGTCAGCGAGATTGGAGCGGCTTGGCCACGCTGAGGTGGTGCGTGTTGACGTGTTACGCGCTACGCGCTCCTTCTTTCTGTACGTCTCCGCACTCACCAGTTATGATGCCCACCAAGTCTCCGGTAACATTGGCAAGCGTGCCAACGATTCCCGAAAAGATGTCCGTCACAGCGCTCAGCAATCCGCCGATGGTGGAAAGAACGGCGTGGAGTATACCTTGAATGGTCGAGATGGCGGTGTTGAGCACTGTCAAGATGAGGTTCCAAGCCCATTGGAACAGACCAAGGATGGACTCGATCACGCCTGATAGGGCGGACGAGATTCCGTGCGTGACTGACATTTCGAAGCTGAGTCTAGTCGGTGGTGAGGGAAAAATACCGAGTACTGCGGATGCTTCTCGACAGGATTGTCCTGTGACAAGTCGTGCAAGAGGACGTGTGGTGGTGGTCGTGAATGGGAATGCGAAAGCTGCGCCTACGGAGTCACCCAAGATGACAACTGAGCCCTCGGTCTGAGGCTCCGCGCATCTCGAACATCAACATATGATGCGGCGCTCAATTGGTGGCTGCTGCGCCACTTTTACAGAACGTCGGACATTCCCTGTCATTCCAATCGCACCTGTGCATGCCTGCACCCTGACGTCTAGCTGTGCGGTACAGGCTTGAGTCTTGAGTTACTACTACCAGCAGCAGGTACCACGACGATAGCCGCTGCAGCTGCTGCACCACAGTCGTGCTGTGACGCCGATGTGGGGCACTTTCTTGGTTTGTAGATGCCTGCTGGCCAACACGAGTCGCGTGACGTCTCAAGTTGAGCGGAGGTCGTGATGAAGCCAAGTTGGCTTCGCGGCGGTGACGTCACACACAAGACTCTTCGTCCCCCTGCTGCTTGAGCCTCGATTTAGCTCAGGGTCTGCGATACACGCACAGCCACAACGATCGGCCGTGCGTGCATGCATGCATGCGCGGATGGCGCAAAACGCGCTGGCAGGCGGTGGTGATTACGTGGTCACGTGAAGTAGTGGATGCTTCTGTAACCTCCGAACAATCTTTAATCTGAATCCAAGTATCAATCTTGGATCTGGAATTCACGAGCTTCTGAGCAAGTCTTGAAATCTGCTCCGCGACCACAAGCACAGACATTTACACAAAGAGACTCAATAGTCGAGCAAAGCGGCACCAACGAGCACGACTTAGCGAACATCGCCGGGACCGCATCGCATCATCCTCGCACCTCTTCGCGCTTTTGTGTCACTGCACAAGTGTGTTGCTTTGGGAGCCCCAGCGCGACAGATCATGAGCTTGCGGTGCTGCGCTACTCAATCAGCGGCGAGAGAGGCGTCAGGTCGATTGTCGCATCTTGCGCGCTTGCGGCAGACAGGATGCAGAGCTCTACGCACCATCGCTTGTAGCTGCGCGATCTGTGCGACGTCCTCCCGTCTGCGGAAGCTCCAACTCTGTTCATCGCCCGATGCCCGCGCTCGAAGCTCGTCTCCTCGAATTTCACTTCGGAGACAATCAAGTTTTCCCGCCGGTAACGACCCCTCGAGGCAGATCGTGGTCATAGGCGGGGGTATTAGCGGACTGACCGCAGCCTTGTATCTTGCTAGAGGCTTGCCTGAGCATCGCATCGTGCTGCTGGAAGCTACAAGCAGACTAGGCGGCTGGATCGATAGCACGAGAGTTGATATTGGCCACGTCGGTAACAATGAACGATCTAAAGGGCAGGAAACGGCGCTGTTGGAGGCCGGACCTCGAAGCATCAGACCAAGCGGAGCCCCGGGCTTGGCCATGCTGGGCTTGGTGAGCAAATTCCGGCTCAAAGCGAATTGAGTGAGATTACTTAACCGTGACCCGCTTCTATGCTACGCAGCTCAAATCGCTATCTCTCATACCACGGCTACTGCTGGTGCCGAAGACAGCTCCTTCTGCGCAGAATCGCTTCATCTATTACCCAAATGCCCTTCAACGTCTCCCATCTAATTTGCTCTCCCTGCCCAAGGCTTTCTTCTTACCTTCTCTCAAAGGCATCCTAAAAGGAGCTTGGCACGACTTTCGCACTCCTTCACGATTCGCTCGTCCAAAATCGGAATCAGCGCTGGAGAAGGAGAGGCAACGTGCTCGGGAACAAGACGCAGATGAGAGCATCTCGACCTTTATCGTCCGAAGAATGGGAAAGAGCGGAGAGTTGTTGAGAGACAGACTGTTCTCGGCTGTGCTGCATGGCATCTATGCTGGCAGTCCTCATGTCTTGTCCGTTAGATCTACACTAGGAGCGCTGTGGAAAGCCGAACAACGCCATGGCTCACCTGTGAGAGCAGCTTTGCCGTCCTGGCTCAACAAAGGCAAGAGACAATTGACTTCGCAAGAGAAGGCGGCGGATGAAGCTGCTGCGAAAGAGGTGTCGCGATATGAGAAAGAGCTCGGAGATGTGATTGTTGGCCGCATGAAAGGCATCAGTGTCTACTCGCTGCCGGAAGGTGTTGGAGAAATCACGCAGGCGATCGTCGACGAGCTTGAACGAATGCCGAATGCGCAGTTTGCCCTGAATGCACCAGTCACAAACATCGTGGGGCGAGAAGCCCGCAGCCTGAAGGTACGTCTTGCGAACGCGAGTCGCTTCCTAATAGCGAGTCTTACCTCTCCATACTTCCATTTCGCTGTCAGCTCTCAACTCCACACTCTACGTATTCCGCGTCTCGCATTGTCGCAGCACAGCCGTCAGCATCGCTCGACCGATCAACTTCGACCTCCCTTCCCTGGCTTTCCCACAACCCAGGCGCAAACGTAGGGGTGGTCAACGTCATCTTTCCATCATCATTAGCATCGCATTTCGTTTCGGGCGCCAAAGACAGGCTTTTGCCAGTCGAAGGATTCGGCTACCTGATACCTACAGCGACCGAGAACGTGGATGGCGTTCTAGGAGTGGTGTTCGACTCAGATTCCCTACCAGATCAAGACGTCGCGGCGCATGCGTCGACGGGTCAGACCCCCACAAAGCTTACGGTGATGATAGGTGGGCCTCACTGGACTTCTAAGAGGGAACACAGCTTCCCAAAGGAGCAAGAATTGGTGGACATTGCAAAGAGGGCCCTGAACTCCCATTTGGGACTCTCCAAAGACCTCTTGGAAGATCGCAGTGCCGTCTATCGGGCCAAGTTGCAGCTCAAGTGCATCCCCCACTACGCCGTTGGCCACATAGCCAGGATGCGAGACCTGGACGACAAGCTTCGGGCGCATCCTGACTTTGGAAATGGTAGGCTGGTGCTGGCAGGAGCAAGCTACACGGGAGTCAGCCTGAACGACTGCGTGCTGCATGCTAGAAGATTGGCGGACCGCATCATCGCTGAGGAGCGCGCCGGGTCGGTCTCGGGCGGGAGCAGGAGCATCACGGGGCTGGAGAGTTTTGTTGAGGATAGAACATTTGCCTTGCAGAGCGGTGCGATCAATTTGAATGGTTGATGTTCCTGCCGTACTTAGTCTGCGTGCGCGATACTCGTCTGCCACAGCGACTGTGCCTGGACAGCTCGGACGTCGCTACAAGGCTGCATCTTGACCGTCTGAGCGCATCAGACGAAACTCAGGTGATGATCAGATCGATGTCTGCACTTTCTCTGTCAAGAGTCGATCATCTTTCCGAAGGCGTCGTTGCAATTGGAAATTCGTCAAACAGGAACGCGAGGTGCGCGACGCAGACAAAATCCAGGACAATTTGCAACGAGGGGCGCGCACTCGTAGACTGGCACTGTGGCTATACCGCGTCCCTGTCGGCCTTTCACCTCTCCATGCGGAGCCGGAACGATGGCGCATTCATGCGAGCAGACGATTGGAAGGTGGCAGTTGTGTATAGACACGCTTTGACGAGACGGAATCGACGCGACAGGTGCTGGACTTGGCGCACCAACAGGCGCAGTCTTGAATCGTGTATGGGCGTGACTGGCACATATGCGCGCGTAGTTGGCACATTGATCCCCCCAACGTGTAGCTATGGGTGTTCCGGACGACGGACGGAATCTATGACGAGGAAACGCCTGCCTGACTCTCGGTAAGGACCGAGGCTGATTTGTCTTCTCATATGAGCTCGCCTTTGGGGCTTGTATGCTTGGCGACTGCGGCACGCCTCGGCAGTTGCCAGCCGTGCTGGAGCGAGGTACAGTCACCACAGTCGCGAGCGTTCGTGAAGGCGGTGACCGTAACCCGTACCGCATACCGGGAAGGATCTGACCCATACCGAGATCCGAGTATGATCAAATACATGTGTCACTCTGCTTCCACTTGAGGAGGGCCTCTCACTCAGCTACATGCTCGCTCGGCCATGCATCGATTTACGTGATTGTCTTCATCATGATCAGTTGCTGTGCCTTTCGCTCGAGTTCACGGTATGGCACGCGATCAGCAATGCGCTATAGCAAGCATTTGTCACCTCGGTCAGGTACAGAATCTTGAATGCAAGTGCCTCGTCTAATTGTCTCACGAGCATGCTGTCTCCCTGGGAAAGAGCTATATCAGCAGTTCGCGTGCGATTTCCTCACCCTTGACTTTTGCTCTTAATTGACTTCCACGCCCTCGCGTCTTTTGCAGACGTTTCACTCGCGGGCTTCTCGACAGCAGCTATTCAAGAACTGCAGCTGCACGCCCGCCCACGCCCACGCCTTGTCTCACTCTGAACACACTCAGCATCGTGAACATCGACTTGCACCGATTTAATCGTGAGTGTCATAGCTGCGCGGCCTCCGCCCTGGCACACGGCCAGTGCAATTAATGCGACTTGACAGGCTCCGAGCTGTGTGGTCTGACATTCACAGTTGCTGATGGTTGCAGAAGGATTGGCATCCCCTGCAGGCCGCCGTTCTTGATTCAGATCGCACAGCCAAGCCGGTCTTTAACCTTTTCAACTCGCTCTCAAGTTCCTTCTCGATCCCCAAGTCAACGCTCAACAATCGACGCCAGCCGTTCGCCTGCCTTTCGCACGGGTCCTGATCATCGAGATCTCTTTATTCACGATTCGCGTTGTCGATTGAATTTTCGGACCTACGCTCTGACGATACACCGCTGCTGCACACATCCACGACGCGTAGTGGTTCAGCTAGCCTAGCTTGGCACTCGTGACTACACCATCAAGCACGCAGCAGCAGCAGCAAGTCTGGCCTTCGATCTGCAGGCGCACAAACGTCTGCGTTGATCCGCGACTCATCGATCACGAACTCGTGACTTGCCGCTGTGGCTGGGCGCAACGTGGGCTGCAACTCGCAGCGGTAGGCGCAGGCGCTAGGTGACGATTGCTCCAAAGCGGAGGAGCTGCTGGAGTCAGAGTCCAGAGTCACAGTGCGTAAGCTCATAGGCAGGCGGAATTCACGCGCCAGGGACACGCAAGATACGGTAGTCACGAGTCAAAGTGTAGTGTGTACGCTAGCTATATAGCTGTGCCAGCCCGCCTTTAGCTGCGCACGTAGCAGTCGTGGGTCAACATTCGTGATTGATGAGGTTGCGAGAAGGACGCTCTGCCAGGTCGAGCGCGGCGTAGCGCTACCGAAAGCCTCCTGAAGGTGGTTCGAGCGCCGAGCTTGTTGTTGATGAGAGGAATCAATCGTGAATGGAGATTCTGCATTGAACGCCTTGCCGGTGTCAGTCTAGTCGGCTGAGGCCACTCAGACTTGAAGCGACATGAGCTAGACGCGGCCGGCGGCCCGGAAAGCGAGCAGCTAATCGCACCGAAATTCGGGAGCAGCTTCCGGGGCAGCCGTAGGTTTCACTTCGAAGGCGTCAGCGCCCAGAGCGCAGCTGTCGAGTGCTTTGTGCATCCTTGTCCAGCTTGAGATGCTCGACGCTCCCTCATGAGAGCGAGCGATGGACATCGGAGATGCAACCCGGCATCAGAAAGCGATGCAAAGGAGGCCCGTGCAGAGGCTCTTCTTGGTTAGTGGACTTCGTGCCGGACATTGGGACACAGCACACATACCACAGCCGCTCGTATCTGGGTCAGTAGAGCCGCTATACTTGATCGCTTATGCTTCGGTACTCTCTTCTACGTCCAGATCGCTCTAAACTTGGTCTTGATCGCAACTCGTGGAACTGCGACTGGCAATCAAGCGGGATCCACGTTTGGAAATTCCTTGCGAGGTGGAACCGGATTAACGGCTTGTGTTCGGTTCAAGGCCCAACTCTCCCCTCGACCGAGACACCGCGACGACCCAGAAGCCCAACGCGAGCTGCACTCTAAAGCTTAACTTAGTGACAACATCAGCAGGGTGAAGCACGAGGGCGTTTGGAAATATCCAATCAAAGCACCACCTGCTTGCTGCCTTGCATCTCACGCGTATATTCCCAACACTCTTCTCACGTACCTTGGAGCAACAACGAGCCTCCGCAACCTGGTAAGTGTCCAGATTCGCTCGCATCAGCCCTGCAGATTTTTGTCTACCCGCTTTGAAGAGAAAGGAACGCTGAGTTGCAACAATTGACAGGCTGCCGTTAGGACTCACGACTTTTTTTTGGCCAAACGGCGTCGTGCACTGGCTCTCAGCTTCTACCCCAATCGGCCCTCGACCTTCAAACAAGGCAGCACGTCTGTCTGGTTGCTCCGCGGAGATCGGCTGTCCGCTAGGCACGGCCAACGAACGCCAGCAAGCTATAGCCGCTACGGCCACGCTGAACGGAAGCTTGCATCAACGCGTCCGTTGAAGCAGCGAACGAGGACCGCGCTCGCTCGCTCCTCTAGCAGCAGAAGAGGAACGGTGCCTGGCTGCGCTGTGCTGCAGTGCACCGCCTCGCTGTCCGTGACTGCCGATCCCTTGCCTCGACTACTCGACGGCGTCTCTCAGCTAGGTTGCTGCACTCGCAAGCGCTCTGCAGTCGTGCAGCAAAGTGCATGTTACTGCATGTGACGTGCAAGTCGAGAACAGCAGCAGCAGGCAAGCAAGCAAAGCAGCCAGCCATTCGAACAAGGGCGGGCGGCATTCACGATTCGAGATTGTCATCGATTGACTGCGCCCGCCTGAGAACCAGAATCGTGAATCACGAACCAAACGTTTGCCCGCACGCATGCTGGGGGCGTGATTTTGGCGCTAATCAACAGTCACGGTGCTGCCCACGAGTCTTTTGCGGCGGCCATACATCAGCACAGCAGTTCGAGGCCTTGTCAGCAGTCGAGCGTTAACTGCAGCAGCAGCAGACCTGCCCGCCTTACTCCGCACGCTTCAACTGCTGTAGCTTTCGTCTGCTTCAACCGACTTACTACTGCTGCAAGTCAGCCTGAAGTGTGAGGCCAGCTACTGGAAAGACGCACCACAGACGCACGCCTAGCGACGTTGATTGGGCCTCGTGCGAGTTTCTATCAAAGAGGAACCTCAAAGCAAGACTCGAGGAGTTGCTGAACTCCTTCCACACCTCGTCACACTTCCTCATCCATACCTCACCGTCACTCGCCTCTGCATTCGCATTACGTTCTGCGCGCCAAGCTTGTCTAAAGACTCTTTCTCTCTCTAGACACTTGTCTATCCCTCGCCGGCGCAATCTGCCTCGTCCTCGAAAGGGAAAGTGGACGTGCCCATTGACTGGCATCACTTTGCTCAGCGACGACGACCTGCTTCGAGTCGGCGATCGCGAGTCTAGTTCCCACATCAGTAGAGGTGCTACAACATGGGTGGTTGTCTGTCATCACCGGCTCATGCCTCCTTGGCGAGCACGGCGGGCGACTCAGCGCCGGAGACGGTCAAGTCCAAAGCTTTGGACAGGCAGCTGAGGGAGGATGAGAAGCACATGTCGAAAGAGGTCAAGCTTTTGTTGCTGGGTGAGTAATGAGGCGACCTTTGGCCAGTGGTATACCTGGCTTGCGCGTGGCATCACAAGCAAGTGGGCGAGAGCTCGGCGGAACGCACCACAATTGGCTGGGTAGTGGAGTGATGAAGGCGCAAAGCACCTTCCACATGCTGGCTAGCAAGCGCGAAAGCTTTGCAAGAGTCCAAATTGGTGCGCGCACCAGCCGTCATCAAGTGAAGCTGCAGAAGGTAGCGCTTGCCGACGAGGATAGGGTGTGCAGCTCGCTGACGCCTTGATCCCACCCGTACCCGCGGACCAGGTGCGGGCGAGAGTGGCAAATCGACAATCTTGAAGGTGAGAGACACAAGAGGCTCAGCTCGAAGCACATCGCTCACGCATGAAGCTGACATGATGGCCTTTGACTACAGTCCATGCGCTTGATCCACTCCATACCGTTCACGGGTGCGGAAAAGGAGCACTACAGGAGATTGGTCTTTGTGAATCTGGTACAGGGGATGAAGCTGCTGCTCGATATGTTGGAAGAATGGGAAGGGACGTTCGAGCATCCTTCGCATGTAGTGAGTGTGCTCGATGAGCCCTTGTCATGCGGACGAGAGGAGTCTTGCTGACCTAGCATCGTGCTACCGGGCGCTGCAGAACCTGTTGCCCTTGTTCATCACATACCCGGATATCGCGGAGGATGAGCCCTTCCCTGCATCATATTTCGAGCCTTTGAGGCTACTGTGGAATGACTCTGGTATTCAATCCGTCTTCAAGCGAGGGAACGAGGCTGCGGTGCCCGAAAAGTGGGTCGCACAAGCACGAGCACGTGGAATGATTATGACTGGCTGACAAAATCTGATCTCTCTTGGCAATCGTCTCTACAGCATGTCATAGTGAGTATTCCGGGGAATTGGCACCGCGGGGACAGGCGCGCTCGGGCTAACCTCGCCGCCATTTTCCCAGCTTCTTTGCCGACCTCGATCGACTTTTCAACCCCTCTTATATTCCGACTGATTCTGACATCCTGCGGTGTCGAAACAAGACGACGGGAATAATCGAGACTACCTTCCCAATCGATGACCGAGTATACCGGTTAGTGGTCGTTGACGTACCCACTAGTACTTTGTGCTCATGCTGTTCTTACACACCACGGTGCGCAGAATCTTGGACGTCGGCGGACAGAGGTCGGAAAGGAAGAAATGGATTCACTGTTTCGAGAATGTCACGGCTGTCCTCTTCATCGTCTCCTTGAGCGGCTATGACAGCTGTCTGGTCGAGGACAGGGATAGCAATCAGATGCAAGAATCTTTGATGCTTTGCGATTCCATCTTCAACTCCAAAGTGAGTGCGACTGGCGAGACCGCCATGCAGCTCCTAAGCTGACAAAGAGGTCGCTACGCACCTTTCAGTGGTTTGTCCGAACATCCATGGTGAGTCAAGCTCTCGTAAGAGTCGCATCGCCGCATTCAGGGCTCACGAAATGTTGGCCTCCCTCAGATTCTCTTCCTGAACAAGGTGGACGTCTTCCGGACGAAAATTATGCACTCGAGCATCAAGGCATATTTCCCAGATTACGATGGTGAGTCTTCAGTCAGCGCTGTCGCGCGGATCCTTCCGACGGTCATATCACAGTTCTGAGACTCGACTCCTTGCCAAAATCGCTCTAGGCGACGATCAAGACTTTAATGCCGCGCGAGGCTATTTCAAGCAGCGATTTTGCAGATTGAACAGAAGCCAGACAAAGGAGATTTACCCTTCGTTTACAAATGCGACCGATCCTGGGTTGCTCAAGATCGTCATGGCATCGGTCACAGATATCATCCTTACCAGCAGTCTTCGAGAAAGTGAGTATGGCGCGGTACTTTCCCAAATCAGGAAGAGGCCTGTGCGCGTCGAATTGCGTGCTGACAATCGCTCTCCTACATGGTGGCTTACCCCGCCGGTCTCTCTGATAGACATGTTCTGAGGCGTGCTCTTGTCGTGCCCTTGCCTGCTGCCCATCTCGGCTTTGTCCATGCTGCTCCGCGCGCCCCCAGGTCCTGCAAAGACACTCTCCACAGCCTCAAGTCTAGCATACTCCGCCCTTCAAATGCAAGCGCTCTGACGTCCCTCTGCCCCTGCGCCTAATTTGGCTCCTGAAGCTGTCCCATTCCTGCTTCGCTGCACTGTAATGTATCCGAAATACTCGATCTGTTGTCCATACAATACCTTAGACGGGAGGGATGGCGCGATAGCGGTCTGCAGCTTTTTGGGCTGGAAGTAGAGGCGCTGGTCGAGTATCTCGACACCCTTGACTGAGAGCACAGGCCCCGTACGACTCGCGTTCATGCGCACGCGACTACGCAGACGACGTTGTGCTGGCGATGCGGACACACCTTGCATTTGGCCCCCGTGTGCCGTGACGCGACGCGACGCGTCGAACGCGTCCGTTATTGAACGGGGAGATGCGCACTCAAGCACTCAGACTAACTCCGCCTAAAAATTGGCTTGATCACGATCAGCAGGTGAAGGGGTCTTCCTAGACATCTCTCGACCCTGTGCGTCGCACCGCTTCTACACACCATGCAGACCATCGTGAATTTCCTTGTCAACCTTTCTCCCATCAGCATCGCGTGGTCATCAAACATAGCTTGCCGAACTCTTTGCATCCGACCTCAGCAGCGTCATGGCCAAAGACGCCGCTACTGCGCGCCGGGCGAGAGCTGCTCGCTCGTCCCGAAATGACCTTGTCAACTCCTCGACAACATCACAGCGAAGAAGTAAAGCTGTTCAAGCTGCCAGCAAGCGCTCAGTTGCTGCTCCTTCCTCGAGTAGCGAAAGCGAGCTCTCTTACGATTCCCGGGACAACGAGGACGATTATGGTCAATCGTGCTCGGAAGCATCTGCTAGTCCTTTCATCGCCTCAAGCCCATTGATCACCCGCACGGCGAAGTTGCGTCCTGCGCGAACGCAAGAGAGCGAACGAGTCACCCAATCATCTCCAACAACCTACGCCTCCTCGTTCAGACAGCCATCTGCTCCTGTTCGACGCGGGTACGGCAAGGGCATGACGACTGGTATTCGTCGATTTAGGGCGCTGGGGGCATCAGTTGGCAGCGACTTTGGCCTCCCATCGAGAGTCTGGGATCCGAGTCCAGAGCGCGAGGTGGCGCCCACGACTCAGGGTCACGACGACAGCGATTCGAGCGAAATTGACGAACCAGCAGCGATGGGCTCAGCAGGGCAAGCCCCGTCGGGTGAGACCAGCGGAGTGTTGCTGAACGACGATGACGAGAATGAGAGAGCCGTGGAGTGGACGCGGAGCAGTGAATCTCCGTCTGAGGTGCACGCCCATTCGCCCTTCTCCGAATCGTCTCGGGGCTCTCCTTCCATCTTCGACTCGGCGAGCCGCATTGCTCTAGGCTCCGAGTCTGCTCTGACTCCTTGTACGTCTCCACCGCTCAACGATACCGCCGGCACAGACATTTCAAAGCTTCCTGCCAAGGTCCTGGGTCGCCTCAGTCCTTCGACGTTGCGTCTGCTTCGAGCAGCCGCTGATGGCAAGGATGTAACGTCTCTCGACGACGAAGAGCTTATCATTGAGGAAGCTCTTGCGCCTTGGTCGTACAACTCGGACCGGCAGCAGCCTCCGAACTCTTCACCTTCCTTCGTCTCAAGAAGGACAGCAGCGCGCGTACCTCGCAGCCTTCGTGAGTCTGGAGCAGCTGGCCCCCCGGGCCAAACCTTCAACGATGGATCAAGCTCGTCCAGCAGCTCCACCAGTTGTGCTCTGCTCAATCGTGGTTTGCAAGGCTCCATCACTCCACCGAGCCAAAGAAGCTTGCCAGCCTTGCCCGCCAGGCCGGCCAGTGCCATGAAACCTACTCCCAAGTCAGACTACTCTTCCGGACGAGAACCCTTTGTGAGACTGGACCTGACGGCAGAAAGACTGCCAGCAAAGGAAGCGATCCGCTTCTCGGCCCCCAAAAGCACCTCTGGAGGTATTGGGGCGGACGAGGATGATGACGAACCCTCGCCCTTTGGGGCGTCAGAACATGCGAGCATCCGCACTGCTCCTGTCGCTTCTGGACGACGCGAGGTGTCCAAGCCTTCGAAAGCTACGCGCTCGAGCCGCGGAAGGACGCTTAAGCGGACAGAGCCAGCTTCTCCAGTTCCGTTGAGCCTGCGCGTGGCTGAGAAGAAGCAAGCAATCTCGGCGTCTCAGCTAGCACGATCAGGGCGAGCAAGCGAGGCGCGCAACGTTTCGAGCAGCCCATCATCAGCGCGCCAGCACCAGAGCAAGCATGTCAACAAGACCTACTCGCTCTCCACCAGACTCGGCTTGCCAAAGAAGAGCTTTTACGCGCGCAACAAGCGCGAAGAGACGAGTCCGACGCCCGAGGGACGAGTTCCGGATCTGCAGTACAGCAGAGTGCCTGTTAGCAGCAAGGTTCGCTGAATTGCGGAGATGGCTTCACGCCTGTCCTGCCTGTAGAATGACCACATCGAGCGATTGCTTCCCTTTTAGCCACATTGTACCATCACCATCACTCTAGCTGAGCTTCCCCTGCACATCTCTCGCTGAATACGAGGAGTGCTACTCGGCACAAACGCGAGCGCCTGTCAGCTTGTCCTTCAATCCATATCGCGTTAGCTTGTCGTTGAAGCGGTGCGTAGCAAAGCAAGCAAGAGTGTGTGTCACGCTCGCTGCACCCATGTTTGGCAGAGGGTGAGCGCGGGAAAGGCAAAGCAGGCGATCGTCTTGGCCGAGGGCCTGATAAGGGCTACAGGATGGACGTCATTCACATTGTATTTGCTTAGCAATCCGACTGTGCTTAGCCATGAGTATTCGAACAATTCAAGCTCGACGCGGCCTTGCGCCCTTTGAATCACACCGGAGCTGCGCTCCCGAAGACTGGGCAGCAAGCCTCGAGCGGCTGTGTTCAGAAAGGCTCGTGGACATTGGCAGAGAGCACTCTAACGCTAGGCTCAACTCTTGACTCTTGACTCGCAGACTCGAAGGTGATAGCAAAGTTGCATCAACCGGCGCACGAGGACGAGTGCGGGAAACAAAGGGCCCGCTTGTGGTTTAGAACTTGCTCGCATGTATTATTATATATGCTCACACTTTTGACTGAATGAGTGAATCGTGAATCACCAATCAAATCAGAATCGTGAATGCAGCCAGCACAAATGACCTGCTTTGCTGCTGCATGCGGACATCAGCCGCGTGGCGGGTATGGAGCAGCAGCGGGCAGCGCGCGTGCAGTGCAGTGCGCACGGCCGGTTATCAAAATAAAGTCCTCCCTCTACCGCACCCGCACCCGCACCGCACCGCACCGCACCTATCGTAACCGGTCAGGCCACCGACGTCTTGATAGCGCTCAAACGCACACAAGATTTTCCGGTGTGTGTATATAGCTACGAAGGAGCACAGAGGTCAAAGGTCAAAGTAAAGCTTTAAATTCATTCCTAATTCATCCAGCAACGCCATCATCACCTTTGAAGAGTCACGAAGCGGCGCCAATCAGCAAGAGTCTCGCGGCGGCAAAAGTGGAAAGTCTCGTGACTTGACGCATCAGCACCTACTGTAGCCAGAAAGTGCAGGCAGGCGCCCTCGCCGCGCATCGCTTTGTGCTCGAACAACGCGTTTCTCGATCTTTCATCCCCTGCCCCTTCAACGCTCTCACCATCCGACCTTCTTCACTGCCACGGCACCGTTTCGCAAGGCGCAATGTCTGATGCCGCGTCTTCAGGCTCGCAAGATGCGACCTCGTCTTCTTTGCGCAGACCCGCTCTGCCCGATCGAAATGCCTCCCAGCATACTGTGAGCGGCATGAACAATCAGCTCGGTCAGATGCTGCGAAGTGCAGCATTGATGTATGATGGCAGGCAACAAGACAGTGCTGGACAGGATAGCAGCAGCAGCAGCAGCAGCAGCAGTGAGGAAGACGAAGACGACGATGGCGATGCGAAGAACGAAGCGTTGAAAGCGAATAGAGCTGAGGCGGGAGAAGCATCGAGATCGAGCTTGGAATGGAGCTTGAGAAAGGAAGAGGCTGCACTGGCGGATGCCAAGGACCGCAAGCATCGCAAAGCGATCTTTGAAAAGATGGACGGGTTGAGACGACGCAAAGCTGCTCGTGAGTGTTGCATTAGGCTGGGCTCCTCGACCGCGAGGACTGAGATCAGCGGGAAGCACACATCGTGCGGGCGCGTTCGGCAAAGTGCTTCCGCATTGCAACGGGACCCGCGACGCGCGCGGCCCGGCGTGGCAGATCCGTCGGAACGCGCGCGTCGATCGCGTGAGCGGCATCCGTCCAGCGTATGCCACGGCGCTCAGCAGATGGAGCTCAGTCTACATCATTCGACGACGCCATGCTCAGAGATGTCAGCTTGGCTGGCTGGTGAGGCGCTGCTTAGACTGGCCTCAAGGCGTCTCACGTATGCCTTGCGAGGTGACGCAGCCAGGACGATGTTGTGATCATCATGGGCGGAGCAGCCATGTCAATCCGATTTTGCCGGCGCTCAGGTCCGTCGGACAGCAAGCTCGGGCGCCGAGTTGCTCGTGAGGGCCCAATCTTGCAATAGTTGATCTCGCTTCTGACATTTCATCCTCTTCTCACCGCGACGCAAAACAAATGATCGCCACGATTGGACCGACACGCATTGCTCAATCGATGGGATGACCTCTACCGACTGGTCGACCTGCTCCTGACCTCACGTGCGGGCACACGCCGCTGGTATGCTTCCCAATGGCCCATCGAACCACCGCCGGTCCTGATGCGCCTATGCGATGCCCCGTTGCGCCCCTCCCATCAGTGCCACCTCAGGGCAATGCACAGCACTTCTTCGGCGGCGGCGGCAACAGCGAAAGCAGTGCGCGCTGGTCTTCTAGAAGCGACAGCTCATCTGCTGTGACCGAAGCGGCCACAACGAGCTACAATAAGACGACAGAGGATCTGACGGATTCAGAGGAGAATGAAGAGTACGAAGACGAAGTCGTTGGCCATGAGCGAGTACAAATTCGCGTGGCGTCTGCTGGGCAACGCGCAACGTCCGTACCTCGGCCACCGCCGCCAAGCTTGTCGCCAGTCGCGTTGCCGCTGCTGCCGGTCCTGCTCCTCCTTCACCTGTTCTATCACATCGCGATAGGGATCGTTGCCGCAGCAGCAGCCTTGCGCTTCTACATACGGGCTTCAAGACTCCAGCCTCTGACTTCGCGCAACGTCTCCAGCGTGGAGGCTCGCTTGGCTGCTCGTACAAGCCGCAGCCCAAAGCACGTAGCTTTGATACTTGCGCCTCCACCCCCGAGCACGACACTTCTTCTCGCCCGAGCGGCTATGCGGGCGGCGGGTGCTACGCTCGCTCCTCTGCAGGCGAATCCGGAGGAGCGACGTCATGCGCTCGTTGCGCAGCTACGTGATGTGGCTCGCTGGTGCGCGCTGTGCGGCACGCCACGTCTGACAGTGTACGATCCGGATGGCCTTCTGGCAGATTGCTTCAACCAAACGTCCGAGTGGACGCTGCGGTGGTCGCCGTCCGACGTGTCGACGACCAACAGCACCGAGTCCCGCCTCTTGGCACCTGTCGATCCCGGCTCTTCGCCCACCATGAGCGACAGCTTTGTGTCGTTCGCAAGCGCATCCTCGGGACGTAGCGAAGAGGAAGAAGGACAGAAGCACGGCGCGCACGATGGTACCGCTACTCGTGCACACGCGTCCGGTCAGCGTACCGATGAGATCCAACTGCGCATCGAGGTGCTGCTACCAGGCCGCAAGGCACAAGGCACATCTCGCGGGCTCGGCGATGGCGCGCGTCACCTGCAGTTGCATGTGCTCGGTCCGCAAGATGGCAAGGGAGCGCTCGTGCAAGCGAGCAAACACTTGGTGGAGGAGGCGCTGGACGGAAAGAATGCAAACATCGACATTGCTCGGGTCGACGAGATCTTGCAATCACATGGCTACCCGCCTGAGCCTGATCTGCTCGTTTTGCATGGTGGACCACGTCGCGTATGTTCCTTGCACGGCTTTCCGCCTTGGAGTCTGAGGATAACCGAGATATTGTGAGTGTTGAGTGTTGCTGGAATCTTGATTGGGAAGCGGTTATGTTGGTGTTCAGGCACGACTACCAGACTGACCTCGGCGCTTGCTCCTTCGTGCAGCTACGATGCACGAGCGCATCCCCGTCTTCCCATCTCAGCCGCTTCCTTTGAAGCCGCTCTCGACTGCTTTGCAGCGTCAGAGCAAAGGCATGGAAGGTAGGTAGGGGTTCTCACGTTGATGAGAGCGCCAAAACGCCTCGACAATGTCTTGTGACGCCATGTATCCAGGCAATCAATCAATTTCCGTTGTCTGACCCTCATCATTCCGCCTTTGCGCTGTCTTTGGCAGGCTACGCCGCAAGCTGGCAGCAAAGCGACGCGGAGCAGTCGATGCAGGCTCAGCAGCAAGGCAAGATTGTGATGAATCCTCTTCTGGCTTTACAAAGGAGCTCCAGCGCTCTGCGCTTGAGCATCTTGACGACGAGAGCGCCGAGCATCGATCTATCATGAGTGCCGTTACCGACTCGAGTGATGGGACAAAGGCGTCTGGTGATCTCAACGATGCGGATCGCAAACAAGGCAGCGGTGGTGAAGTTCCTGTAGACCCAAAAGCGCGCCTTGAAGCCTTGCGCACGACATTTGGTGACAGCGGTATGGATGGCACAGAGGTCTTTGTGAGTGATTGCTGCGTGCTCGAAGTGGAAGCGCCGGCGAGTTGCTGCTGATGCCTGTTCGTGTCCAATGATCTGCAGATCGCCAATTGCCCGGCCGTTTTGACCCGACGCGTGATGATCAAGGGCACGCTCATCGTGACTACGCACCGCCTGTGCTTCATTGCGCATCTGACTTCGGAAGATGCAGCTGCTCCGACTGACCCTCATGCGGGTGCGACTCCACGTACCAAATCGAACGTGATCAAGCGGGGACCTGCGACGCTGCACCGTCCTGGTCTGCATCGCAGATCCAAGGCTTGGTTCGAGCGTGAGCAGCGTGCCGCTGCCGTGGCGTGTGTTTACGCGCTAACACGTCCCCGCTCGTTTCATTGTGCAGTCACGGCGGATGCTCTCACCGCCTACTCCTCCTCCACTAGCTTGTACAATCCTCTGGGTTCAGCGCGGCTGGCGGAGATTGATGATCTGCTGCCGCATCATTGGGGTCGGCCAAATTGCGTCGACTTTCGCATCAAGGGACGTAGGATATTCCTCGAATTCGACACGGAGGAAGCTAGTCTCGCGTGGCATCGTGGTGAGTGACGGAGGGGGATGCCCAATTAGCAATCTGGGAGCTCAGACCATCCCGCGCGCACCGTAGAGATCGAGGCGGCATTGTGGCGCTTTAAGACGACTGCGGAAGAGATTCGAGTCTCGCTCCCTCTTTGCAGGATCTTGTCCATGACGCAAAGCACCTACCTGGCATTTGCTGTTGCTTTGTGGCTCAACGTTCTTGATGATTCGAGGAACGAGGGCGAAAAGGATGCGAGCGCGACCATCGAGTTGAGCTTTGGAGTTACAAGAGGTCACGAAAGCTTCTTGAAGGAGCTCTACGACGCGCACGGCGCGGCAACGAGATGGCGTCAAGAGGTCGGCATAGATGCAGTTCTTCTGAAGAGCCCTTCGCCGATGCTGGACATCGAGGGACCTCAATCTAGGGAGGTGGACTTGACGCGCTCTGCATCGGGAAGCGACGGCAAGTCTTTGGCAGCCAGAATCACCCAGAGCTTTGGCCTAAGGTGCAAGCCCGACGAGCTGCGGCTTGTGAAAGCGGAAATCGTGAGTGCACAAGGAGTGTTGGCGTCATCTGCAAGATCTTTGAAAGCTCACTGTAAAGGCTTTCTTGGCCAGTTTCGCGCGGTGCCCATGCCCGGCACCATAGCTCTGAGTCCCGATCACTTCATCTTTTGGCGGACTCGTCTGGGACCCTTGCCAGACACAAGGCTGAAGGTCGGTGGTGGAGATGCGCCGCTCCGGGAGTCATGGCTCACACGTCTGCTTATCTTTGCAGATTCCCTTGTCCGATCTCCAAGGCGTTGAAGCGGAACGATCCTTTCGTTGGCGGACCTTTGGGCTTCGAGTGCACATTCGCGGATACAGAGACGAGTGGTTCGATTTCAGCAGCCAAAAAGACCGCGATGCGATGCTGGAAGCCCTCAACGGTGTCATTGCCAAGCTGAAGCAGAAGGAGTTTGATCATCGCGATGATGCGAGCGTCAAGCGCGGCATCAGCAAAGTCTCGGATGCGACGCGGATGCTGACAGCGGAGCCAGAGCAGACGCTGTCGCTTACCAAGGAGCAGATGAAGTTTGTGAGCATCGTGCCCTGGTGCTCTAGCCTGGCTTTCACGAACCATCCCATTCTGATTTGCGTACTCTCTACGCTTCTCGCCCCAGCTGCCAAAGGTGGTCAACGTCTCAGCGGACGTGGAGCACAACGTTCGTCGTCTTGGACGCCTGCGTATTGCGCTCATGACCATCGGTAGTCGGGGCGATGTGCAGCCTCTCATTGGACTAGCTTTGGAGCTGAAAAAGCATGGGTAGGCGTTGTCCTGCAATCTTTCAGCTTCGCGGCGTGCGCGTGCTGACTCTGCCTGCTCTGCTGTGCCCAGCCACGCGGTCTTTATCTGCTCTCATCCTGAATACCGCGACTGGGTGGAGGGCAAATTCGGCATCGAGTATAGAGGCATGGGTGGCGATCCAGCAGCTCTGATGAAACTTTCCGTCGAGCACCGCATGTTCTCGCCCGGCTTTTTCAAAGAGAGTGTTGGCAAATTTAGGGGATGGCTCGACGAGCTCTTCCGTGAAGCGTTCGAAGCTGCGTATGATGCCGACGTGATCATGGAATCTCCGTCAACCTTTGCAGGCATACATGTCGCTGAAGCCACTGGCGCGGCCTACTTTAGAATGTGCACCATGTGCTGGAACAAGACGGCCGCTTACCCGCAGGCGTTTAGCGTGCCTCCAGTGGATCTTGGTCCGGCTTACAATACCAGCAGCTACGTGTTGTTTGATGCGATCTTGTGGCGAGCAATGGCGGGACAGGTCAATAGGTGGCGCAAGGTATGTCTCCGGAGCGCGCATTGGGACGCACTTTTCCAGCTGACATCTTCACTGCTTCCTTTTCAAGCACATGCTCCATCTCGGACCCACCGATCTGACAAAGCTCGCCGCCGACACGATCCCAACGCTCTACAACTTCTCACCCAGCGTAGTGCCTCCGCCGTTGGACTGGGGTGACCGCATCTTGGTCTCGGGCTACTGGAACGTAGAGACCGCCACGGCGGAGAAGTGGGAGGCGCCAGAATCGATGATCGCTTTCATGAAGGCTGCGCGCAGGGATGAGCGCAAGATAGCGTACATTGGTTTCGGCAGCATTGTCGTGCCGGATGCGCGAGCGGTTTCGAAGGCCATCTACGAGGCCGTCGTTCGCGCTGGAGTGCGCGCCATCGTTAGCAAGGGGTGGAGCGAGCGAACCAGCGACGGCGAGAAGAAGGCTACAGAAGAGACCGAAGAGATTCCGGAGGAATGCTATGTCGTGCAGCAGGTGGGTTTAGGTTTCGATTCAGCATTCGTCAAGAGTCTTTGCTCACGCGATCGGCCGAACGCAGGTCCCGCATGACTGGTTGTTTCCCAGGATTGACATGGCATTTCATCATGGTGGCGCTGGCACGACCGGAGCGTCGCTTCGCGCTGGCTTGCCTACCTTGATCCATCCCTTCTTTGGCGGTGAGTGGCGGTGCAACCCGTCACAAATATGGCACATCTGATCTGAGTTGCATTACACAATGCAGACCAATTCTTCTGGAGTCAACGCGTGCACAAACTGGGAGCTGGTCTTCGTGTAGAGAATCTCAGCGCTAGCGATATTTCCGACGCCTTGGTCAAAGCTCAACATCGAATCATTGTTGAAAAGGCCCAAGCGGTCGGGGAGAGGATCCGCGTCGAGAATGGGCCTGCAGACGCCGTGAAATTTGTGAGTGCGCGCGGGCCGTCATTGTGTCTCTTGAAGCTGACACCCGCGCTTTCATGAAGATCTACCACAATCTGTCCATTGCGCAACGCAAACGCGTACCTCTGCGCGACAATCAGCCGAGGAGGCGAGTGAGCCTTCCAAATGTGGGCTTATCTAGCCTTCCCACGATCTCTATAGGATCCGGCTCGGCTAAAGTTGATGGGCACTTTGAAGGCATTTCGGAGCATGCAGAGGAGGAGGTCGAAATGGATGCGGGCGACGCTCATGGTCCGACTAACCAAATAGGAGGAGACTCGATACCGTTGACGGAAGAGCCCCTTGAAGAGGAGCTCGATACTCCAACGGCTGTAGGCGATCGACCCAAGCGTCAAGGCACGCTTGGGAGCTTGCATCTCCCTCGCGCATTGTCTGCGCCGTTCCATCTGCCTGGCAAGCGTCGCAGCAAAATTTCCTCCACACAAGTCGGTGCTCTACCCCTCGATCATTCCACGGCTCCGACGCTTCTCGAAGTCGGCACGCCAATCAGCCCCTCGCATGAGGAGTGGGAAGAAGAGGGTCAGGGAACGGCAGGTCATGCTGAAGAGGTGCGAAGGACGCACAAGACCGCAAAGGCCGAAGATGTCCGAAGACGAGAGCTGCTAGAAGAGCAATGGAAGAAAGATCTTGAAGAAATGGAAAAGGCTGAAGGGAACGACGATGCCACGGGTTGGAGCGTAGAACACAAAGATCGAGTCAAACGATTGCTCCAAGCTGCCGAGGATGGTAGAGTCTTTTCGAACGGCGATCATCCAAGCAACGCAGTCAATACTTGAAGCATAGACGTAGTGGAGAAGATCATGTATACCGCCGCAATGAAAGATCGCTTGGTTGCCGTGCGGCTGTTGAATGCGTGCTGGTGGCAGTGTGTCTTCGAAGTAGAAGCCGAGTCTTTAGAGTTACGCAGGACTAAGCTGTCTCAACCCTCAGTTCCTTTTGTAGTCTTTTAAGAACGGAGACAACAGAGAGGCGTGTGCTTTGCGACTTGTCAGATTGGGCCGATGTGCCGAAAGTTAGACAGTCTACTGGGACGAGGTGTATTGCAGACATTCGCTCGCAGGTGTTAGGGCGGGAATAGGGTATATATATCTGTGACACATACAGCGAACTATCTACGGCCATACCACGGGAAAAGCACAGGATCCCGTCCGATCTCCTAAGTCGAGGTCGGCGAGCGAAGCGAGCCGCACGGGACGTCTGGCGCACTTGTGCGCCCGGCCAGCAGCGAGCAAAGCAAGCACTTGTGCGCCCGGCCAGCAGCGAGCAAAGCAAGCTGCACGGGACGTCTGCTTGGTGCGGGGAGCAATGCAAGCTGCACAGGGTGGTGGGTGTGAGGACCGTAGGGTCTGCAGGCAAACTTGTGCGCCCAGTCTTGGCGCAAGCAAGCTGCACAAGACTCACAACTGTGTGTCTAAACCTGTGAAGGTACATCTTGAACACACATGCACATCATATACATCTCACATCCTCACACAGACATCTACGGCCACACCACAGGAAAAGTGCCTGGTCCCGTCTGATCCCAGAAGCGGAAACCCTGTAGGGTCTGGTCAGTAATGAGGTGGGGGACCACTCGTGAATCCCAGATGCCGTAGGTTCTTTATGTTCTGCGAGCGTTTCGAACCCAGTTCCCCGCATGCGTACGCCGCCGTCCCGTTCCAGCACGCCGCCGGCGAAATAATGTACAACGCTCATCTCTTCCAACTTGACGACTGGTACATTGTACTTCTGATTTTATTGCCAAGTTTAGAGCTGTAGAGCGTGGCTCTTGCAGGTACCCTGTCAGCTGGTCGCTCAGAATCTGAGCGAGCTTGCTGCTCGGCAAGCTTGACAACACAAAGTTGCTATGCCCGGGCTCAGCAAAGTGAGCAGTGTGCTGGCTCTGGGTGACGCCCGGCTGTGAGTGTTAGTAGATGGCAGTCGAGCGCCGTGATGGATTCTTTGCGAGCACTAAAGAGGAGCGATACGTGGCTTTACACGATGCGTTTGCAGATGAGTGAGGTGGAAGAGCCGAGCTAGAAATCAAGTCACTGATGAGCTATTTATCAATGGCGCGCACCGCGGATAGCTCCGCTTCTTTACCAGCTTGCGCAGCTACGCACTCCATGGCCTCTTACGCCTTGCGCCTGCTCTGCGCAGCTGTCAGCTACACCTTTTTGCTATTATGTATGGCGCAGAGCGCCGTCGAAGGTGGAACTGGTCGATGCAAGTCTACGATTTCGCGCATCAGGTCGTGTGAGTAATGACCCTGCAAGCTGGAAAGCGCAGGGTAGCGAATGGAGGCTGTGAGCAACGCAGCACACGCGCAACGCATCAAGTCGACATGAGCCATCTGGCTCTTCTAGACACGCTGCTACCCATGGACCACAGATAGCACCCCTCGCCGATCAAGGAGCCCAAAGCACTGTATGTCAATCAACGACTTCCAAACCCAGGAGTCGAGATGAGCGCCTCTCGATCGTGGCGTGTTGATGCATCGGATTGGAAGGGCGAGGCTGCAACGAAATCTGCAGGAGGTGGACTATTTCACGTGCCAGGCTTTGACCCGCCAGACGAAGCATGAAGAAAGACGGTAACGGGAAGGACAGCTTGACGCTTGCATGTCCCGGGGCAAACGCGGCGGGAAGGACAACTTGATGTTTGCGTGTCCTAGGGCAAACGCGGCGGGAAGGACAACTTGATGTTTGCGTGTCCCAGGGCATACGCGGCAGCGAATTCTATCGCCTGCTTGTGCAAGTCTGCCAGCCTGCTGCTCTATTGTCTAGCGTAAAGCGCACGCACCTGCGTGCTGCAGAGAGTGGACATGCGGCTCACAGCCAAAGTTGGGACTGCATCTCCGCCCTTGTAATGTGGAAGCTGCTGGACCCGGCAACGAGGTCCGAGATTTTTGCACCCTCCCATCTGATCCAGCAAGGCGTGCTCAGTAAACATCACATTGCGCTCTCTGTCCACCAGGCATGCTACTCACCGGCCATCCTTCGTTGTCCAAAATGCTCGTTTGATGCCCGCCCATCGACACCATTGTATGCACCTGTACACGCGTAACGTCAGCCGATTGCCCATTGCAGCCACGTGCAGCTCTCTCCAAGTTTTTGCTCACCTCCAGCAGGGTCTCGAATCGGCATAGTCGGAATCGACGCAAGCTTGGTCCTCATTGATGTGTGCAGAGCCGACAAACCTGGTGTTCACGGTTTCTGCCGCATCTGAGCATGCGCCGCCTCGTCTTCTGTGCTCGCGCACGCGTCGCTTTCTTCTCAGCTCTGCCCTCGAAAAGGGCGACTCTTGCAAGCGCACGACGTAGATGTCTGCTCCTCGCAGCCTTGTGCTGGGTGCCGAGCCAGTCGCAAAGGCAGCGTTTGGGATCTGAGCGGCAGGGCTAGCTGAGTGCCTCGGAGTGGGACCCGGAGAATGGCTCGGTTCATGTGCTGCGGCGCCAGCACAACAATCTTGCATCTCGATATGGTCTCTCAAGCTGACGCTGCAGCCCGCAAGCTTTCGCTCGTAGTGCTCGTGGTTTTGGTTTCGATTTTGGTTTGCCTTTCCATTTGAGTTTCCCTTTCTCTTCTTCAATCGGGATAGAGCGCGGTTTAAATCCCCACCTGTCCTGCGGGTCCACGGCGGTGCAGGAACGCGATTGGACTGCATCGACAGCTTGTGTTGCCTCGGATGACCTCGTAGGTTCTTGACCATCCACTTCCGACTTTGGCTTCAGCTTCGGCTTCGGCTTATGCTTCGGATTCAGCGAAGTGTTGCGAATGTCTTGTTGAGCATCCGAAGCTTCTGCATCGCTCGATGCGGAGCTGCCGGACCCGAAGGACTTCTGGCACTTCATCTGCTCCTTCCTTGCGAGAGACTTGAGCTTGAGGAGCTCCGCATCCTCTTGAGGAACTAAACTTTGAGCGTGTGCGGAGGTGCTGACAGTGTCAGCAAGCACGGCGAAGGTGCGCTGGAAACGCAAGGTCAGCGGTGCGCTGCCGAGCTGGGCAATTGAGCACAGTGCTTTGGTTAGTACAGAGACGATCAGAGCTGCAGCGCTTCGAATGGTCGGCTTGGATGGCTTTTCATGGGCCGCTCAATCTACTCCGGTTGTGGACCTCCGCGACTCACCTTGACAGCAGGCGGCCTAGCGCCGCCCAAAGCGTTCGAAATAGCGCTCATTTCAGCATGCATGCTGAATGCCATTGCATTTTGCGATTTGCCAAGCTCGCTGACCGAGTTAGATGTGTTTGTTGGAGCATCTCCAGAGAAACGCGGTCTGGTAAGGTTGTGACCGCTAGACAGCACCTTTCCTCCCTTGAGTATGACAGCTCCGTGTCTACGCCTAAGGCCACTACGAGCTGCTTCGGCAGTCGCGAGCTGCAGCACCTTGTTGATACGCCTCGAAGATATCATCTGCGCTGCATGCGAAGAGATAGGTGACTCGTTGGTGAGACTTGGGCCAGTGCGAAGCACGGGTGCAGAGTCGATGCAAGAGGGCTGCGTGTGTGACAGCTTGGCGAATGCAGTCATGTTGAGCGAGGGTCAAAGATGAGTTGGGGGGGTGGGGATGAAGATGCAGCAGATAATTAAGGATATTGCAAGCTTCTTGTTCAATTGAGATGCGTTCGCAGCGCTAGACGTGTTCGTGAGTGACTCGATGTGGGAATGATGGGGAAGCTGATGGTTGCGGAGCACTCAGGTCCCTGCATGCATACGTGGCTGAGATCATGGAGTAGCCGTACAGGGCATGAATTTGGCGCACGACTCAAATTGCCATACCAAGTGGGACGCGTTTTGGTGCAGCAAAACATGCCGTTGTCTCCGAATGTAATATGCACTCATCTTTGTATAGATTTTGCCGTCAAGCCTACACCACTTTTGAATCGGATGATCAAAATACGCTGATAGATAATCTTGACTTACGACATGTGCTTTGAAGTCAGAGTGATGGCGGGTGAGTCAAGGGTGTCTCGCTCTTCAGTTCGACGCTGACTGTTGACGTTGAAAGCGCGACGATCCAAGATCGAAGGTGATTGTATTCGGGATTTGGAAGCACTGAATTTTGAATTTGTATCAAGAATCATCCAAGAGTAGCCCATGCAACCCTGCTTGGCATCGAATCTTGAATGCCCATGCATGAGAGTCGTGGATGACAGCGAATGCACAACCGCCTGTAGCAGATCCCACCTCGGCGACAGGAGATGAGCTGTGCCGCTAGGTATGATGAGAGAAAGACGCCGTGGCGTGACTCGGTGAGGACCTGCAGCAGCGTGCATCCTTCCTCGAGACTTGCAGAAGCGCACCCACATGCGGCTGCTGTGAGAGGGAGAGGCGGCAGTCACCAGTCGTGAGTGGATTTGATCGCCTTGGGTGCATGCATGCACGCAAATAGACATCAGCACTGCGTCCATTCATATGGACTCTCTCCGACGGCGCGGAGTGCTCAAAAGTACAGTCGTGTAGTAGTCAAGAGTGTAGTCTAGGGCAAGCTCTCCAGTGCTGCAAAGAATTTGAATGAAGGGCTGCGTGCTGGGATCGAGCTCGTGAGGAGCGCGTCAGCAAGAAGTCTCACGTTTCAAGCGCTCATGAATTTTTTTTTCATTTGATGGGAATCACCAATTTTGAATTTGAATGGTGGATGTGATTTTAACAAGCAAAATGTTGTCGTCAATTTTGAATGCATGTGTGCGCACAGCCACGGCGCAAGGTAGCAGAAACAAACATTCGCACGAGCGCGGATTCAGAGAAAGCTTAATCTTGTTGTATAGGTTCGCAATCTCGTGTCTCCGCCATTATTGTGTTAATTCAAGAGCTCAGGACTCTTGACTGCATTATACACTTGACAAACGATGGTCAACGCGTGATTCAAATTGAATTGTGTACACATGAGTGTACGGTAGAAGAGAAGATGAGGCACACGGGCAGAACTCGGCAGGTGCCAGGTCGTCGGCGCCCGATGGGAGGGAGAGAGGCTTGAGGCGTGTGTTCTCGCGGTGCTGCTATATATATGCTGCTGCATGCATGCATGGTAATAATTGAATGCCATGCTGCGTATAGGTACCGTATACACATAGCACATACAGTACAGTCAAAAAGTACACGGCGGACAGTCGCAGTCTGCGCGGCAGCAGCCGCTGCATGGCTTAATTGGTACTCGCGATGACAGCTCATCTCTCTTACTCTCTAGCTCTGCCAAGCTAAAGGTCGACGACGATGCGCATGCATGCAGACCGCGCTTTGATCAGGTGCATCGCGCACTCGGTGATGTGATGTGCTGCGCTTTATACACCGCATATACGGTACTGTATACCTACCTGACTCGTGACTCACACTGTGCTGCTACCGCACACGCTGATTCTGTAGCCGCTGATGACTGAGTGAGCCATGCAGTCGCGCTTCAGCGATCGGAAAACGCAAATCTCGCGGCTGGCAAGTCGTGAGCGCACGCACGCTCATTCGCGATTCTGTTCAGGAGGATCCCTCTCGCTGGCGCGCCTGTTCACTTCAGCTTCTGCCTTCCACACATCACGTCACTTCATCTCTCGCATACTCAGGTCACGCAACGTTACGCACAGGATTCTCGATTGAGGTGTCTCGACGTTGACTTGGGATTTCGGTCGGATAATCTACGCCTCCTCATCAAAGCTGCTGCTCTCACAGTCATCCGAAGCCTTTCCCATTGTCACAGGCGTGTCTCGTCAATCGAAACACCTACCTTTCCGTTTGCCTTTCGTCCGCGTCACAGAAACGCCGTTGGACCGCGAGCACCTGTCGCCCAGATTCCCGTCCTGCCTCCATCCTTGCTGCTCCGTCCCCGTCATCCTTTCCAGACACATCGCCTGTTCAGCCAGCTTCATCGTCGCCTAAGGAGCATCCCATCCTGCAGATCCCGGCAAACGGAAGAGCTCTACCGCCCCTCGTCACTCTCAGCTGCGCAATCTGTACCCTCGCGCCAGAAAATCTTCTTTTCATCTCCGCACGGTGTCGCTCAAAGTCTCTCCCTTGGCACGGCATCGCCTTCACCACTCTTACCGAAGCTTTACCGCAGGGTTGTGCCGATGTCAGAGCTGCTAGTCGCTTGCTTCGCACTCACTTCGTAACATCTACCCGAGCGCCAAAGCACACCGGCGGCTAGCGTCGTCGTTGCGCTCGCTTCGGTCACTTTGTTGCTCGATCCGAGGCGAATTTAGGTGTGGCGCTAGGCATTCACGGAGCCGCAAGTCACCGTCTTGAATTGGATTGGCTGCATACAGTGGATTTCACACTACTTCGCTTGGTCTGGGCTGCAATTAGTGCAGCCCGCTCGAGGAGCACTTCGTCAGAGATCTTGGTCAAGTGTATCAGATTGCGTGCCCCTCTGCTCTAGTTAGTCCTCCTCTGGCTTTGCATCGTCCAGCTCACCGCAACTGCAAAGCGCAAGTATGACGTCTCGACCGCACGAAGGCTCTGCTCCCACTCATCGTGCTTCGCATTCACCAACCTCTTCGTTTGGAGCGGAGCGCGGCAACTATGGGATGGGAATCAGAGAACAACGCGGGGTCGATCCGATCCAGGCATTGCAGTCGCATCGTGCCACGTCAGCCACAGCGATTCCTCGACACAACAGCCTCTCACCAACACCAGCCGCTTCACAGGCTGGCTTCGGCAGTCGTCATAGCTCTTTCGGCGTTTCAACAGGTTCGGCCTTTCCAGCCAGCCCAAGTCAACCCGGTTTCGACCACGGGGTCACGGGCAGCACTCATATGGTCCCTCCAGCTCTGGCGAACGGCGCCGGAAAAGCGTCCTCTCCTCGGTCCTTTGACCCCTCGATACCTGTAGCAGGCGGCAACGGCGGCCAGCAAACGTTGACCGCTAATCATTCTCCTCTGCGTTCATTCGCATCAGCCCAGAGCGGTAGCAGCAGTGACCATAGTCGTCACAGCAGTGGGTACGCCTCATCACTAGGGCTTGGTGGCAATGCCAACGCATCCCACGGCGGCAGCGCCACAGGAAGTAGTACACTCGGTGGGCACGCGTACCCTTCGCACCAAAGCCTGCGCAATTCGAGCACTTCGAACGGTCATTTAGCTCAACAGGCAGAAGATACCAGCGTCGAAGCAGCCATCGCTGCTGCGACCAAGAACGGCCAGCCTTTGACGCCCTCTGCGATACATGCGGCGGCTGCGGCTATCGCTGCCTCCTCCAATCGACCACTCCTTCGATCTAATTTGTCGGACAATAGCAGCGTAGGAGGAGGTGCGAGCCTGCTGCCAGTGTCTCCAGGCTCCACAGGCATTCCAGCGTCAAGCCTGAACGGCGGTATCTCGGGGACAGACGAAGTGTCGGTATCAAGCTCGAGCACAAGCGGACCGCTCTCAGCCTCAGATCCTCGTACACAGCTGTACATCTCGAACTTACCCTACAGGGTGCGATGGCAAGACTTGAAGGATCTCATCCGCAAGGCAGGCACTGTGCTTAGGGCAGACGTTTCCCTCACACCGGACAACCGATCCCGTGGCTACGGCACGGTGCTGTTGGCGACTGAGGAGGATGCGCTGCGAGCAGTGAATATGTTCCAAGGATTTAGCTGGCAGGGCCGGACGCTTGAGGTGCGCATAGATCGATCTGGAACGCTGCTCTTGCCGACTACTCCTATTGGGGAGGAAGGCAGCGGGCAGAGTGCTTTGCTTGATGTTCCGAACCCTTCGATGAGCCTGTCTCAAGGTGATTCTTCGCATGGTCTCAGCAACTCAGCACCCCGTGCATCGATCTCGCACTCTCCAAACGTCCCGTCTCCGGGCAGCGGCATGTTGCCATCTCCAGCTATGCTCAACACGATTGCGAGCGGCGGGCCTGCCAATGCTGTCCCTAGTCCTGGGCTTTTGGATCCTTCAGCGGCGTCTTCTGGCTCTCAGGGACGCCAATCGCAGCAGTACCGCCCAGACTACCCGACATACGACCAATCGCAGCAGCGTTCGCACAGCGCACAATATCCATCGCCACTTCCACGTCCTGCGCAGCAGCTCCCTCATCGACAGGGCGCATACCCTTCACCGCAGCCTTATCACGGACAGCAGTATCAGCAGCCGCACCAAATTCAGCAGCATTTACAGCCTCTTCAGCAGCAGCAATCCTACGGTCAAGCTTCCGGCTCCCGCGCGCCTAGCGGTGGCTACAGCCCAGCATTGATTCCGTTCCTGAACAATGGGCGATCGGCGTCTGTCTCCGGCGGTGCAGGTGCCCCGCCTAGCGCTTCTAATGGTTGGGGCTCTGCCGGCCAACAAAGTCCTGTTCCTTCGACGTACAATCGTAGTGGCAGCTTCAGCGGCTTGTCGACTGCTCACAGTCAGCCGCCGGGCTACCACTCGCCTCAGCATTTGCACCATACCGCCACTGCTCCGCCTCCTAATCTGAACGCTGGACTAGGCAGACCAACAGCGTACCTTGGTCCGCCTTTACCACCTGGAAGCGCCTCTTTACCTCCCGTCAACTCGTACTACGGCCGAGTCTTGTTCGTCGGCAACTTGCCCTTCCACTGCCAATGGCAGGATTTGAAGGATCTCTTCAGAGCTGCAGGAAACATACAAAGGGCAGACGTTGCGCTAACACCGGAAGGACGCAGTCGAGGTTTCGGCACGGTGCTGTTTTCAAGTCCGGATGACGCTCAGAACGCAGTTCGGATTTATCATGGGTGGGTCTTCTAGCGCGCGATTACGTCTACTTTGCGTACTTTATCCACTGACGCGGCTACACTTGCGTTCTGTAGGTACGAGTACAGTGGACGGACCCTCAAAGTCCACTTTGATCGATTTGCACAGATGACAGCTCCTGCTCCTGGTCAGCTGCCAGCAACGCCATCGCAGTATACAGGTGCTTTCAGCTCGGCCAACCCACCTAGTGCTCCAGTCGCGCAGACCCAGCCAAAAGCTCCGCCCACAAATCTGATTGCGCAGGCTGCGAAAGCGCCCATCCTCACGCAGCAACCCAGCCCTGGCTACGCTGGAGCTCACATCGGGCAAGCAGGCGGGGGCTACCACATCCAGTCCCACGAGCAGAATCAACAGCAGCAGCGGCACCAATACGTGCTGCAGCAGAGATCTGTGCAGCAACAGCAGCAAGCCCAACATTTCCAACGCCAGCAGCAGGGCCCGTTCGACTACGCATCCCAAGGGCACAATTCAGACCAGTCTGGAGCTTACGGTTCCCGGGCTGCGCAGCAACAGTCGCACAACGCGAACTTTGGGGGAGGCAATCCCCATAGCAATTTCTCGTCTTTGCGTTATGCGGGCGATCAATCCCAGGAGTATGGCGGACAATACCAACTGCAGACTCAAAGCTCTCAGGACGGCTCAGGAGCAGTGCGGCCCGGTCACATCGCCATGCCTGCCAATAACTTCTTCGCTGTTGGGCCTCTCTCGCCCGCTGTCGCCCCTCCCGTGGGGGGCCAAGCGCAGCGTCAGAACGTCCCGTCCATTCCGATGACGCCAGGCATGCCCAACTTTACCTTTGTGCCCATTCCGCAAACACCTCCAGCGTATCCTCATCACATGCTCAGTCCAGGCTTTGGGCCCTTCAGTCCAGGTCTTGCGTCTCCGCACATGGGAGGACCTGCCACACCTGGCGCGGGGTCAGCTGCATTCAACCCCATCATCAACCCTGCTCCTGGTGCCCAACTCAATGCCGGCTATAATCCGTTGTTCCCTCCTGTCGGCTTTCAACAACCTCAAGGTCTACCGCAGACCCCCCACTGGTCCACGGACACGTCTTTGCACCAGCAGAGGCGTGGCAGACCGTCCCACAATCGGACGCAGCCTCAAAACCCGGGCGAGGTCGAGCGTCAGAGGCTTGAGGAAGCCACCACTCCGAGCGCGAATCCAGACGTGGGCAGGGCTGCAGCAGTCGAGCCATCTGAGCAAGCGAAGGTCGGGGACGCCGAAGATACCAAGAAGCCTCCAGATGAGGGCTATCCATTTCCTCTTGTGCAGCCGCACCTGGCCTCTTCTCTGTTGCAGCGGCGAGCCAGCACAAATTCGCCAGCCGGATCTCCATTGCCCGGAGGTCCAGGCAAGAGCGTCCAGTCAGGCTCGCAAGCTGGATTGACTGCAGCCGAGAATGATGGCCAAACTGCAGATCGTCGCGGCTCGCTTGACTTGCGGCAATTGGCCTCTGGAGACAAATCTGTGCTCACCGGTCTGGGCCTACCGAGCGCCAACACCGAGGAACTGACGCGGGCGATCGCGCGCATGAGCGTTCAGGGCACCGCTTTAGCCAAGGGAGCTGGGTCCGCTTCCGGCGCTGCTCCTTCCCTCAGCCCAGCTCCACCATCTGCCCGATCGGTGTCGAGCACGTCAGACCGCGCGAGACATCCTTTGGCCGAGCAACTGAGCTCCACCGATCTGCAGACCTCAGCTGTCGGAAACGGCACTGGGGTCTCTGGAAGCGCTCTCGCGGACACCCCTAGCGCGGACGGAAGCGCTGCTGGCACGCCAGGCACGCAATTGCCGTGAAGAGGCTACGTGCATCCACACACCCCCTTTTGCACCCGCGTCGCCCTCTTCTTATTCAGCCCCTGGTCTCTGCGGGTGCTCTGATTGCGATGTTTGGCTGGGGTAGAGCTCGCACGCTCCCCGCGCATCTCTCGTTCCCGCCCTCGACCTCTCGATCGTCATTTCTCTCATGGTTTCCCTCCCTTCATACAGCACATGGACTCGTATCGCCTCGCTTCGTCATACGTATTCCTCTTTCAAAACTTCCACGGCTTTCCCGCTTCCTCGAATCGGACTTTTGTGTCAAGACATCATCAAAGAAAGAGATCTCCATCTTACCGTCTGTCTCACGTCGAACGCGACCGCGACCACGCGCCCTCTTGAATCCAATGAAATTGGCGATGGACAGACATCACTGGGGCCGCTAGACACTCTGTGCGCTCTGTTTCTCAATAGCATTGGATTTTGTGGTCGCTTGACACAGTGCGTGTGATTTGAAGTGCGCACTCGACTTGGCTGGGTGCAGCTCGTTGGCAAGGCTCGGGGTTCGGGTCTCGCCCAAGGCCTCGGGTATATGGCCAGCTGAGAACCACTACGGACACCTTTGCCAAATGGCGGGTACGACCGGACAACTCTTCCGAAGGCCGCAACAGGCTAATCTGTTTGATGCCAAGATCTTCGCTCTCCTACCAAAGGTGCGTGTTGCCCAAAATGTCCGGTGACGCGATGCTTTGCCCAGCCCCCATCATAGCATTGTGGCCACCGATGGCAGAGTGATTGGAGGCGATCGAGCCGGATCCCGCCGACATGGGAGAGTCGGCCAAGTGCAGGTCCAGATCCAAGCCGCTCATTCCAGGAGCCAGGAACACTGCAGTGTTGCGCAGAAGGGGAGCAGATGAAGCGTTGACGCTGAACGCGAGAGGATCGCCTAGGCTGGGTTCGTGAGAAGCGCCCGACGCTTCTGTCCTAGCTTGGCTGGGTCTTCGCGAAGATGCGCTCTGCGCCTCTGGATTGCCGACAATCTTCTCTGCTGCGTGATCGGCTTGCTGCGAAGCATTCATTAGCCCAGCCCAATCAAAGTTGAGCATATCGCCGTGGTTCGTCGTGGCGTCAAACACCGCAGACGCTGTCCCTGAGGCTCCATTTGTGCCTCTTCCTGCGCCTGACATGTGTTGCTGCGCCGCCTCGACGTTGTTGTGTTGTTCGTTGAAGTGAGTCAAGGGTGGGCCTTGCATATTGTGTGGCTGTGGGGGCGCGAAGCCCACTGCTGTATGCGAAGGTCCGTTTGTATCCCGCGAAGAATGGCCATACTCTGACGGCATAAAGGCAGCTTGGGCCAGAGCCAGTTGGTAGTCTTCAGGTAGCGACGTACCAAACATCTGGTTGGTGGGCTGAGATTGTGTTTGAGACCCGCTCGCGTGGAACTGCTGGCCATGCACATCAAACGAATTGGACCTTGCAAACGGTGCCTGGGAAGGCGTAGCCTGCTGCGACATAGATCTCTGATGTTGGAAACCGTGAGGGCCATGCTGGTGCATGATAGGCGGATGTGGTTGGTGCAAGTGCATCGTAGCAAAGTGGTTGCCCATGCTGGACGTGGACGCCCAGCTATGAGGACTAAGGGGAGCATGAGCAGCATCGTCGTAGCTCGCACTGAAGACACTCGCGCCACCTTCGTTTAAGCTGACTGCACTCGCGCTGCCATTGCTTCCGGCATTCGAAGCTGGACTAGTCTTTTTCAAGTGGTTGCCAAATCTGGACAAGGGTCGTCCGCGTTGCGGTTCCTGTGCAGAAGGTCCAGCGCCATCGTCGTCGCTCTCGACATCTTCGAGCGTCTTTTCTGCAGCGAACGAGGACGCTCCCATGCCGCGCATTGAAGCGCTGCGACTTCGCTGCGCAGCCGTGGGTCTGTAGACGCAATCTCCAGGCGCACCAAGACCGTGTGAGATGCATCTTGCGCAGGGCTCGTTGCCGTCGCATCGTGTCTTGAGCTGTGAGCATCTGAGACAGGCTAAAAGGTGGCCGATCGGTAATGGTATCAGAGCGTGAACAGACGTCTACGCTCTCATTGTACTAGTGGCTTGCTCACCCTTGGGAGACCTGTTTCGGATCACGGATCCTGAGCCCTTTGCGCCCACACCTTTGCTGCGCGAGTCGCGCTCGTGAAGCAGCCGATGATGGCGCACCAGAGAATCCTGTCTGCTGAAACACTGCGTTTCAAGTGGTAGATTGAAGTGAGCTCGAGCTGTGCACTCGATGCGGAGGGCCGTAGAGCTCGTACCCACCTTGCCACACATTTCACAGACATACGGCTTGCACGTGAAATGCCGCAACGAGTGTCGTTGAAGATGCACCTTCCTGAGGGACGGAAGTGGAAGCAAAGGAGAAAGCGGGCAAGGTCAGTCAGATTGTCAGAGAGTCACTTCCCCATCGAGCAAGTAGTTGCGCGGCTCTCACCTCGCAAAGCAGGCACCGCAAGTTTCACACTTGTGTGGCTTGCGCTTCTTCAGTTCCTCCTCATCTTCGCCTTCGTTGGCAGCAGAGTTCTCTTCAGCGTCCTCGGCCACATTACCAGCGTCTCCGTCGGTGCCCGGGCTGCCGGCAGCATCGTCAGGAGAGGTCTTGTGCATCAGAGACGATCCTCCATTGAACGGTATACCGTCTCGAAAAGAATTGTATGAAGAAGGAGAAAATATGTCTTGATCCAGTTGAACCTCGCTTTTGAACGCAGAGGGAGCAGAGAAGGCGATTGGGAAGTGCGTTGGGTGGAAGCCATTGGAGTTGGCGCTAGAGTGAAAGTCTGAAGGTGGGCTGAAAGTGGCGTGGTGATGCTCATGTATGCTCGAGAGGAGCGCACCAGGTTGGACCCCAAGACTTGAACTGTGATGGTTGGGCTGCATCTGTTGATGCTGAAATGTGTACGAGCCACCCATGGCGGACATGGAGTACGCCGTTGGAGTTGCATTTGCACCAGTGATAGTAGCGCTGCTTGCCCCAGAGGGAGCGTCCCAGATCAAATCATCCTCTTCGACACGCATCGTGGCCTATTGTGGGTGTATTGATCGGCTGTAGAGTCAGTGTATGCGTCTTGTGAATGGTATGATGATGTTGAAGGATGGGAAGAATGGGGAGAGGGGGCGTACCTTTGGACGACCAGTGGTCAGATGGACGTCTTTGACTGTTCGACGCGGTTGCTGTGTATCTCAAAACAAGGGGTTGAGCTGCAGTAGCGAAAAGCCAAATTCGCCTGCGTGCAGCAGCGTGTCTGTAGACGTTCTGCCCAGGGCTGCGAGCGAATATGTAGGAACTGTTGGATGGTGCACTAGGCGTGCGCCTGTATCCCTGTCAGCCGGACTTGTCTCAGAGGTCTGCGTGGACGTGCAGTCAGAGTGCAATTGGCTGGATGGTGGAGAGCGTTGTGCAGTGGCGGGCATTGGAACGGTACGGTACAGCTCTACATATGCAGGCATGCAGCGAGACTCCACGAGGCAGAAAAGGACCAAGCGAATCCGATGCACGGCATGACCTGCTTCTTGCCCTTCGGGGCCCTCGCAGGATAGGCAGAATCGAAGTGCATAGCGTCTTGCTTTGAGAGGACTTCAGCCGAGATCGAAAACTCAATCAGTCTCGGGTGAGTCTACAGCAGGCGCGGCAGGCGCACAGCACAGCGCCTTCTTCGCACGGGACGCTCCTCCGCCCCGTCTGCGAAAAGTGTATGAATGACGCCTCAATATACACAGCGCAAGATTGAAGGGCTATGCGACGGCTTGTCACACGGGAGAGCACGTCGTCATCTATGGCGGCAACATGCCTGCCGGTGCCAGCAGGTCTGGATCCGGGGGCGACTCTACTCGGTGGTCGAACTGCTGACCGGTCGGTTCTGCTCCGCCGTCGAGGCGAGACAATGGACGTAAACGTATTTGACCTCGCCCCATGATGGCCAAGCGAAGTAGTCAAACGAACGCGCGTGCAGGCGCAGGCGCCTCAGCATGCAAGCACTATGCAAGCGGCACGCAGTCGATCCGAGCGGCGGTCGAAAAGAAGAAAAAAAAAATCTGGGGAAAAATGCGGGGAAGTGCTGAAGTGCCTAAAGGCTGCGCTGACCCTACTCCGGGCTCTACTGCCCGGACGACGCTCTCCGTTGCTCGACCGCGTTCTGCGCGACTGCTGCCGCGCAAGCTGCTGCTTGCCCTCAGCCGCGCGTGTCTCAACCCTTTGGCATCAAGTGCGTCATCGAATTGACATGCGCAGTCACTGCGCCTCATCAGTCTCACAACCGCCACATGCGGAGAAGAAGCAGCGCGCCGGCCACGCGTCTGCACGCGTACGCAAAAGCCGTTGGCAGTGCCCCAGACTTTCTTTGCAGTTGAGCCTTGGCACGCTCAGCTGCATGGGGCCCCGGGCATGACAGCTCAAGTTGGTCGAACGCAGAAGGCGGAAAAGTGCTGCGACCGACCGGGAATACAATTTACGAAGTCAAAGAATAATCACGAATGCAGCAACGATCAAAAGCGATTTGCAAACGGCCGCTGCAACCGCGTGGTCGCTCGTCGTCGCTGTGACTTTTCTGCTGCTCTTGCCGCACGCACGGATCGCGGTGAGCATGACCGAAACGTCTCGAAGGAGGCCTTGCCAGTCACAGAAGATGTCCCTTCGCTCCACTTTGACCGACCCTTGCCGTCCTCAGCAGCACCCACGTCTGGCACAGCGCCAATGCGTAATTGTCATGAGGAAAGAATAGGCAGCACTGAAAACTTCAGTCGGGGTTACGGTAGAAAGAGTGGACGCAACGTTTACAACAGTGTACTGTACTAGTCACGAGTCCGCCTGCATCGAGCGTGCTGGGTAAAGTCGAGCGCATGCGCGCACTGTCGAGAGTCTCTCTGGGCCCCTGCTTCCCTTCGCGTGGACGACTGAAACTACTCTCAGACTGTCACTCGGTCCAGCTGGGCAGTCGCAACGCTGAAACGACTCACCTGGCTAGTCGAGTTGATGCTCTTCTTCAGACCTTCTGGCACGCGCCTGCATTTGCGCTTTTGATTGGTCCGTACAAAATTCCGAAATGATCATCGACATGGCTGCACGCGCGCTTTGACCTCGCCGATCATGCGATGGAGTCGATGCTGAACGGGGCGCTGTCTCACTGATGACTCGCAACTCGCCCACGACGACTCTTTCGGTGAAACTTCGCCATCCCAAGCAGACGTCTCTCTGCTGCATCGAGCGACGCTGCCGTCATACGTGGTTCAGCAAATTGTGAGTTCGACCGAGGGGTAATTGGTGCATTGCATGGCCGCGGAGATGTCCACGGCCGCTGCCGGACAAGCTCTCGTGCAGGACTTGGCCGGCACGATGTGCATAGTCAAAGTGTTATGCGAAAGTCGAGATCCCTGCGCGCTGCTAGTCCTCTCGGAACGACACCAGTAACGCTAATGACTGCAGTCACGGGGAGGGCGCTAGGATAGAGCTCGAGTGAAGAGAGTGCTGTGGACCAAACATTTGGGGCCTTTCGTCCAATCGAATTGAAATCGACAAGAGATATGTGTACAGAGATCTGACTGCCAAGCCTTGCGGAACAAGGCCCTGCTCTGCGGTCACTCTCAGTACTCATCGGCTTGCGTATCCCCGTCTAGAAAAGCCGCCGGCGAGCTACTGCACGCCAGGCCAAGTCCGGTCAAGTGACGATCGGATCCATCATGCTGGGTAGCAAGTGCATCAGACCACTCATCAAGCGTCTTGCGTTGCGTGATACATGATGCCGGTGATTGCGGCGAGTCGTCCTAATCGTCTCGTACTCTGTCTCCTCTACCTTGGGACATGCGCCGGTAGTATCGACGAAGAAGATTGAGTCCGCTAGAATTTAGGGCTCCTACTTGATTCATGCCTCCACCGCATCATCCCAAGCTGCCACGTACGATTTCATTGTGCTTCGTCGGTAGCAGTTTCTAGAGGACGATCTCCTCCGTGCACTCGCCACAACGCGGGTTCCGGGCTGTTTGCGACGCTTGACGAAGCTCTGCTTGACTCCGTGGAGCCTGCTACCTGACCTCGGTGCCGTTCGGTGCCAACGAAGGATTTCCTTCTCTATAGCGAAGCGCCCATCAAGTGCGAGTCGGACAGACGGACGGACCAAATTTGTCTCACCCGCTCGCGCTAAAGTCTGGGGTGCATCGAGTAGCGCGACGTTCGTGGTTGCATGGCGTTATTGCGATGATTCTGTACAGTCACAGTCAAAGGTACCCTATCGGTATAGCTGTAGCTTTGACAATTCACGTCAACCACGAATCGCCCACTGCTGGTCAACTGCTTGACGCGAGAGCGTGGGCTGACTCGAGCGCCGCGATTTGCAAGTCATGTTGGGGTGCATCTACAGTCACGAGTCTACATACGACATTCACGCTCATCCAAGAATCAATGTCACTTCGGATTAAATTTCGAACCCCCCATCCATAGACTGCGTGATCTTTGAGTGACAATCTTTGTGGTCGGGGCAGCAGCTTCAGTACAGGGAGAAGAAGATAGGTGAAGCAAGTCTCGCGTCATATGACCTGTACCGCCTTGCGTAGATACGGAACCCACGAATGGCAAGATTGAGGGCGTGGCGGAGATCACCTTTTCAGGACAGCGTCGACTTAAAGCAAGTATCAGTGCCCAAGCACGCTGCCATCTGGCTCACAGCACCGCTACTGGCCACATCGCGATACGCCTTCTCACCTTAACCTGATTCACTGTCGCCGAATTGCCTGGTCTTCTACGCTGCTCTTGCCCTACGCCGATCTGGAAGTGAAAAGCAAGAAGCACTCGACGGCGCACTGCGCGTCAAGGTCAGAGTCCACCATCACGGCCCTTTATCGCCCATTCCCAGCCATCACATTTCTCTTCGCAATCCACGACTATACGAGCGCTGGCTCAACTTCCCGATGTATTGGCGATTAATGACCACTTGCCGACGGAGCCAGAAGTGCAGGGAAAAGAGCACACTGCAGACGACCTTGGAAGAGGGAAGGCTTGCGCGCGCGCGCGCGTCCGCGCGGGCTTTGGCTCTTTGCGAAAGCATGCTGGTACGCGGAAGGACTGCCGATCGCACAGGTATTTGACTGGCTCGGTAGAGCAGCATGATGGTTAAGGTCCGGGCTTACAGCTGGGTCTTGCACTTGAACGGATCTCTCGACACAGATGAAGGTCGGAAATTGCAATGTCATCTTCGCAAGTTGATACGCACATACCACGTTCGCGCGCCCGCGCGCTCCCCCTTGCCTTTGTTGGAGCAGTCCCCACGACATGACCCAATGGTGAGCTACGCGATAAGGGTGCGTTCGCGGAGGGATGACGGGGTACTTGCCGTCGTGCAAGTTGGATTTCATATTGTGACAGTTTTCTATTCCTCTGCGCAAGTGGAGCCACGAGCCTTTGAGGAGATGTTCACCAAATTCCGCCAACATTTGCCGGTCAGCTTCTTCACGTGCCAAGTCTCATGTCTCAGCTTTGCTTGCGCGGTGTTTGTTTGGGAACGTTCTGCGGCAAGCTGCTGCTGATCGCTCTCGATGGCAGATGCGAGGACTGCCCAGAGGCAGCAGGCAAGCGGTCTGTCTGCATCGCTGACTGCATGGACACCTAGCTGCGTCCTGTGTACTCCCTCACGCCTCCACAAGTTCCACTTTGACTGGGGAGCCCATCCTCTTGTTTGTATACGCGAGATGAATCAGAAGCGTTCGATCCCCGTGGTCGCGAGTCTCGGTCCACGTAGGCGCTCGCGCCTTGGCACAAGTACCGAATTTTATTGCATCACCAGCAGAAGAAGAGTCTGCCTCTGAGTTGATTTCTTGATTAGCTCGACTGCCGGATCCTGCTTCACTAGCGTGCTCCGAAAGTCGAACCCCTCTGCGGCGCTGCAGAAAAGACGCACGTCGATTCAATGTCTGCACAAGGTGTTGCAGATCGCGTAGGTGGATGCGATACGGCACTGACACCCGTGACTTTTGACTCACACTGTGACTATGGGCGCGTACTGCACCAGTCGCTATCTTGATCCCGAATCAGCGTGCTTTTGGACGCCTGAACAGTAAGTCTCGGTAAAACGCGACCTGCTCGACAAAGCACGAGCTGCGCTGCTGCTACCGCTCACAAAGCCTCCAGGTGCGGTGAGGGATTGGGCTCTTTCGGTGTCGCGCGGGTTGAATGCGAGAAGCGCTAGACAAAACGTCGGGCATACCTTGGACTGCAGCACAACGGCCCTTCCAGTTTGTCCGTTAGGTCCGGCACCAACTGCCCAGATTGCAGCTTAGGCTTGGGCCACAAGCTCGACAACTTGTGCGTGTGTGCCGTTGCTGCCTCGAACGGACATCTGCGAGGAGCCATGATGTTCAGTTGCCGGTCTTGCATTTCATTGGCGCAAGCAAAAGCTAACAAATCGCCCGGCGAAGCCTCGTCAAACTACCTTGTGAACGGCAAAATTGAGGGGCAGCGGCAAGCGAGTGCGCCCACCCCTTACCTTTCTTGATCGGACCCCATGAGGCGCTTCGAGATCAAAGCGCGGAAGTCAAGGAGGAGCGTGTTCGAGCGAGTGCGCTAAGGGGCCGCACCTTGCAGCACGCCTTTTGAAGACCTCATGGTCACACTCAGAATGATGAGAATGTGCAGATCCTCTCGCTCACTGAAAAGTACAACACGGCACCACCACCTTCCCCTACACACTACTCCGGATACCCAGACAACTCCCCGCCACCTGTCCCTCCTTTTGCCCCTCTCCGCTCCTTTCTCACTCCCTTGCTCTGTCATCGCATCTCACCTCCCGTCTAGCCATGAGGTTGAAGACCGTGTCCAGTGTGACCTTCGCGCTGACCTGCCTCTTTGGCGCATCGAGCGCTCTGCCCGCGGACCCGACCCTTGACGTTCGAGCTGCGCCCCAAGCTGGCCTTCCACAAGATGTTCCAGACACAAAGACGGCATTCGACGAGGTGTCCGATCCCATCCCCTTCGACAAGCAGAAGCTTTTCTCCACTGAGCCGCCTCGACCGATCGGTCAAGCACTAAGACAACGTCTGACGTTCGGTGCCAATTTGGCCGCTACCGTCTACTGCGCCCGCGTCCAAAACCAGCGAGAGTTCAACTGCGGAGCGCCTTGCGAGCAGAGCGACCCAGATGGGCAGGTCTTGTTCGTACAGGGCGATGGTTACAGCGATCCGCACCAGAGCGTGAATTGGCTACCTAACGAGAAGGCCGTCTCGGTAGTCGTGCAGGGTGCCAACCTGGAGGTGAGTCGAGTAGAGGGATATGGCTTGGCAGCGATGATTGACGACGGTCTGTTCCCCCTGCTGCTTCTTTAGGATCTCCGTGGAATCTTCAATGTGCTGGCATTCGTCCCGCTGCCTCCCGCAAACCCCATCAGAAACACGCTGTACACGTTCGGAAGCAACGCAACGAATCCGATCGCCTCGATCATCTCGATCTTGCAGAACGACATTTCGACGGTGCACGGCGGATTCCTGGCCACCTGGGCGCGTTCTTACGACAAGACCTTAGCAGCGACCAAGACTGCGCTGGGAGCCCACCCCGAGGCGATCAAGATCATCATCGCCGGCCACTCGTTGGGAAGCGCAATCGGGCTCTTGACCCTGCTCGCCTTTTTAAGCGACATCGGTACCGATCTGCCCTACGAGTATCTTGGCTACGGCTCTCCACGTGTCTTCAGTCCTCTGGGAGCCGACTTGGTCGACAATGTCGTGTCCAACCCATCGGCTGGAACCACTTATCACCACGTTCACCACAACAATGATCCTGTGCCCCACTTGGGACCGATTGCGCTGAACTTCCTTCACGCTCAAAACGAAGTCTTCCTCCCCGACACGGACAGTCCCACCGCGCTGTTCTGCCCAGGCGTGGAGAATATCAATTGCAGCCTTGGCCGTACCAACTTCACCGTCAATGACCACGCCGGTCCATATTTCGGTCGAATGTGAGTAGTGTGCTTGTGCTCGTCGCACATCAGTCATCTGACTAACAGCTGCTTGCCTTCTCCCAAACTCAGTATCGGCAGGGACGGCGTGGACTGCGCTGGAGGTGGTGGCGTCTAAATCGCCTGTCAATAGTTCCCATGTACTCCGCAATCTCCCTCGACCCTCCCCACGCGAAACGCAGATCTCTTGCATGGCACACTGAGACTTTGCCATCCTTGCACTTTCATGATGAGATGAAATTTCGTGTTATCGGTGATTCGTCGGCCATCTCACGCAATTGCCGGTCGGGCTTGAGTGTCTGCCCACAGTGCACCGAACCTGGCCAAAAGAATCGTTGTCGATAGCGATCGCTCGTGGACAAGCGGCGTGAATCAGCGTGCGCGACGGACAGAGAGGTCGTGATCTGAATCCCACGCCCGAGATCACAATCGCCCAAAGGGCATGAATCAATGCACGGTCGAGTTCAGCTCGACAAATTGGGCGTCAACGTTCGTCGGATTGATCGAACCGTGCCACGTGGCCTGTAGCTCAACATCAATACGCGCGCGCCGACCGACCTGCTGTGCTCGCGCGCTTCCGCGCGGTTGGTGACGCGCAAAAGCGCGACGCGTCTGGCCACCCGATTGCGCGGGAAGTCAACACCATCACGCTGTCATCGCGTTGCGGGTGGAGTCCGAGTCAAGAGGGTCCAAACTCAACTGCGCATCCCGAATCCGCCATCACACAGATCCAGGTCGTAGCCGGTATCAAGCTGGCTTCACTAGAAGATCATCCGAAGCTCAGACAGATACATACACAATTGAGCAAGCGCGACACCACATCGAGCTAGCGACGGAATGTCAAGCACGGCAAACAGCTCCACTCGGGGCGCTGACAAGTCGCCTTCAAAGCCCGTGGCAAAGTCAAGGCAAAGCCTGGCGCCTCCCGGAGCTCGACGTAGTGTGGCTCCAAGAAGCAGCGCAGCTCCGACCAAACCGTCTTCGGCTGCGCCAGCTGCGGCTGCAAGGACGGCTCGACCAGCAGCAGGAAATCGGATTGCAAATGTAGCCTCCACCTCTGTCGATGCTTCCAGCGGCCAGTACGACAGCCCAGGCATAGACGCTCGATTTGCCGATCGTCTGGCGGAGCTCAGCGTGGGTGATGATAGCGCTCTCATGGAGTTCGGAGGTGAAACAGACTCTTCGCCTCTCGTCTCCTTGTCAAGTCGGAGCGGAGCGGCTGGACCACGCGCTTCGTTTGGCAAAAGAGGACCTAGACCTTCATGGGGTCCAAAGGCTTTCTCGAACAAAGATGCGGCGTTTGCTCCCGCGCCTGTACATCCCAAGCCGAGTATGCGATTTTTGGAGGGAATAGGCGCAGACTCGTCTGCTGCAGAGGAGAGCCAAGTAGGAGGAAGCAAAGCACCCATCTCTGGAACGTCTGGACGAGCGCGGGCTAGACAGTCTCTCTTTCAAAAATCCTCCCTCTTCTCTTCGGATGGTGTGGCTACATCGACAAGTGAGGCAGCAGCAGCAGCAGCAGCAGCAGCAGATGCAGACGAGTCCTTCGACTTTCAAGGAACGCAAGCCGAGCTTGGTCTGGGCCAGGGTGACCATGGTCGTGGCGAGGGACGCGCGAGCGGGCAGGCCAAATTCACACCTCGTGCGACCACCGCGTCGGGCTTGCCAGCGAACGACGAACCAACTCAACCTGGCAAGGCCGAGACACAGGAACAGCGACGAGCTCAACTGGACGAGTTGAGGCGGATGAACGAAGTGTTTGAAGGGTACGAGAACATGCTTCGTGGGACGACGGATCAAGTCGACGTGAGTCTCGTGGGCTGTTTGCGACCGCTCTGCGAGCGCCGAGCGATCAGCAAACCTAATATACTGCTGTTTGTGATATCCTCAGGACTTTTCACAACGCATCGCGGAGACCGATGCTCTTTTGGATATGTACATTGATCTGCTCAGACAAGCTGACCGCACACAGCGCCTCTTGTTGGATGGCGACTGGAAAGGTGCGACGGAAGTGAGTGGTTTATACGCAGACCAAGACTCGGCATATGCCTCGCTTGTCGGCAGGTCACGCGCTGACACCCTAGCCGCCGCGTCGTGACAGGATGCGGCAGCCCACGCGCTGTCCCTCGAACTCGCTGAACGAGAGACGGCTCGACTTCGAGCGGCTGCAGAGGCTGAAGCAGCAGCGCGATCAGCAGCTGTCGAGAGAGCGCAAGCCGAGGCCAGAGCAAGGAATGTTCCTGCTGGTACCGGGACTGGACGAGGAGGCGCTGCAGGTGGACGAGGTGCGGTTCGAGGCGTGACAGCGGCTGCGAGAGGTGCAAGAGGAGCTGCTACAGGTGTTAGAGGTCGTGGCGCATCGACGGGAACCAGAGGAGCTTCAGCTGCGAGTGCTACATCTACTGCCGCTCGAGGACGTGGCGCTGGTGAGTCTGCTCTTATGATCGTTGTTCTACCTGCGCACTGGCATGCTGACCCGAGACTTTGCACGCACGCGTGTGTCTAGCTGGGCCTCCTGCCACGATTACCAGAGCTTCAGGCATCGCGCGAGCTAGACCCACATCGACGGGTGTACCATCGAGAGGCACGGCCAGCGGCAGGGGTACAGCTCGCAGCTCGGGCTATGGACAATAAGTTCTGCGCTTGCTTTTCACGAATTACAACATATCTCCTCCCTCGCCTCTTCTTTGCAATGCCCACCAAACGATCTCGAGTGTCAAGGATCACCAGGAACTCTGCTTCTCGGGCTCGTCGTGAAAGTTGCATATACCCATGAATTTGCTCTCTTTGGCCAGCCTTGTCACTGCTTGAAGCTACAATGATGTGGCTGCTAGTCCTCTTGCCTTTGAGCTTCAATTCCACATTCATCACTGATTTGCAGGCAAGAAGGACCGCGAGGGGTTCGTGCGGGACTCCATGCGTCGTGGATGGCTCAAGTGCGAGTGTCCTCCACGCTGCTGCTGCTGGTCCTTGTGCAGCAGTCGCGCGCGCGGTGCGCGGCCGTCGAGGCTTGGCTGCATGACCTTGGCGCAAGGACGGCGCCAATCGTGGATAATCACCACGAATCGTGAATGCTGACCTGCTTGCGGCTGTGCACGAGGTGTGTATCCCGTCACACTCACGACCGATACATCATTCCATCCAGCTACCTGCATACCTTTTTGACTCCATCACGCGTCATTTCCACCCTTTTGGTCTACGATTCGCAAACTTCTTGAAAGCGCTTTCCCCAAGCTTGCGCGGGCTTGCACCAGATCGCACAAAGAGGGTTGGTTGCGTCGTGAAGCCCGAAGGAAGTGCGAGCCGAGCATCGTCAGACAAATTAGGCCTCTTCTTGGGCCGACCGGCCTGTGTATCCACCAGCGCAATACCGCTACACAAATTTTCGAGTCTACCCTCGCGTGCACGTCGCAACCTACATTTCTGCACGATAAGGACTGGCCTGCGTGCGCTACGCTCCAATCGCATACATCTGCTTTTCAGTCAACCTCTGGTCGGCATGGGATCCTGTCTGTCCCGATCCAAATCCAGCGGTGGGCGAACGGTCGGATCGAGCTCAACAAGCGGCGGTGCAAGAGCAACATCCAACAACGCGGCCGCACAATCGCAATCCGAAAGAGAAGCGAGGGCAGCAGCTGCTGAAGCTAGGATAGCAGCTTCGAACAAGAGGGGCACCGGTGGCAAAGGACCTGGAACGTTGGCTAGAAAGCTGCAAGAGGAAAATAGGAGCGGTGGAACTGGTGGTGCGGGACAACCTTTGCCCGAGAGGGTCGTTGTGAGTGTGTTCGATGTTCATGGACTGCTGAAGGTCTTTTTTGAAGGAGCAAGATATTTTGTGCACCACGCACCTCATTGCGAGTCAATGCGCCTTGCTTGCGCTTCCAAAGACGAGGGCAAATGCTGTGCTCGAGTCGAGCGTGCCCCGCAACTGTAGGCTTGCTGCAAAAAGTCCGCGAGCTCATCGCCCGCGCTCTGGGATGACGCTGGCGACAAGCTCAGCATTTCCTCACGTCATAGAAAAGCCTCGCACTTTCCTCCCCAAAACAAGGATTGACACGCTAACAAATCCACTGCGCCATTTCGCGCAGTATGACTAAGGATGGCCCTGCGCAAGACGGTAATGACGGCTCTCTCTCCTGCTCTCTGGGCCATTAGCTTCGCTATATCCTGCTTCCCATCATGCCTAGCGACGACCTCTTAGACCCCTTACGATGCCTAAGTTTTTCGCCAACGTGCCTTCGACGCTACACATTTCACTCAGTCAAATCGTCACGCTACTCGCAAAAGTCATTTGATAGCTACGCCGCGCTCAGCAATGCTCGATACGAGACAACATAGCATCGATCGAGTGCTTCGATGTTCGTGATCATTGCGAACAGTCTAAGCTTTGCCAGTCTCATCTCGGACCTGGCAATTCGGAAGGGCAGATGCGAAAAATTGAGTCGTGCCCATCGAGGTCAGTTGGCACGATCTTTGCTCAAGGTACCCGCGTGGAATTAACCTCACTCACCTCGCTAGAGCTGAAGCTCAAAATGCCAGCCTCATCGAGCTTGGCGACCAACTCTTCAGCCTCTTCGACCGGCATTTCTCCGAGCACCTTGTTCACCTTGTCCAACTCTTTGCTCTTCAAAGCTTCCTTCATCTCATCAGTGAACGCCGCGAATATATCCCATCTCTTCTGCAGGAACTCTCTGACTTTCTCTACATCCATGCCCTCTGTTCCTTCGCCCTCCAACTCGATGTGATCAGGGGGTGGACCATCGGGCACCTCAAAACCGATGATGGTGGACGGATCTTCGGCGACTAGCTGAATCTGTTCTTGACCTGCTCCATCCGCTGACGAGCTCGTGTTGGATTGCTCGGCTGCCAATTGCTGCGAGCGCGTGTATATGCGGGCAAACGTGCTCAGCACGTCGTTGAAGTAGACCGCTGCGGCCCGCCCGTCCGTTCCTCGCATGCTAACAAGAAAGAGAAGAACACCGAATCAATGTTGACCCAAAGCTTTGGGACCGCATCTCACACGCTTCGATAATGCCACTCACCGCTGGAAGAAGAGCATCACGCCGTCCTTTCCCAACTTGTCGCAATACTGGAGCATGAGGCCCTTTTCAGTAGCTCGCCTGCCTCTCTTCCGGTCTCCGCGCATACAAGCCTGGAAGGCTTCCACCAGTAGCGCATCGGTTACGCCAGGTCTGATGAGTTCCTTGCGATTGTCCCTCAAGAAAGCATATGCTTTCTCAAAAGCATCGACCGAGAGATCTTTCTTGGGATTCCAAGTCGGGGGTAGAGAGGCGGTGGCGAATGGGATGGAAGAGGAAATGCAGGGTGGATCCAGATCGATGAATCGGGACATTGTGCTCGAGAGCGTAGGCACCTCGGCATCGTCGTCTGGATCTTCCGTGGCTGCTTTGCCTGCCGGGGCGGCGACGCTGGAAGAACTGGGAGAATTGATCGTCTCGTACGTCGTCTCTGTCTTTTTTTGCGAAGGCGTCTTTGAGGAAGGTGCTGCTTCCTCAGCTTTGGTGACATGCTGCAGAGGTTTGGGATTTGTCGCAGCGTTTTCACATCAGTCGCAAGAGTGGGCAAGCCACGTCACATTTGCTGCTCAGCAGCGGACCACTCACTCCTGAGCTCCAGCCTTCTTTGATGCCCTCGCTGGTAATTTTGCGCTTCTCATCCTCCTTCAGCTTGTCCAATTCCTGCTTCGCATCTTTTGTTCTCTGAGCCAACTTTGCGCGATGATCCTTCACAGCTTGACTGAGAGCATCATCCAATTCCAGGCCTGACTTGCCCTTTACGCGAGATTCCTCGTTGATTTGCAAGAGCAGCGAGAGGACCATGTCTTCGGGCGAGGGAGCAGAAGAAGCTCTGCCGGAAGATTCGCGCTCCCCTGTCAAGCGCGAAACGAGCTGCGAGTAGGAAGAGGAGCCGGTGCTTCCAAGATCGTCGATGACCTGTAAGGAGCACGCAAGAGCACACCGATAGGTCTACGTTTAGCTAGCTCCGTGCAACGCAGAGCGAAGAATGCTAGCAGTGCTCATAGTCCAGAAAAATGGCCATGCCAGGCTCACCTTGCTAAGCTGACCATCCAGATTCGCATTCAGTTCCAATTCCTTTTGCAAGCCTTCCATATCAGCTTTGGCTTGAGCCCGCTTCTCGTGAATATCCCTCTGCTTCCACTTGATGAAGGACTTTTTGTCCACATTGGGATGGACCTCTACATCGCTATCGTCCGAAAGCTCCAAAGCGTCCCACTTGGCATAATTGAGCGGCATTTTGGGCAACGTTAAAGACTGGCTGCTCTGAAGAAAGGATAGCGAGAATTTGAGGAGGAGTGAGGTGAAAGACCACCGTCCCTTGTAGCAACGGTGCGCGAAGCACGCGCCCAGAGGCAAAGCAAAGCCATGGCAGCCCGAGGACCGTGCACTGGCTTACTCGTGCGAGAGACCATGATACCCCGCGCCGCGTGCCAGCGACTCGATTCAAGATGAATCTTGCAGCCGCGCCAAGAAGTCACGACGATCTCGACTCCTGACCCTCATTCGGGCATCTCTCTGCAGCAACCTTCTCCTGGCTATCATATGCTTTTCCACATAGAGCGCCTGAGAATCTTCCTCGCTGCACATTCGAGTAAGCCTACGCTGTCCTACAGCTCCCTAAACTTAGTACCGCGAACTGGCGCCCAGGCAGGCTTAGGGAAAAGAGTCGACGTCCCAGTTGGCAACCGAGCCTCGACCCTCGCTTGCACTGGCGCCAAATCTAGAAACCACATAGACTACAATGCGTTTGCCGACTCTGCGCTGCTTGCCTCTCTTGGCCCTGATAGCTTTATCTCTTCTGCAAACCGCTCATGGAGTGAGTGAAACTACTGCACTTTCTTGGCTGCATGCGCATCCTCCGCTCGGAACGCTCACGACCGCTCCCCTTCGCTCGCAGCTCTACTTTTACCTAGACTCTGACGCCAAGAAATGCTTCTTGGAAGAGCTACCAAATGATACAGTGGTGGTGGGACACTACATGGCCGAAGTGTGGGACAAGGCGAGCGAAAAGTTCATCATCAAGGATGATCTGGGTATTGCGATTCAAGTCAAGGTGAGTCGCGAGTCAGCTACGAGCGACTTCGAGAATGAATGATTTGCTCAACTATTCAGCTCCACTCTTCGATGCGGGTGCACACGACAGGAAGTGCGCGATGATCACGTAGTGACGTCCACGCGAGGACCCTCGGAAGGGAAGTTTGCCTTCACATCCCACGAGGCGGGAGACCACGAGATCTGCCTTGCCGTAGCGCACGTAGGAGAAGCGCACGGGGGTCATTCCGTTCGAATGCACCTCGACGTAGTGATCGGCGAGTCCAAGCCGGACAATTCCTCGCGTGATAGGCAGCACATTGTGGATCTGGCGGGAAGGGTCAGGATGTTGAACGACAGGCTTAGGGATATAAGGAAGGAGCAGCAATTTCAAAGAGAGAGGGAGGCTGATTTTAGAGACCTTAGCGAACTCACTAATAGCAGAGCTATTTGGTGGAGCGCTATTCAGGCCGTCGTCCTCATCGCTACTGGCGTGTGGCAATTGAGGCACTTGACAGTGAGTAGAGGCAAGCAAGCAGACAGAAGAGCGGCTCTGCAAAATGCGACAGGTTCGCCGATGCTGAAGATTCATCCTTTCTCTCTCCCTCACACAGGTCTTTTTCAACGAAAAGAAGCTGAGATGAGGCACTGGAGCATGTCGAACGGGTCCGAAAATGTTTCTCGCTGAACCTGTTCATGAAGAGGGCGACACAGCGCGACAATGCCAGAAATTCACATGACTTGCAGCGCAGAGATCCATCTTGATGCGAGAACGCAACGTCTCCCTACGTTGCACCGCCATCATCGCAGATGACATCTCTGCTTCTTGACCACAAGTGGACCGGCGATGCGTTGCAAATGTTTGGCTCAGTTTCACGATTGAGCTGCACAAGGGATCGCCGGAACTCGTCCCGGACTGCAGTCACACTCTGCGATATTCCACAGCGGATGCTGCCTTGCGTAGCAAGTGCGGACTCGTGCCAAGGGACACAATGTGTGTCCTTGACACTTTCAAGCCCCGCGCAGCTTGTGACTGCTGATCGCGCAGGGCTCGCTTCGGTCGATGCGTCAGAGCTCACAATATCATGTCCGCTCGGATTATTTGCGTGTGTTTATATATTCCACATAGCATATATGCTTGGAGAGCAAGTCTTGGTCGGGCTCAAATGCACGGATCATCAAGTTGCGCATCGCAGTACCGTCACTTCTTGACCTTCTCGCTGTGATGAGAAAGGCGCCGGAGAGAGGGAGGAACAGGAGATCGATTCGGTCAGGTCAGCATTGCCGTGCGGGCAGAAATCACAATAGCGTCTTGGAGTAGTGCGACAGGGGCAGATGCTACTCACAGGAGCTCGGGCACGGCGTTGTACAAGTCTGCAACGAGACCGAGATCAGCGATTTGAAAGATGGGAGCTTCCTCATCCTTGTTGATGGCCACGATCGTCTTGCTGTCCTTCATGCCGGCCAAATGTTGAATCGCGCCGCTGATTCCCACAGCGACGTAGAGCTCTGGCGCGATGATCTTTCCGGTCTGTCCGACTTGTAGGGCATTGTCGGCATAACCTGCATCTACTGCTGCTCGAGAGGCTCCGACAGCCGCGTTCAATGCGTCGGCCAAGGGCTCAATGTACTTCTCAAAGTTCTGACAGGCGGAAGCATGGATAGACCGGCAATCAGCGCATACTTTTCGAGGCTTGGCGAATTGTAGCGCGCTGGCAGCTCACCTCGGCAGATTTCAAGGCGCGACCACCGCTGACGACGCGCGGGGCAGTGGCGAGGTCAGGTCGCGAAGACTGGTTGATCTTCTCGCCGAGGAAAGTGGTGGGAGCTGTCAAGCGGGGTGGGGAGTATAGCGCGAGAAGTGCGCCGAATTAACGATCGTCGTTGCGCTGCAGCGTGACTAAAAAGCCGAGACCGCACTTACACTCGGCATCTTTGGCATCGACTGCTTCAGCTTGAGCACTACCACCCTCGAGCGCAGCCTTGTCGAAAGCGGTACCGCGAACAGTAATGACCTTGATCTTGTCGCTAGTCTTGACCTTTGCAATAGCATTTCCGGCATAAATCGGTCTCTCGAACGTGTCCTCGGAGTGAACAGCGACAATGTCGCTGACTTGGCTCGAGTCGAGCAGAGCTGCAGCGCGTGGCAACACGTCCCTGCCCACTGCTGTGTGGCCTGCGATGAGATGGGTGTAGCCTTTGGAAGAGACTAGCTCTTGGAGCAAAGGAGCGAGGGGCTCGGGCAGGCTGGATGCGTACTTGTCTCCGCTAGCGTGAAGCACCTTGCTCAGACCGCTGACCCTGGTTGATGAGGAGTGCATGGGGCAAGCGGGCGTGAGCAGAGATGTCGACTACGTCCGGCTCAGTCCGAGAGCACTGCTGCCTCGTGCATGCGCGGCTGGAAGCGATCGAGTTGTCCAAGTTGGCAGGACTTTGCGCTCAGCTCGACAAACTTGCGCGCAAAGTCTCTGCTGTGCGCACCCCACCCGACTGGCTGAGCTCCTGCTGAAGCCATGCAGTAGCATTCCCAGCGCTGATCCCCTGCTGAAGCCATGCAGTAGCATTCCCAGCGCTGATCCCAAGCCGAGAGCGGCCGCCGAAGATGCGAGCATTGGGCACTCACTTGGTAGCCTTCTCAACCACACCGTCCGTCTCTCCCTGCTTGCCCACCACAATTCCATGAACCTCCTTGCCGATCTTTCCTGCAGCCGTGAGAGCGACCAGACTAGCAGGGTTGATGTTGCCTTCCTTGTGCTCGATGAACAGCAAAGTGTTTCGAGAGATGGAGCTTGCTGAAAAGGAGCGAAGAGGTGTGGTGTGCATGCGCGCTACACCTCGAAGGGAGATGCGCGCTGGTGTGGCCAATGCGATCATCTTGGTGGGTGTATATGTGTGTGTGTGTAAGCGCGCGCGGAGGAGGAGTCGACGTGCGCAAGGGTCGAGCGGAAGGAAAGGAGTGAGGCGGACGGTGGTGGCAGATGGGATGCAATGGGACTGTTGTTGGGCAGTGGTGGAAGGGAAGCGTTGAATGCCCAAGTCGTCTTTGAGCAGAGTGGCTGGAAACATCATCATCGCAGGACCGCATCAGCCATCGGCATGCAAGACCCCCCAGTCAGCTAGCTGTGACTTGACGTTCGTTGCCGCACACACCGTATCGGGCATCGCGGGCGCAACCGGTGAAAGCTACATCAGTGAGTCGCGAGTTGGTCACGAGTACCGCGCGCGTTGCGCTGCTGATCATGCCGCCTGTGCTTCATAGATGCCTGCTGCATGTCCGTTCGCATCATCTCATCTGCCTGCCTGCCTGCCCGCCTGATGCATGCATGCAACATCATCAGCAGAAAGCCTCGGCCATCTGATCGCAGCCATGCCATGCCAAGCGCGGGCTGGACAGGTGCACAAAGCGCGTCGGCGGGGGCGCAGGCTCGCATCACGCGAGGCGCGCATCGCACAACAAGCACGCACGTGGAGATTAGCTGATCCTGGAAAACGGCTGGGAGAGAGGGTGCAACCCCCCTGGTTCATCGTCATGTCCGAAAGCCGAGGTGTCCAATTGAATGGATTCGTTGTGCGCTCAATCGTGATGGTACGTTTGCTTGACTGGCTCTCGGGTAATCTCCCATCACACAATCTGAATCGATCACCGGACCGCGCACAGGGCTTCAAGCACTCGATAGTGGGCCACAAACGTCATCGGCGAGTGAGCGTTCATCGACTGCCTTTGGTAATGACCGCTCAGAGCAAGGTCCGCTCTCACCAACCGACTCAATCTCAAATCGAAGCCGCACCTCGAGCGCCTACAACAACTTTTCGCTATGATTGTGATCATGACAATCCAGGGAATGGTGACTAATATACAGAATTTGCGAGGCGACGTGCAGACGAATGCTGGAGTGTTGTCACGAGGCGATGATGAGACATGAAGTGATCGAAGGAAGATGATTCGATGTGCGGCAACAGATAAGCTCAATGTCCATGGTGGCCCACCAATCCTTGTAAAGCTTTGGGAAGCATGCTACCGAGCAGCAATATAGCTATGCGTCCCGTGCGTCCAAGCAGCGGTCGTCTTCTCACCACCGACGACTCGGCAGAGAGTGGCGCTCGTCTGCGGGGATTGCTATTGCTAGGTGCCGAGCCCACACCACCAGCTTGACCGTTGGAGCGACTTTGGCTGCTGACTTCTTCTTGGTCCGCAGATGGCGCCGTGGCGTGGTTCACAGCGTGCATGGCCACAAAGAGGAAGGTGCCTGCGCTGAAAGTCAATGCCGTTCCAATGTGCTCGGCGGCAATGCCACCTCCCTGCGCTGGCTCATTCCGCAGGAATACAGATAACACACCGTACGCTGTGCGACAACAAGGCGTACCGAGTCAGCTTCTACGGGCTCCCCGCAACGCGAGACGTGTGAGCCTCTACGCACTGATAATGGCCCCTAGAGGCGTGCTGAGTGCGAAGATCAAGATGGCTTGCCTGATAGCCCTTCTGTGCAGCTTTTGACCGATCAGTAGAGTACACAAACCAAACGCGGCCGGCTGTGCGTGTGTGGAACACCGCCAAAGCAGATCCGGGCTGATTAGCAACAATGATCGAGGTCGTATATAACGAGACGGGTCGCGACCACGCTTGCTCACAGCTTTGTGAATCATGATTGCTAGCCATACGATGACACGCAGAGTTTCGTCTTCACTTCCTGCGCTCGCCCCCATAGCGATGCCATCAGCAGCGGCGTGAATGACCAGTCCCGCAACACTGGCGAACGCTGCTCTAAGGCCTCTAGCTTGCGTGACATTTTGGCCCCTATTTGCGCTGCCTGAAGATTCTGAATGGGTAGCAGTAGCAGCAGATCGGTGGTAATCTGCTGGAAGAGTCTCGGGTGATGACGTCTCGTCTTCACAACCGACTGCCTCTGGATCGTGCGCACTGCTTCGCCTTTCCAATCCCGGCGAGGCAATGCCTTTGGCGGCTTCCACAGCGACTGACGCTGCATCTTGACCAGCGTGGGAGTAGCACAATGAGCCCGAGCGGGTCAGTCGCCACGATTCTGGCCTGGGCAATCTAGCGCGCTGATTTTCTGTGCCATGCGAGGGGGCTACATGAGCTCCTGGCGAAGCGATCTGATCGATGCTACAAAGTCGCGCCTCCCAAGTGGTCAGCATGCAGGCCAACTCGACTCACTGCTCTCACCTCCGCGCCAAGCCGGAGCTCAGGCGCGGGATAACAGTCAACTCACATGAACATGATCATGAAGCCCGCGAGGATAGCTGCCCCAACCGATGCCTCTGCATCGATGGATTTTGGCGAGTCCGCAGCAGCCTTGAAGAGACTGCCGCCGCCGCCTCCTCCGCCGCCCAACAAACCGCCCAGAGCGAAGCCATGTTGCCTTTCAAGGCCTTGCGTCGATACGCTCACTTCCATTCGGGTATCGCGACGATCGAAGGCTAGTGCTCCATTCTGAACAGCATACTGCGCTCTGAAAAGAGCCGAAACGCCCTCTGGCAATACGACGGTTGTAGCAGCTCCAAGCAGCAGTCCCGCTCCTAGCACTTCCAATATCCTCAATGAGTACTTAGATAGAGGCAAGTGAAGAGGCAAAAGACCCACCAAGAAGGTGCCCACTGCCATGAGCCCGCATGGGATGAGCAAGAAAGTGACGCTGCTGCTCATCGTCCGATATTTTCTGGGGAGAATGAGCGATGAGGTGGAGCAGCACGCGTCGTCTGCGCAGGCTTCGGGAGCAAGAAGCGAGAGTACCACGAGATTGGCCGCTGCTCGGCTCGACGCTGATGAATTTCCGATCCGTGGAAGGGCTGTATGCTGTAATCGTGAATGTGTGACCAGGCGACGAGGATATCGAGGAATGCGCCGATAGTGTAGGTGGTGGAGACACCTGTGACTCTCAAATCTTGTATGGTGCGTCGCTGATCACTTGGTCGCGCAGGTATGACCTTCGGGGCGTTGTCAACGTCTTCAATCAAATGAGGCGTTGTCAAAGTCTTGCGTCAAACGTGTGCGGAACAGTCACGAGATCATCCGGGAGTAAGTGCGCAAACGCATATATGCATCATGAGTCTCGAGCGAGTCAAGATTTGGGCCCCACGGCCCTTATCCTGTCGACCTGCAGGGTCGTCGCGTGCGGCTTGCTATACGAGCATTCAAAATTTGTAATCAAATCATAATGGAGCCTGAATTCGAGCCTACCACTCATCAAATTCAAATTCCAACTCAAACTCATGACTCAAGACTTGACCACCGCGAGGGTCGCCCTACGCAGAAATCACGTGGTTGTGGCACAAACTAGACTTTGGCTTCCAGACCGAATCGAGAATGTTCGAAGCCCCTTCTTCACTGGGACTTTTCGCTATCTCGACTGCTTGTGTGAGAGTCCAGGCAAATTCGGTGGCCGAGCTTCAGAAATGGCTCGCGATTGATGACTTAGCTGGATGCTCCATCTACTGTAGCAGATGTTGACTGGCAACGAACTAATTCAACAATTGTGCCAAGGTTTGGATGTCACCACCAGTAAAAAGTCAAGAGTGACGGCCAGGCGCGGAAGGGCGTGGCGGGCGCGTGGATCCGCTCATGTCCTCATGCATCTCTCGTACGGCAAAAGTCGTGATCTGCGGCGACTGCATGCGCGAATGCGCGCGCCTGCTGTGGGGATTGCCACGTGGTTTGGGTTGTCTTGGTGGGCGAAGTGAATCAGCGAGCACAGAAGCGCGAGCGATAACTTCGAAGATCCCTGCACGGCCACTTGCCTACTGTCACTTCATCCACCTTTTCTTCGCCAAGCCTCAAGAAATCCGGTCAATTCGTGCGTATCATCGGCATCAATGAGGGGCGGCGCTCAAGTCGCAGGAATGTTGCGCGAGGATGGACGAGCAGAGGGCGCAATGGGTTTCGCAGCATTTTTACCCGCGAGGCTGACGCAGATGTCTCTTCTTCACCTCTTTTCCCTCGTCATCTTCTCCGGACTGCTTCTCGCATGCGGCGTTCTTACCTGGTTGTCTCCTCGGTGTTTGCTTGCTGTTGGGCACACTAACGATTGTAGAAGATGGGTCTCTCTCGTGACTCGCGCCACAAGCGCTCCCACACTGGTGCTCGCAGAGCCCACTACAGAAGTGAGTCCACTGGCGAAGCTAGAGCGCCTGGTCGACATTGTGGCAGCAAAGCATGGGGCAAGATGTTGGTTCGCAAGGGGCGCACGGATGGTGACTGAGGTGGAGGAAATGCAAGGAGGGAGAATGACGGCCACAGAGGAGATGATAGTTTCATCAAGGTGGAATGTGCGAGGACTCCGCATGATTTGCTTCAATATTGTCACGATTGGAAGCTGACACAAACGCTATCGCCACTTCGTATTTAGAGAAGCGCCAATTCGAGCTTGCGCGTCAAGCCGCCAACACCCGTATTGGCCCCAAGCGCATTCACGCTGTCCGCGCTCGCGGTGGTAACATCAAGCAGCGTGCTCTCCGTCTCGAGAGGTGAGTTTGGTCTAACCCAGACTGCGGTGAGATTGTGCGGAGCGGCGCCCACACAGTCTCGAGGACAGCGAGGAAATAAACGGAGCGTTGAGGAGAAAGACACCATGGGTCGGTGCATGGAAGGAGTCGGTTTTGGAAGGGTGCTGCCAAGCGAGCCGCAGTGCATCGCATAGGCCCGGAGAAACGCAGCCTCCTTTCGTACTTGTTCGATTACGGCGCTGACGCTGTCTTCTCTGGCGATTTTTAGCGGCAACTTTGCATGGGGCTCTGAACACATTACGGCCAAGAGCCGCATTCTGGGTGTCGTCTTCAACGCCTCCAACAACGAGTTGGTGCGCACCAACACTCTGGTAAAGAACGCCATCATCCAGATTGATGCCACTCCTTTCCGTCAAGCGTACGAGAAGCACTACGGCAAGCCCGTGACCACCAAGCGTCGCGCTGCTGGTCAAGGTGCCGCCGAGGCCAACGAAGACGAGAGCAAGAAGAGCAAGCACGTGCTCCGCAAGCTCGGCATCCGCGAGAAGACCAGCAAGCTGGACCCTCTCGTCGAGCAGCAATTCGGTGCGGGTCGTCTTTACGCCGCCATCTCCTCTCGTCCTGGTCAATCCGGCCGTGCAGACGGCTACATCTTGGAGGGCAAGGAGCTCGAGCACTACGTTCGTCGTCTCCGTTCTCGTGGTGCTGCCAAGCAGGCATAAATGCGGACAACACGGTTCCTCCTGTTGTTCCTCTTCTGTCACCCTGCCCAACCGGTTCGCCCACCTCGACTTCCCTGTACTATTCTACTCTCAGTTTATGCATCGATCAGCTGATTTGCTCACACAACCCGAGCATTCTTCTGTCGATCATCCTTGCGGTACGACAAGGTGCCCGAGGAAACCACTCATCCAAGCATGGGCGTCTGCTCATCGATGCGCCCATGCTCAGCTACACAACCATAAAGCCAAAATCGGACATCTACGCTTTCATGTCGATTGTCTTGACCAACAACACGCTCATGTCCCCAATGCAATGGTATCGATCCTGATCTGGATAGTGCTGAGATGTGTACGCTCTTGCGTCAGAGGAGGCGGAGAGCAGCCTTGGCGTCACGTTGGCGTCACGTCGGCATGCTTAGGCATTGAGCGCCAAGTCATGCTTGAAGCACGGCTCTGACCGATTCTGACCCACTTTTGAGTGGATAAGCTGCAATCAAGTGACTGCTCAGTCTGACCTTCGGCCCGCGCTTCCGCTCGCAAAGCGAAGGCGGTACACTTTGTCGCGCATGGTGTTAGGCAAGTCTGCCCAGTGCTCTTTTTCCGGATCATCGAGCACCTCACTGGCAGACAAGATGAATGGCCGAGGCGGACTTCTGTGGGGGGTGGGGGGGGGGATATCTAAAAAGAAAAGGCACGAATTCGAGTTGCGAGTAAAGAAAGAGGCTTGCATGCCTGCATGGCTGCATCCATGGCTTGCGAGGCGCAAATTTGCGAGGGACTCACGACTTTTGCGAAATTGAGACGTTGCGCGTGGGCTAGCTATAGCAAGCAGCTAGCATGCGTCGCCGGCGCGAGGGGGGCTGGCTGCCCCTTTTGCTGCTGAATGGGGCTTGCCATGCATGCATGGGGCTCAAAAAGGGCAAGTTTTGCCAAGAGTCAAAGAGGGTTGGTTGTTGATTGTCCTGAATGAGGAAACACGGATTGGATGAGAAGCTGCACTACGCGCATGCAGCGTGAATGAAAAATTGTGATGGATGATGGATGATGCCTGCCTGGATGAGCGGCGCACGAGCCGCCATGAAGCCTTATTGACAGCATTCGTGATTGGCATTTGTCTTACGGGGCGGGGGAGCAACGATAGACTCCTGACTGCATGCATGCCTCCATTCACATCGCATAGACTCATCAAGACTTGACTTGACTCTGCGACTTGACCGATCGAGAAATATATACTCGAGACTTCCTCAAGACGCGCGACGGTGTCTCTACGCTCTCAAATCTGTGCCTGTTATACCCGTCGGTATGCTCATTTAATTCGAAGACATGACGCGCGCATTATTACGCGCCTCCCAAGCTTTTGTTACTGTGATTGTTCGACTCACGACTTATTGTGTGACTTTTGCTGAAGCTCTGGCACGCATGCGCGTGCCTGCCTGCCTACGCGTTCACGCACGAACTCGCTCGTCGGCATGTGTTTGTGTTGTGCTTGCACCGCAACACGCAACACACCCCCCACACCAATTATATAATAGAGCTGGCTGGCATGTTAACGCGGGGGGACGCGTGCGTGGGCGGGCATATATAAAATAATTGCAATCGTAAATCAAGAATGTGGATCATCACGAATCACTTAATCTGAAAGAGCGTCGCTGACGAGAGGCCGGCAGGGCAGGCAGCGCGCAGGCAGGCTTGGCGAAGTGTGGAATGTGTGGCTGATGATGATGACCTGCTGAGTCGGACTCAGACTGAAGACTGCGAATAAGCCTAGCTTTCGGACTTGGATCGAGCAGACCGATTGCGGCAAGTATATGCTCATGAAGTGACTGCATACTCAGCAGCACTCCATTCTGATTCTTGCTGCTGGCATGCGTAACCATTCACGATTGGCGCGTCGCGTCTTCTCTTCTCTTGGCTCGGCGGCTTGTCTGCGGATGCTGCAGCCAGGGAATTCAGCAGGCATGGATCGCTCGCGCTGCATATACTGACAGGCAGGCACAACTCCACCCCCTTTCATTGCCTTTCTTGCCCCGCATCCAGATTGCCGACTTGCCACAATGTCGAGATCGAGAGCGAGGAGATGAAGGAGTGACGAGCGGACCCGTTCAGACACGCACGCATGGAGGACTTGCCGATGCCGCCGGAGGCGCGTGCAGGTCATTCATTCACTTGACTCACATCGCTCTCGATGCACACCAAGAGCAAGAGATGGCAGGCAGGGCATGGCTTTGTCATATAGCGGCGGCAGCAGCAGCAGCAGCAGCAGCAGCAATTGAACGCTCAAGCCCCACATGTACTCTGTAAATATCACCGCACACGTACACACACGATGCCGAAAGGGAGCCGGTGATGAGACAGCCGTCAATCGTCACCTGTCTCGCAAGGCCCATGCTGGCAGGTTGGGCACTCGACCAGCAGCAGCGGACCCCGCCGCTGTCAGCAGCTAAGCTCGATGCTGGAACGCGGCATTGTATGTCCGCGTATAGATGACTTGAGTTCTGCGGTGCAGCGACGACCCTGAGGGCAGGGCACCTACGTGGTGTGGCGATTCATTGGCTCGCGGTGACGCCCACACTTTCGCCCGTGGTAGCACTGCTGTCAGTCGTGAGTCAGAGTGAATGCACAAGTCACAGTGCGGATGGTGAGCCATGTGATGTATAAAGATCAGTCCGATAACCTCCTCAGGGAAGACTCCCCTTTCACATTCGTTCTTGCTGGCCCTATCATCGCCTCTCACCTATTTGCATCTGCACACCTCCTTCACCATCGCGAGCTTCGCATCATGTTTTGCTTCTCGAAGACAGCTCTGCTCTTCGGCTTGGCAACACTGGCAGCGTCCGCTCCTATTCCCGTCAAGCGAGAAGTCGGCGTGCTGCAATGCGACACGGTATGGACGGGTACGCTGACCTTTGAAAGTTCCAGCAGCAGCAGCAGCAGCAGCAAGGGCAACGCCGGTTTCGTCGGTGTCAAAGACGGTCAAGGCTTGCCCGTTCTCGTCACCAAGAATGCGAATGCCGCCCTGACACCGGTGGAACCGCAACGATTCGACTTTCAAAGATGCACGAGCAATAGGACGCCTGGATTTATGGGATACGCAGATACCGATCAGGTCGTCTATGGACATTTGAGCCCCGTGAATGAAGAGGAAAAGTGCGTCACACGGACTGCCGAACGCTTCGTCAGCGATGGCTGCAGCTTGAGCGACGATAGGTGAGCATCTCCAAGACATCTACACTCTTCCACCACCTTTTTGCTCCCCCAACGCCATCCCACAAGAATCAGATACTGAAGTCAACTCCCCAACACCGCGCTGTCCTCCCTCCCCCCCTCCTCTCACGCAGTTCGCAATTGCTTCAGTATTTCAAGCTGAATGTGCAGAGCGGCAAATTGAGCTTCGTGGGCGTGGAAAAGTCAGCAGAGCCTTCTCGGCGCAACACAAAGTACGGCATCCAGATCAGCTCAAAGAAGCACGGCAAGGTGGCTCCAAGGAAGAATCAGCCAGATCAAGTGACGCTAAAGCTTTCCAAGTGAAGAGCCCAACGCGCTTCTCCCATCACGGACCACATCTCATCGTCGTGCCCGGTCCCTTTCTATCCCCCCCTCCCTTCTGGGGTTTTTTTTTTTTTGTTTTTTTTTTTTTTTGCCTCGCGTCACGCCGAGACATTTTCTCCTCGCAAACGTCCACCAAGAACAGCTAGCCTCTCGCTGCAGGGCACATATGCCTTGGCGTCAAGACTTGTAATTCGATCTCCCACTGCTCCGCCCTCGACTCACGACTCACGACTCACGATCTTCCTTACGCACGCTCCGACACGTTTCTCCCCGAATCAAGACTTTTTGGCTCCTTATGATCTCCCTCCTACTGTAGATTTTCCGACTCCACGCAGCATCATATTGTTTCCCATACCTTCAGCACCCTCGCCCGTTCCGTCGTCTCTCGCTACCCCTACTTCGCCGCACGATAGGGGACCCGCCTCATTCCCACTCACACGGCGCGCAATCCGCAAACGAGGCCAACTTCCCGCCAGAATGTCTGAAATGTTCTGATTCACAATGGATACATGTGCTCATTATCGAATAAGGGAGCGCAGGCTTGAGCAGATTTCGGTGTCGACCTGTGGCTGAATCAGGCCCAGGAAGGTTGCTAAGCTTCGTAGCTAGGTGGACCATAGCCCGTCATGCGAGGCAAATCAGCATCTCGATGATCCGGCTGAGGATGCTCCGAAACTGGCCCAGCGTCGTCAGCCATGACCCGAGGGTCCAGGGCAGCGTTGGATCGGGGCTGCGCGAGCATCTCGTAGCCTTGCGGCGGTCCCCTGTGCTCTACACCGGGTGCAGCTTGATCTGCGTCGAGTGGGTACGCAGGTGGCAAGGCGTGCGCTTCATATTCGGGATGCCTAGAAAGCTCTTCAGTAGGATGGACACTTCTACGGTCGGATGAGTCATGCTCTGCATTTCGAGAACGCAAATCATACGTATTGTGCACAGCTGAACCTGAGTGTCGTTCTCCGCCTGGAGGAATGACGCCCGAGGGATGGCGCGGCATGCTGCGAGGTACTTCATAAGGCGGAATACCGCCTCCGGCTGCAGTGCCGCGCGAAGAAGCAGGGCGACTACCGTCGACGTACGGGGGCGGTTGAGGTGTGCCATTGTTGGTGGGCGGAAGAGGTCGTGGCAAATCTCTGCCAGTCGCACCCACGGACGATGCAAAGCTCGGAGGACTGTGGCTCTGCGCCACGCCATGTCGCAAGGCGCGACCAGATTCACCTGCCAAGTGCGAATAAGAGGGTTCTAATGATTGTAGCCTCCCATGATGCTGTGATTCTGACCATTCCGGCAGAAGTGGGGGTGAAGGAGACGTCTGGCCCACTGTGGCTTCCAGCAGCTCGCCAGTGTTCCATTGTCCGGGCATGCGTGGTCCAGACACTTCGACCAATCCAGATTGGGGCGACTGTCTAGCTCCGGAGCGGACTTCTAGATTGTCGCGAGGTGCATAGCCACTTAGATCTGAATCGAGTGGAGGTCCAGGGTCAGAACCGTGATGCGGGAGCATGGCCGCAGATCCAAATGCTGGCGGCAAAAAGGCTGCGTCATCCCCAGAGCGAGGGTCTGAGTGATGTCTCGGCATTGCTATGCCCACGCCAGCGACCTCTACTTCCAGGTCATCAATTACCTGCAAATCGTGCTGACTCTCTAGCAGACTGGGTGGTGGCTCTCCAGCGTGCTGCTCATTCCGTCTTGTAGCCACAGCGACGTCCATGGCTTGTAGAGCACTCCTTCTGAGGCTACTATCTGCACTGGAGCCGCTAGGATGTGCTAGAACATCCAAAAGCCGTTCAGCTTCGACCCTATCGGCCGACTCGTCAGAATCGCTGTCCTCGTCCAGACGTCGCCCTATATCCTCAAAGCCGTCGTACTCCTCTTCCGAATCGAATGACTCGAAGGGCAAGTCACCCTCGGCAGCGTAGGGCAGATCCAGGACACGAGCACTTGTGCCTGCCTGGGCTGCTTCTGCGTCCCTCACTGGATGCTTCTCGTTCACAGTGCGTCGAGCATGCGGAACTTCAAGCGGCTCCGCTCCGTCCTCCGCAGGCGCTTCTGCTCCGGCAGCACCTGGGATGACAGTGATCTCCTTCTCTACGCCAACGTCTCTGCTTTCCGAACGTGCACCGCGCATGGAGATCTTGACCCTGACAATGAATGTGACGGTATGCGCCAGAGTCTCCTGCGTAATGCTCTCGCAACCACCACCGCCACCTCTGCCGGCTCCAAATCCAGCACCACCGTGCGGAGCATCGTGATCGGGATGTGGAAATGGCATATTGACCCGTGCGAAAGGTGGATGCAGTGCCAAGCGTAGCAAGATCGGGCGGCTACTATTGAAACGGCAGAGCTTTCCCGATGTGGCCAGCAAGGCTTCCACGCGGCAGCTGTGGTCGGCTGCGGGAGCCAGCTCCTCCTCGTCGAGATGAGAAAGCGCGATTGTGGATGAGGGTCCAGAGACATCCTCTGCCAAGGCATATCCCGGTGCTTCGTCCAAGCCGGATGCTCTCCATGTGCCCAGACTTCCTGCTACGTCAGCTCTCTGTTTCTGATGCTTGTGACTTTGATCGCCCTCCTGCCGTCTCGTGTCGCGCACGTGAATTACGCGCGCTAGTGTGGCTTCGACAGCTCTTAGACGCAAGGCCTTTTCGCTTTGCAGGCCGGTAGGTAGAGGCGGAATGCGTATCCGTATGTCTATTGGCTCTGCGCGACGGAAGAGAGTACGAGCCAGCTGAATAGACAAGGGCACCGGCTCTGTGAGCCGCCACGTATGGGGTCTGAGCTTGCTGGCGCTCGAGCTGCCCTCAGGTTGGAGATTCAGATGGCTGTTGAGGTGTTCTGCGTTTGCGGATGCGACGATGTTAGCCAACGGACCTGGTGGACTGTACCTGGTGAGATGCACTGGCGCTCTCTTGAACACATCGGGGCTCGACATCTGGCGGACCGCTGGCACTAGCCGCGCTTCGAGTGCATAAGTGATCCCGCCCTGGGGCAGATGTATGCAGTGAGGCAGGTCGGGCGTGAGAGGGAACGTGAATGGCATCGTTGATGGGATCTGTGCCGATTCAACGTATGCTGCCGATTCGCGAGACGTTGAAGCTACTGGCGGCGTCATGGCTGCTGGCGGCGCGGACCAAAGCGTCTGCTGAGCGCTGAAGAGCTCTACTCGCTCGCTCGTAGTCGTCTCTTCAGCAGTCAGAGATATTGTGCTAAGAGTTAAAGGGCGTGTACATGAGCTCTATCCCTCGTTGGTTGCCATGTATGCGCTCGACTTACCATTTCGCGTACTTGCCACTGGCACGTATTGCGGGATCCAGCTTGACTAGAACATCGCCCTTGATCCAAGATTGGAACCCTTCCAAGCCGAGATAGCCCACCTGAAAGCTCGTCGCGTCTGCTCGAGGCGCAATGTCGAAGAAGTTGTCTTCAAGATAAGGAGACAGGGGCAGCTGAGGCTGACTGGAGGAGCCAGCATCATGATCGATGAGTGAGGTGGTGCTGGAAGATTCTGCGCCGTGTACTTGGTCGTAGCGAACAGGCAGATGGGTGTATACAGGCGGAGAAGGATCCGCATCCGCATCTGATGGCGGAGGTGGAGGCGTCGGAGGTGGCAACATTGTGCTAGGCTGAGCAGTGAGGAATCATGGGGCTCATCGAAGCCGTGCCTGCCAAGCGAGGATAGACGCACGAACGGCTCTCGCTGGCTGGAAGCGAAAGAGAGCGCCTCAGCGCTGAGCTTGGCCTTGCTGGAGGCTTGTGAATGCTAAGTGGAGATGCTGAAGCGTCTGTTATCGGCAACGATGACTTGATGGTGCTGTCAGCTACTTGGAGAGGCGCAACAGGTTTGGCCTGAAGGACAAGGGAACCGTGGCCGCTCAGCCAAGCACAGCCTCCATATGTGGTAGAGACCTGTTTAGGTTGCTGCAGCTGTACGCGCGGCGCAGTCGTGCCAACATGCACCGCAGGGCTGCATCCAACGCCTCCACAACAGCACATAGTACACGTGATCTCTTCAGCTCACGCGGCGCGGCGCGCCACGGCGCGGCGCGCGACGCACAAAAAAGTTGCACGCGGCTGGGTGACCGCATCAAAGCGACCGGCCAGTGTGTGTCTTTTGAATCACAAAATCGCGACGCCTCACGCCTGCGCGCGGCGGGTCGCGCTCGCGCGTGTTGCACGCGCCGCTCGATCGCTGCGCTGATGCCTGCAGCTGCCGGGTGGAGTGGAAGTTCACGCGATCGCTGCTGGGCGTTACACCAGGATTCGCGACGGGTGAATGGCGATGCAGGCAGGGGAGGGACTCATCAGGATACTCACGTCTCAAACCCTTCAGGGCTTGACCTCATCATACTACTCACACTACACCTTCATCAACGTCTGCCTCTTGGGCATCTCTGCTACTCTCAGCCGTCGGCCGTCCAGGCTGCTTCGGGACATCGCTTGCTTAGCGCACGCAGCACCGACATCCCCCCTCTTCCAGCCGCTCGTCCCTCTGCCTTGCGCCTTCGCTGTCATTGGAGCATTCATCTTGGGCCTGTGCTCGTAATCGACCCATCCACGGCCACCAGGAACTTCATAAACACCATCGACAATGCCTCCTGCGTCCAGCACTGCTGTGAGTTGCTCATTGATGCATGTCAGTCGGTATTGGGAGCTGGGCCAAGAGAGAATGTGACGCGGGACTACTCATCTCGAAGTGGTCGTGCGTGCTCGAAGGACGAAGCAGTCCTTCATGATGCGTCTTGATGATGCGTCTTGATCAATCAGCTTCATCTTCGTGGACTTGCGTCACTACCAGCTGTTGACACGCCGTTTTGCGTGCACTGGTCGGATGCATCGAGAGTCCTCGCGTCTAGCGTAGCAGCCCAGGGCTCTACGACAAGAGCTGGGCTGACGAACCCGTTAGGCACCCAAACCTGGGCATCACGCTCCCTTGATTTCCTCTCCCGTCTCTGTTTGCTGACGGCCATTGTCTCCATTGCGTTCAGGGAGCGAGGCGCGTACCTGCGGGCGAGCCTGCTGCTACTCGTACGACGCGTCTGAGGGCGAAGAACGCGACTGGATCGTCGGCTGCGGCGGGAGGAGAAGTCGGAAGCAGCAAAGTGGCTGGCAAGGCACCCAGCAAAACGGATGGAGCTGCCACTGGCGCTACCAATGGCGCAGGTGCTAACGTGCTTGGAACGCGTAAACGCTCAGCCTTGGGTGACGTGACCAACGCCAACGCTGCCAGGGCCAAGGCTCCGAGCAACGTGGCGGACGGCAAGCAACGCGCAACATCTTCCAACACTGGACTCAAAGAGACGTCGACGGCTGCTGCCACCACGGCGCGGTCTAGGAGTGCGATGGCTCCGACGACGTCCACTACAGCCCCTGCCAGGCCAGCCAGAGGCGCATCGACCGCAGCTACCGGCGCTACGCGCCTTGCAGGCTCACGCGCAGGCTCGTCGAGGATCGCAGCACCTTCAGGAAATGCAACCCGAAAGACCACGGCGACGGACTCGAGAAAAGGAGACAGCGCCGCCGCATCCAATCAGGATGCTACCGCACGTGCAGCCAAACGCCCACGTGTCGATGAGGTCTCCGCCGCCGCCGCCAAAGCTTCTGCTGAAGCTGCAGACGCTGGTTTACCCATCACACACGCAGAGGACAAGGATGAAGGCTGGGAAGACCTCGATGCTGAAGATGTTGACGACCCTCTTATGGTTGCCGAGTATGTCAACGAAATCTTTGTATATATGAAGCAGTTGGAGGTGAGTTGTACGTCGTCGACACGGTCATGCCGCGTTGCTAATGCACGACAAACGTGACCCTGCGCAGATCAATTGCATGCCCAGCCCAGACTACATGGACTCACAGCGGGACTTGACTTGGAAGATGCGCGGCGTCCTCGTCGACTGGCTCATCGACGTGCACAAGAAGTTCCGATTGTTGCCAGAGACTCTCTTCTTGGGCCTCAACATCGTCGACAGATTCTTGTCCAAACGTATCATCAACGTAAGCAAACTGCAACTGGTTGGGCTCACGGCGATGTTCGTCGCCTCCAAGTACGAAGAGGTTCTGTGCCCCTCGGTCAGCAACTGGGTCTACATCGCAGAAGGCGGCTACTCTGAGGATGAAATTCTTCGTGCTGAGCAGTACATGCTGAAGATTCTTGGATTCAACCTCAGCTACGCCAATCCGATGAACTTCCTGCGACGCATCTCCAAGGCGGACAATTACGACATTCAAACGCGAACAGTGGCCAAGTACTTGTGAGTCACATCGAGCGTGGATGCGAGATCACGAAGGTTGGGCGCTCATGCCGTGTATCATCATCACCTCGCCTTCCTCGCCTTCAGCATGGAAATTTCTCTGGTCGACCACCGTCTAATTGCGTCGCCACCGTCGCTCGTCGCGGCGGCGTCGGCGTGGCTCGCACGCAAGTGTCTGGACCGAGGTGACTGGACACCAACGTTGGTACACTACTCGTCGTATTCCGAGGCAGAGCTGTTGTCGACAGCGGAAGTGATGCTCGACTACTGCTTGCGTCCGGTCATTCATCAAAGCCTCTTCAAGAAGTACGGCAGCTCCAAGTTCATGAAGGCTTCTGTATACGTCCGCAATTGGGCCGTCGACTGCTTTGGTGTATTCTACGACGAGGACGACGAGATGAGCGAGATTGACGAGAACGACGACTTGCTGGTTGACTTGTTCGAGTTTCAGGGGTACGATCCTTCCGAAGCCGTTCTTCAACCAAGCACCTCGAGGAAGACGACGCCGCTGATTACTCACTCTCGCGCGACGTCAGGCGCTACCCAGTCTGACGCTGCTGGCAGCGTGCTCAACGACAGCCAAAAGGCCAATGGGACCACTGCAGCTGGTGCGGCTCACTCGCCACCTCAAGACGTGAGCGGCGACTTCAACCGACAAAAGGCGGAGGCGGCGGACACTGATGAAATGGTTGCTGATGACAGTGTAGACCACCTTCAACAATTGACTGGCCAGCGTGCTTATTGAGCGTCCCATGAAGCAGGAGATCGTCCGACTATCAAGGCCTGTGCGCTGGCGTTCCACCATTTACCCACCACGGCATTTCATCCTTTGCGCGCTCATTTCCACGGAGCGGGACAATTCTCCTCGCAAAAACGCAGATCAGAATCATCGCATCCATCCATGGCACGCGCATTTTTCATGACCACCCATGCAGCCAAGTCTTCCTCTTCATACACCGCCTCTCCCCCTTTCGAGCTCACCTCCACAACACACCTCACAATCAATGTAGTACATCTCATCTCTCCGGTTAGATTACGACCAACATTTTTCGCCATCTTCCCACATCGCGGTTTCCTCAGCAGATGACCATACCGAGGCAATACAGATGACCTTCCGAGATGTCGCTGCCTATGATAAACGGCTAGGAGAAGCGTGACGCGCAGAAGAGAGGATGGATGGATGTCGGGTTCACGCTCGATGTACTTGTCTCGATTCACCCCTGACCGAGTTCGGTCTCCCAGCTTCTCGTCTCGATGGCTAGCTGACGAGAAGGCGAACGTTCGGCTTTGCTGGAGCAAGGACGCCTATGGACGTTCACGACTCGAGCTTTGAGCTTTGAGACGAGCCCGCACCACGATGGTCTCGTCACGAACTGCGCTTCTTCTGATCTGCCTCTGACTGACACCTGACAGAAGAGATTCGATGGCAAGAGCAGAGCTCGTAGCTGGCACGTAGAGGTCAGGTTGTTTAATCGGCTGTTGTGTTGTGCTCACGCGCGCTCAGTGTAGGCTCTACCGCGCGTGTGCAAAGCCGTGCAGCTAGCTATGCTCGTACCTACATAGCTTGAACTTGCATCGCATCGGCTTTTTGAGCCGAAAGTACCCTCCCTCGGGTCATCATCATGCATGCATAGCGTTCAGCGAAATTAGGACCATCTTGGGAAGGCGGGGGCGCGATGAAGCCGAACATGTCCGATTCCTATTTTTGCCCACAAACGCAGCTAGCTGCTATTCACTGACTGATTACTGCTGGGCATGGAATCACGAATCACCAATGTGCAAATCTTATCGCGGGCGCGCATGAACTTTGCCGCGCCCATCCGCCGGGTGCGGTGTGAATCTGTGAAGCGGCGAGCGAGCAGCGAGCGGTTTGCTCGCTAGCTCGGCAGGAACACCTCGCTCGTGTCACACACCCCTTTTGCAGCCGAGATTTTGCAGCCGTGTCTACGACCCCCCGCGCCTCCTTCTGCGCCTTTGCGAAGTTTCCAGGATGTAAGAATCAGACCAGATTCGAAGTATGAGGGAGGGGGGGGCGCAGTGGCTCGTCGATGTGTTTGCATGATCTGCGCCCAGGTATGGCGATTGAGGACACGGGCAGGAGCGTCGGTGCTTGAGCGGGTGTGCGGCTCGGTTAGCTATGCCGATAGATCCGATGTCCTGTTTTGCTGGGCGGGTGTACTGTATGTGCGGCAGTGTGAGTGCCTGCACTCACACTCACATATTGCATGAGGTTTGCCCGTCCAGAATCGTCAGTCATGTCGAGCTATGCTGGAGACGGTGCGGTGCGGTGCAGGTTTTCTTTGCAGTCTCGAATGCTGATAAAGCTGGCACACTTCGTTGGTCCCCTTGCCATGGAGAGAGGGAGAGGGAGAGAGACGTCCAACATCATCCATCACGCACGCACCCCATGGCAGCTTTTGCCGACTTTTCGCGTGTCGCCATTCTGCCACACCGTCTTCTCCATATCCACTTGCCCTTGCCGATATCGCTCCATCCATCTCCTCATCGATGTCCAGCGGCTCATCCTCCAACGCTCGACCTCACAAGCCTCCCGTGTTCCATGAACCACCCCGTGCTGATGGAGCTCGCGCTGCGAATGCCAGCAGCAGCAGCAGCAATGGTCTGGCCTTGAATCGATCTTCAAGCAGGAGTCGGCCCGCCACATTGACGCGCAACCCTTCCAGAAAAGATTATCACAATCATGAGGTCAACGGTGGCGCGGATCCCGAATTTGGACACTTGAGCAGATCTGGTACGCACGAGAGCACCTTTGGTCCAAAGCGCTCACGCTCGCGCTCGCAGTCTCGAGGTGCAACAACTCACACGTCGAGCTCTAAGAAGGGTACATCGGCGGAACGTCGCTCGGCAAAGGAAACACTCACAGAGGAGGTGAGAAGGTGGGACGAGGAGGACAAGCAGCATGAAGCTGTTCAGGCTGCCGAGCTTGCCGAGGTCAGACAAGGCGGCGATGGAGAGCACGCCAAGCATTTGTACTCTAGTGCGGCGCGCAAGGAACCTGACGGGTTTCTGCGGAGATCGGAGTCGAGTGCGCGCACGGCGCAAGAGACCGATTTGGAGATGCAAGCTGCGAAAGAGGGTCAGGCGGCTTCTGGACCGGAAATAGAGGGGGCAGCAGAACGGAAAGAAGCAGCGACATCTTCTGTAGAGTCCTCATCCTCGCTCTCGCAAAAGGAAGCGAATGCCAATGTCGTCGGTTGGGATGGATCGAGGGACCCGGCTAATCCTAGAAATTGGAGCCTTCATAGACGATGGGCCGTCATCGTCATCGTATCCACCTACACCTTCTTATCTCCTCTGAGCAGCAGCATGGTAGCGCCAGCGCTACCCCTAATAGCTTCCCAGCTGTCCATCACCTCTTCGGTATCCCAGAGTCTCGTCCTCAGCGTTTTCGTCTTGGCATACGCCATAGGTCCCTTGTTCCTCGCGCCGCTCTCGGAAATGTTTGGAAGGAAGCTGGTGCTGCAATTCTCCAACGCTTTCTTCATCGCCCTGACGGTCGCCTGTGCAGTGGCTCCTTCCGCCTCATCCCTGACAGCCTTCAGGTTCTTGGCTGGTCTTGGAGGCTCGGCCCCTTTGGTCATTGGTGGAGGAGTCATTGGAGATCTGATGGCTCCGGATGAGAGAGGCACTGCCATGTCCGTCTACTCTCTAGGTCCCCTCCTCGGTCCGTGCGTCGGACCACTGGTTGGCGGATGGATCGTACAGGAAGTGGAATCTCACAATTCTTGGAGGTGGATATTCGGTGCAGCTGCCATCGCCGCCGCTTGCGTCGCCACCGTGGGCCTCTTCGTCCTGCCAGAGACTTATGCACCTCGCATTCTTGCGGACAAGGCGAAGAGACTGCGAAAAGAGACGGGAAACTCGGAATTGAGAACAATTTTTGAGAAGGAGGACGAGCCGTGGTATACGCGCATGCGCAGACACTTGGTGCGGCCGTTCATCTTCATCGGCACGCAGCCGGCCGTTCAACTGCTATCGCTCTACATGCTAATCATTTACGGTGAGCCTTCTCCGCACACGTGCCACGCATACCGATGATCCGAAATAAGCTCACACTCTAGCATGTGCTCTTGCAGGCATCATGTACCTACTATTGACGACTTGGAACGAGACGTATACGCAACGCTACGGTCAGAGCGTAGGCATCGCCTCTCTAAACTACATTGCTCTGGCCATCGGTTTCACTCTGGGCGGTCAGATCAGTGGCAGAGCGGTGGACAGAATCTATCGTCGCTTGCGAGACCGAGCGGGAGGCAAAGGAGCGCCAGAGATGAAGATTCCCGTCATGATGTTCGCAGGGCCTCTAGCGCCTGCCGGGTTGCTGATCTACGGCTGGTCAGCAGAGTACAGGGTGCACTGGATCGTTCCCGACATTGGTGGTCTCATCTTTGCCATTGGCATGCTCGCAACCTTTACGCCCATCCAATCCTACATCGTCGACAGCTACACCCTGTACGCTGCCAGCGCCATTGGAGCAGTAGCGTTCCTGAGATCTCTGGCAGGCTTTGGTTTCCCCCTCTTCGCTCCTACCATGTACGCCAAGCTCGGCTTGGGTTGGGGAAACACCATCCTAGCTCTAGTCCTTGCCCTCGTGGGTATCCCCGCTCCTTTTTTGCTCTACCGCTTCGGTGCAACCTTGAGAGCCAAAAGCCCATACTGCGCTACCCCACAAGGATGAGACGGGGATGGTTCCGTGAGCCCCATCGAAACTGCGATCACGCAACTTAGACGACTCCATCCATGTACTCCTAGACTGTTTCATACTTTTGCAGTGCGTTCAGAAAATTGCCATCATCATCGACCACGCAAGCTGATGACCTCTCCCGAGCATCTTGTCCCGATGCATGCCCATGAGCCGGGCGAGTCTGAGTCTTGAGTGGACCGTCGTCGGGTCTTTATTATCGGTATCCAGCAGCGCTGGCTTGAGGGTACGATAAACGTTCGAGATTGGACTCCCGACTGCTCTTCGGCAGGCCCGCGCCAACGCAGCTTCATCGAGCACATCAGCACGCTCCCACTGCACCTGCTTCCCTCTTGCGCTCTCATCCCCATGCAGCAGTCGGGAGGTGTCGTGCCTTTGAGGTGGATCATCTGCTCGACTCGCAAATAACGACTTTGACGGAAACGGTCTGCTTAAGTCGCTCCGCTACACACCAAGCCGGTCACCGGCTATTTTGGACGGATGGGCGTGTACTGCAAGAATAGGTGTGCAATTCGTACCGAGATTGTTCCAAGCTATAGGCAAGCACCCATGCACCAACGCACGGTCCCCTCCCACGCTTTCCCCCGCACACATCCACTCAGACTTGTGACCTGGGTGCTTGCTGGCTGCATGAAGGGCAGGAACTGCCGTTTCGTCCGGATCGGCCCCCCCTGTTCCCCCCTCTTTTCCTGCTTTACTCACACTGTATAGGTGAATGTTTCATTCGCTCATCGAATGCCGAGGTCCGGCTCGAGCTGAAGCGGTACACTAGGTATGCTAAAGCTCAGCACACAGGGCAAGTCGTCGTGCGATCCTCGCTCGGATATTTGGGCTGGCTTGACGCGGGGGCTTGTAGTCAGATGCCTGCAATAGCTTCTGCTGCGTAGCTACCAAGCTATGCACGACATGTATGATGCTCCACTCACTCACAATTGCTGCTGCAAATCACGCTTCCCCGCAGCCGCCGCCGCCGCCCCGGCTACCTCGGTACGACCTTCTACGCGTCCTTGATAGCCGGAGCCGATAAGCTAAATTGTAACCCGCACTTGCTTGCGTGGGAGAGTGATTTGCTCAATTTCATGATCTGCGATTGATAGCGACTGAAGTCACGAGTTGGCCGGGCGGGCACTTTTGCGGTCGAGGTCATTTGCCAGGCCTATTCGATCTTGGAATGCACGTCATGTGCCATCCATCGCTCTACTGCAGCGCACGAGCGAGATCAGGGCAGAGAGAGAGAGAGAGAGAGAAGTTGACTTTGCCGCGTGTAGAGGTCAAAATGCGGGGCCCCGCAATCGTGGAGGTTGGCTCATTGGCCTGCAGTCCGAGTGCTCCAGGCTAAAGTGCCTCTTTCCCTTGCCCCATTGCCAAGACAGGCAGCCCATCCAACAGGCGATGGGCAGACCCCCAAAGACGCTGCCCTACACCGATGATGAGCGAATCTTATAAGTAGGCTTGATATTCCGTTCAACAGAAACGCCCCCCCCCCACCCACCCTCCCCTCAAATCTTTGTCCGCCATACTGTCGTTCGAGTCTGTCCATCGTCGTACCCACACCGCCGTCTGGATACTTGTTGAAGTCAAGCACAAGCACTTGCCATCCCGGAACCATGACCGACACTACCGCGCAGGATGGATGGAAGGAAGTGGGCATGAAGGAGCTCGAAACTCCAGAGGGATACGTGGGTGAGTGTGTGTGTGTGTGTGTGTGTGTGTGTGTGTGCGTGGGCGCGCGCCCAACGGTCACCGCTGCTATTGCTTGTCCTCACATCCAAGGGCACGCGCTTCTCACACCGGTCCTCAGGTAACTTGACGCCGGAGCACGCCGACAAGCTCAGAGAGATGTGGGCGGCCTTTTTCGATTGCTGTGATCGAGCTTCGGGAGGAGCTGCAAAGGAAGGTGGATCGGGGTGGCAAGGAAATGAGGAAAAGGATCCTACCAAATTGGGCATTCCTCAGGATGATGCGGCCAAAGAGGAGGCGAAGAAGAGGATGGAAGAACAAGGCATGAAGTCAGTGTGACCGCTCACCATCACAATCGTCTCCCTCCCTCTCTCTCTCTCAGCGCCTTTCTAGGCTCGGTCTCTACCTGCTCACACCCGGCGCTCCCTTCTCCTCCCTCCCAATGCAGAGATCTGCTCCAGACTTACGGCTCCGAGGCGCTCAAAGATACATTCTGGTCCTTCAACAAAGCCGACAATCCCGACACCAACCTTTTGCGATTTCTTCGAGCGCGAAAATGGGACGTGTCTCGCGCCATGGCCATGCTGGCCACTTGCCTCAAATGGAGGCTAGACTCTGGCGTGGAGCACGTAGCTACTCAAGGCGATCTTGGCAATGGCGAAGAGATTCCAAAATTTCTGGATCAGCAACGGACCAGAAAGATCTACGCTCATGGATGCACGAAGAATGAACAACCGGTTTGCTACGTCGAGATGAAGAAGCACCTCACTTTTGGACAGCCCGGAAGCACCATGCAGAAGGTGCGCAATTCCCCTCCCCTTGTCGGAGCTGCTTCACTCGACGTATGCGGTGCTGACGACTTTATGACGCCGAACGTGGACAGTTTGTCATATTTCAGATGGAGACCTGGAGGCTCTTCATGATTCCACCACAGGACAAGATGGTCATCCTGTTCGATCTCAATGTGAGCAGAGCATCATGGGCTGCCCTTCAGTGACGGGCTTACTTTACTGATTCATGTAAGGCTCCCCTTGTCTTGCTTGGCACACAGGGCTTCGGCATTAGAAATATGGTGAGGCTGGCAGTGCGCTCGTGCGGATGCAACTCACGACAGAGTAGCTGATCGGCAAGGTTCATCGTGATTTTGCTGCAGGACTGGGTATCTCTGCTCTACGTGGTCAAATGCCTGGAAGCCTACTTTCCAGAATCTTTGGGCACGATGTACATCCATCGGGGTGAGGCTTCCGCTCAGATTGCGCTCGCTGATCGTGTCTTGTAGCTCATCATAATCGCTGCTTGGATCGTCGAAGGACCCTGGATCTTCTTCCAAGCCTGGAAATTGGTCAAAGGTCTGCTTGATCCGGTGGTCAGGAGCAAGATTGCTTTTACTCAAAAGCCTGAAGATCTTACCGGCAACATTCCTCCAGAGCGCTTGGTCAGCATCATGGGCGGCGATGTGGAGAACCAGTTCGAGTGGATCGAGCCTGCAGCTGAAGAGAATGACAAGTTGAAGGATACAGCGACCAAGGATAGGCTTTGGAAGAGGCATCGAGCACTGACGAGGGAATATGAGGGCGTGACCAGAATGTGGATCCGAGCTGGTGGGGACGACAAGGATGCCCTTCTGGCCGAGAAGAGGCGCGTGCTGGTCAAGAAGCTTCGTGTCAGCCAGTTCGACCTGGAGCCTTACGTGCGCGGCGCGACGGTGCACCATCGAAATGGAACACTGCCACGGGGCAATCCAGGTATTGTAAGATGGCAAGTGAGTGAAGTCGAGTACAGCAAAGACGCGCGCCTGTCTGCTCACCCACCACACGCCGGCATCCTTACCTGACGTCTCCCTTTCGCAGTACGAGCTCAAGTCGGGCGACAAGATCCGCCAAATCGTAGGGCACAGCCAATCGCGCAAATCCTTGATTCGAGAGCTGGTCGAAATATCCAACGGATCCTCCGTGTTGGAAGCCGAAGCGCAAACTCGCAAGATCATCGAGGGGGGAGCATGGGGTCGCTGGGATACGTGCGAGGATCTGCCAGAAGAGGTCAAGAGCCGAGTCGACGCCTTGCTCGAACCGTCTGACCTGCTTGCTGCGGCGAATGCAGACGCGGCTGCACCGACGCAAGAGGCAAGCGAGCCCCGCGACAGTAACGCTCCGACTGCTGCAGATCAGAATCACGAGAGCGCTTCGACGGCCACTTTGGACTCCAAGGCTACTGCTGTCGCTCATTCTCCGGCTCAGGCCACGGTACCGCAGAGCACAGCATCCGAGAAGGTCGCCCCTCCCGAACCGGTCAAGCGTCAGTCCATGTTTGGTTCCATCAAGTCTAAGCTCGTCTCCTAAGTCGCGTTCGCTACCGATATTCCCCAACACACCGATGCCCTCTGCGAGCCTGCTCAGTTTTGTCTGTCAAATTCCCTGCCCATGGTACTTGCTGATTGACAATTCTTTTCTCTCACTGTGCGCGCCTCTTCTCGCCGCTTGCTGTGCGATTGAAGCAATGTGCATGCCTGAACGCAGTGCTGCTTACGGTTTTGTTCGAAGCCTTGGCGTAGAGGCGAGCGGATGCAATCATATATGAAGTGATCACGATAGCACAGTTGTGTATGGATGTAATGGTGGTAGTGAGCTAGGAGAAGAGAGGTGACAGATGTGGTATTTACATCAAACATGTGTGGATCAGGTCACGTGTCTCGACAATCATCATCAGCAGCAACTCCCTTCCACGACTCGCTTTGCTGATTGCCAAGTCTGGCCGTTGCGTCTATGTCAATCCCTTGCGTTGCGCACGAAAGCGTCATTCATGTGAGGGTGGGAACGTTGCGAATGCAGGTCCAGAAAGGTTCGCCGCGATCGGGACACTAAAGATGAACGCGAGGTACATCGATCTTGTGCTGACGTGATCGAGTACGTGCCGGTGAAGACCAGACGAAAGCAGGCACCTCTCTGCCCGATCGCACCTCTCAACTTAGGCGCGGGCTCACAAGTCTTATCGAGAACGTAAGCAGAAACATCGAAATTATTATTGACTCTTCGTCGCTGCTGCTGCTTCGTGGGAAAAAATCCAGCCAGCAGCAGGAAGCGCGCAGACATCAGCCACGACCCCGTCCCGCAATGCCGTCGGGATTGCAGAGAGGCAGGCAGGTGGGACGGTCGGACGCGCGCGAAGGTTATCTTCGTTCCGCGCGCACCCTACCGACAAGCCACACGAATGACGAATCTGCATGGCGGTCACGCTCGCTGCCTCACCCACTGGCACAAGTTCGAGATCTTGGCAAAGTGCTTACCCGACAAAGAGCGGATTAGATTGCTCGATCCTGCTTCACTACTTGACTGCTGAGATGATCGAAGAGCCCAGAGGGACGTCATCGTGGAATATGCAGTCAAAAGTCAAAGGGGGAAGAGTGCCTGCCTGCCCCTCGGTTGTGTTTTCTTGAGCAATGTCCACGATCAAGAAGGTGCATATCGGCGCATATCCTCGAATGGAGTGGTCACGTGCGACCCTTGGCGAGGAACGGTGATGTGGCCATGACGAAAGGCCTGCCGCGGGGCCCACGAGCAGACAAGACGTAGGCGATTGCTTGATGGTGATTGATGCATCTTCTTTGCAGCACGCGGCCGGGCGAGCAACGCGGCGAGACCCACCCGTCGGAGAATTTGCGCATGAGCGGGATATGTGAGTCACTGAGTGTGATTGCTGCTGCATGGTACCACCACCCGACTCTGCCCCTGCGCTTCGATCGTCTTGCTTCAATGCTCTCAGACCAACAAGATGCTGTGGTCTCGAATCTGCCAAGCATCTCGAAGCGGCAAAGCCAGCCAGCAGTCGTGAGTCAAGCAAGCTAGCTTGTGAGCTCACTCTCTCCAGCTCCGGGCACCGTAGACTCTTGAAGGCCTCCGTGAATTGACTCAGAAGGCGTGGCGGGGGGCGGCCAGGCAGAGGATGCGGGGTAACGGAGGCAAATCGTCTGCACACCCAGGCCGATCTCCGCTAGCGTCACACTAGTTCCATCGGATTTGACCTGCTCTGCTTGCATGGCTGAGGGTCTGTCTGGTTGTTGCTGCTGCTGCTGCTGCTGCTCGAGACTTGTGAAACACTGATGAGACTCCGCTCGTGCAGCGACGTGATCGTCGGCAGATTGGCGGGCATGGTGTCCCACAAAAAGAATTTCATCTGCAGTGAGCTGCTGGGTCTCCCGCACGCATACGCATGCAAAAGTTGTGGAGATCTGCATCGCGGTCGTGAGTCTGATGAGGAGGACTCAGAACTTGCTTTCGACCTTCGCGATTTGAAGCGATGCTTATTGCAAACTTCACTCAGACTGACAGATCGGTACAGTAGCAGTCCTGTAAGCCCCCCCCTTGAGGCGCATACACTCGCAGCTAAACGATGCTATTCTCATGCCACTTGCACTCACCTTGCGGAGAGAGAACTCTCACATCATGCAGCGCAAAGGTGCGGATCTCCGTCGCAGTCACACAACAGTCGTGAGTGTGACAAGCGACCGTCAGGTCTCAGACTTTCTCAAAGTGGCAGACCTCGGTCCTAAAGGTCATCAATGATTCTGGCAGGTGGGCAGGCCTGCCCGCCTGCCGAGCCAGATTTACTGTACGTTGCGTACACAAGCACAATAAAGCTGCATGACCACCTGCTTACAAGTACACTGCCTGTCTGGAGGGGGGGAACTTTGCAGAAGCACAGTACCGTACAGTACCGGTACAGTGTGCTGCAGTGCCGTGCCTCTGGGCGATGCACTCAATCGTCGTAACCATTCGTGATTGACCCTGAGAAGCCCTTTGGCCTACGCCAACCGCCCCGGTCCTTAGTGTCCCTGTCGTCATCATCGTTTCGAAACTCTAAGACTCGCGACTAGTCCCACCTAATCACGAAGCAGAACTCTGTCGTCCAGTGTGCCAAGCGTAAGGTAGTCTTATCTCGCACCGTGACCTCATCACACTCTTTTCTTCTGTGAACTCGCGCACTGCTGCTCTTCCCTCGGACACACCATCACACGTACACACGCCCACCAATCCAGGTCCATCACTCTTTGTCTTTCGCCACGCCAATCCCGACGGCTCACACGCTGTGGCGCTGTGGTTGTCAAGACGACGAGCAGGTTCTCATCGCGTATATAACGGACTCGCAAAAGCTGGGTCAAGTGCTTTCATCAAGAAGTAGTGATACTTTGACATTCAGCCCAAGTCCTCTGCCATCCGACTTTCGTCTCGTCCCTCTTCTTCGACTACCACCCGCTCACATCAACAACAAGAAACATGATCGAACTTCTGGACAGGGTCTTGACCTACGGGCCATACGGGTACATTCCCAAGCTTGCGCCTGCCATCCTCTTCGTCATTCGTGAGTAGCTCGAAAAGGGCATACATGTCCCTCCCTCGCAAGCATTTCGACTCACACAACGGAACTTGTACCACGCTGCTTTCTTGCAGTCTATGCCATCGCTTTCATTGGTCACTCCTACCTGGGCGCCTTCAAAAAACAACCATCAAAATGGCTACCCACGTTGGCTCTGGGATGCGCAGCAGAGACGGGCGCCATGAGTCTGTGAGTTCATCTCGGAAGTCTGCAAGGACGTCTCTCCTTCTCGCAAGTGGACAGTCTTCTGCCGGTGGAAGCGTGACCCTGTGCGTCGGCAAGCGGGAAAAGTCAAGGTGGAGTGCGTGAAGACGGCGGCTGAGCTGAGATCTACGCGCGCAGTATACGTGACTGTGCTGCGCGAAGTTTGGCTTGGCAGAGACAGGTCGTCGATGCGTGCATACAGACGTGAATGAGGCCGCTCCACGAGACTCATACAAGCCTGCGATGCATCTCCTCGCGACGGGATAGGAACACGCTCAGCGGCGCTTTGCTACGGAATCTTCAGCAGCAGAGAGTTGAGCGTTCACATGGTCCCCGAGTCCGATTCTTCGCTGCTGCCGCTGAATCGTGACGAGCGGAGAAGAAGAGCAGAGGATGCTGAAAGAGAGAGAGAGAGAGAGAGACGTCATTGCTTTGCCACCTTCGATGCCCAGTCGTGGCTGACTGACTCGACCCGCTCCTTGTCCACACAGTCGCGTCTACGGTCACTACACAGCTCGGGATGACATCAACGCGTACATCGCTCAACAAGTGCTGAGCGTCTTGACGCCCGCCTTTTTCGCCGCTGCCCACTTTGCCATCCTTGGTTTGGCCATCGTGACGTTCGGGCCAGCGTACGCTCCCAAGTTTGTCCAACCTCGATTCATCATTCCCTTTTTCGTCACGGTGGATGTTTTGAGTCTGATCCTGCAGGGCACTGGAGCGGGCATGGCAGCTGTCGCTGAGCAGCTCAAGCCTCCCGAATCCACCATTCCCGGAGCTTGGATCGTGGTTTCCGGTCTGGTAGTCCAGCTATTGGGCTACGTCATTTTCAACATTCTCTTCGTCGACTTTGCAAGACGAGCCATGGCGCGTCCACCTCAACACGAGCTGTGGACGGCAAAGATGAAGACGTTTTTGGCTGCCGTTTGGATCTCTGCTCTGCTGGTCTTGCTTCGTAGCTGCTTCAGAACGGGCGAGATGATTCTAGGATGGATCGGTCCTGTAGCTACGACGGAGTGGTACTTTTACGTCTTTGACGCCGCTCCCGTCACAGCAGCCGTCTACATTCTGCTTCCCTTTCATCCCGCTCTCTTCCTGCCCGCACACATCTCTCTGGGCAAGCCTACATTGGGTGCCAAGCAAGAGTACGCGGTAGAGGGCTCTGGTGCCGATGAGAAGGACATCGAGCGAAACGGCTCAAACACCAACGAGACTGCTACGCTGAATGGGGGAAACAGTCAGGACAAGGGTCAATACGATACGCTCGTCGGTCGTCAGCAGGAAAAGAAGCGGCCTAGCAGCAACAACTCTAGACCGAACACCAACAGATCTCGCTCGTACAGCTCCAACGGCAGTCGTGGAGGCCAAGCTCCGAACCGCGAAGGCACCTTTCATCGACAGTAATCTTTGCGCTTTCATACGCTCGCTCATCTCAACATCTACCACTCGCCTTCAGTCCAGCTTTCGACCTTCTGCGTCCGCCTCCATCATCCTCTCACCCAAAGTAATATGGACAGGGCTTTGCTCAGAGCTATCTCCATTCATCTCTTCTTCTCTCTCGCTTGCTGTACATTTGCTCCCCCCC